ACACCATGCTGGAGTAGTTCATGAACGAGAACCTCGAGATTAGCACTACCAAGGCCATGGGACAAATTGTCACCCTCATCGAACTCCCAGTTTGTCGACTCATTGGCGTCAGCACCGCAAATGACAGGTAGGTGCCGATACTTATGAGGACAGACGCGAGAGAATTCCTGCGCCGCCGCCTGATAGACACGAGTTGTGACTCCAGTGTGGCAATGGACCGAACCAAGAAGGACACGTCCCAACCCATGAACCCGGGCGACCACCCAAATCCCTCTTTCACTGGCATGTTTCCAGATGATGGAGTCAAATTTGTCGATTGCCACCGCGATACCAACCCCTCTCCATTGGCGCGAATCACGATGTACAACCCAATGAAATTCATCACTGTCAAAAGAGTCCCACCCTGGTTCTCCACGAGCAATCTCCTGTACAAGGAGGACGTCGCAGTCTTTGCAAGCGACATCGAGGAGTCCAGCATCTTGTCCTCCAAGGTTCCATGAAGCCGATCTGCCCCATCTGCGTTTTGCACACGGATTAGACAAAGTCACCCCATTTTCCTTCAGAACAACAGGGCAACCATCAAGAACGGAGGCTGCATTCTCAATCTGAGTGAAACCATCATGCTCCGGGCGTCACAACTCACGCTCGAATGCCCCACGGGCATCATCTGTCGAGCAGCCGGCAACACGGGCGACGGCAGAAACATTAATCCACCCTCCCGTCATGGTCCGGAATTCATCATCACATTTCGGTTGCCGGTGAGAAGAGCTGCCAAGCTTTTCCGATCCGCACCATATGGTACCCATGCTCCAATCACAATCATAGGCAGCAACAAGTGTGTTCGTCCCGTCCTCGCGTCCAATGTTGTCTTTGGCAAGCGAGATCACGACTCTCCTAGTCATGCTAACATGCGTGCTGCGAGTCCTGGCGGCTTTTGTCTTCACGAACGATGCCCACAACGTCTTCTCGTCACCCGCCGCCTGTGTGCTTGGCAACACGTGCTTCATCCTTGCAAGAGCTCGGACAAGTTCCCACATTCGATTTTTTACATGCTGAAATGATTCACCCTCCCGGACGGCGAACTTCAACATGCCGACTGAACGTCTGGGGCCAAACACAAGCAACCTATCACTGTCAACAAGGCTCTTGATCTCCGGCACAGCGAGAATCACCCCGAACTCCTCCTCGATGACAGCACGACGAGTGTCCTGAGCCCACCCTCCGATGACGAGGGTTTTCTTATCATCCTCAGACAAAACATCACCCCGCTCCGGCTCGGTTGCCTGTACATTCCTACGATCGCCACTGGAGCCAGCAGCGCGATTCTGAAGGTAGTCACTCCAAGGATCGGCACGAACATCCTCAGGTGCAGGTCCACGATGATCAACCGCAGGGGCCTGAGGACGAGCACCAAGATCATCAAATTTAACCTTCATGTTCTGGACCTCGGCAGTCAAGTTCTCAAGGGCTTTCGCTTGATTCTGCATCGTTGCTTTGTGCTGATTTTGATCTTTTTCAAGCACCCTCGTCCTCGACTGGAGGTTGGCGATCTCAAAGCTGGACTTGGCTTGTTCCTTTTCAACGCAATCGAGCCTGCCTTGAAAGGAACTCCATGCCGTCTTCATCTCAGTGACATGACCAAGAAGGAGGTCCCTGATTTCACGAGCAGTCAAAGGCTTTTCATCACACACTGAGGCTCGCTTGGAAGGACTATCAAACTCATCTTCAGAATCAGGAACTGGGCAGGCATGTGGGTCAGGCCTCCCTGGAAGACGCTCACCCCGTTTACGCTTCTCAAGTTTGACAGGCATTTCGACATCGTCGTGATCAGGCTCAGAGGCATCCTCTGCTAGTTCAGTAGGCGAACCCACGGCGTGTGCATTCTCGCCATTTTCCACCTGCATTGCAGTGATGTCCCCCGGCTGGGTTTCCACGTTGTCAGTCATCACGGCAAAGAAGAAGAAGTCCTCCACAAGCTCAATGTAGCCAAGGAGATGTACCGCAGCACTCGGGAGGGAGAGAGGCGAGGAACACCTTCACAAAGAAGTGCACCCAAAGAAGTCACCCCGGAAGGCAATGCGATGCAAGACACCCACGCGGAACTCGAAGAAGACGAACTTCACAAAGCCGACGGAGAAGAACACCCAAAGTAGTCACCCCAAGAGACGATGCGATCCAAGGTGTTCACGTGGAAGTCAAGGATGGCCAGCTTCACAAAGCCAAGGAAGCTCCAGAGAACGAGGCAATGAGGTTGTGGTAGCGAAGGACGACCACAGAGGGAGCACCAACCAGACAAGGAAGCTCACCCCGCAGCCACTCCGTTGCCCAGCAGCCAGCCACCAGCGTACCGGAAGAGCACGCGAAAGTAGAGGTCCCCCTCGGCCAATGAGGAACCAGCGAAGAAGAACCGGTGAATCAGGTAAAGGGCGGAGACCGGGTTCAGGTCCGTGAGCGACACCAGGAAGAACAGGTAGCGCCCGGCACAGGAGGGCGAGGCAAGGGAACAGGGACGCGAAGCTGGCAGAGCCTCGAGCACAACAGCTTGAGCCAAAATGGCTACTCAAAAAGGTTTAGGGTCTAGGGTTTAATTAGGGTTTAGCGTTTTCCTAACAGCCCTTGTCCACACCTCGAGCAGCAGGAGATCATGCTGTGACTCTGGGCCCTAATGCCACATGGAGCCGTCACGGTGTGTCATGGCAAATTGCTTTTTCAAGTCCTCAAGCAAGGGTTTGAGTGCAGCCTCCTGGCCAGTAGCTGGTCAGAGTGTCGAGGGGCGTAGTTCGTGATGTGATCTTCGTGGACAAGAGGATCTTCACGTAGGATAGCAAACCATCCTCTGGATGGTATGTGGTACCTGCAACACGATTTTATTGAGAACTCGGAATTGTCGGGAACTCGTTTCATAATCAGGGCTTATAACCCTAGGGATCAAAAAAGCCCAAAAAGCCTTATATAGTATGGTATTTCGGCCCAAAAGCCTCAATATTTGAGTCCTCAGATCCCTAGGGGTAAGCCCTAAGGTAAAAGCCAGAAAGTTGGAATATGATTATCCTAAACCCTTCTATGGAAAATTATGAGGCATCCTACCCTGAAACCATATTCCAACTTTCTGGAGTTCCCAAAAATCCCTAAGCCCTAACAGTGGCCTTACACCCCGAACGAAAGCCCCGATCTCCAGCGCACAAGTTCTAGGCCCAAGAGTAGCCTAGGAATAAAAAGGGTGCCCTTTTTGGTTTAAAGGGGCTTATAAGGGAACCGGAACCCTTAAAAAGGGAATAAGGGCCTACTCTAGGTCCGAGAGTTCTATCTTCTGAAAGCTGTTCAACTGCTCAAAGGCTCCTTTTCGAATCCTTTTTTGGGGTTCTTATGGGTTAGGGGTTTAGGGTTTAGGGTTTGGGGTTTAGAGTTTAGGGTTTAGGGTAGGATACCCAGTAGCCTAGGAATAAAAAGGCCTCTCTTTTTTGGTATTGGGTAACTTTGCAAGGAACCTAGGACTGCAAAAAGGGAATAAGGGTACTACTGGGCATCCTAGTTTTAGACAATCCTCTTTGGGGTTCTTAATTAGGGGTCTTAATTCTTAAAATAGGGTTTGGGGGTATCTTATACTATACTCATAAATTAAGGCACCTTTGGGTATTGGCTTTCTGCAGTTCTTTCCAGTTCCTGTCAAGGGCTTTCGAGTTGGGGGTTCAAGGGTCCAAGGTTTGTGCATTCAGGGTTTGGAGCTTCGTGTTTGAAGCTTCTTCCCTGCTTGAAAGCCACGGGTAAATGGTCAGGAAGGAAAGCTTATGTACCTACCCAAAGGCCCCAAAGTATTTCCTTCTGGGGGTTCATATATAGAATCTGATAAGGTAATCCCAAAAAGAACTACTACTGCGCCGGGCCGATAGTTCGACCCACGAGCTTCAACATGCTACAAGACATGGACCTCCACCCTCTTCCCCATAGACTCCTAACACAAGTGAGCCTTGGGGCCTCCGCCGGAACTAAAAAGTATTATATGTTTAAAACGGGGTAATAATTACTCCGCTGGCCTGCGTAGGGCAAACGACACTTTGAGGTACTCCGCTACCCCGCAAGAGCTTGTATGTAAGATGATGCACCAGTGGGTCGAAACTTTCGGCCGGGCGATGCCTCCTGAATCCTTTCTTAGACGGGGATGTCTTTCTAAAGGGGACCTGAAGGAGGTCATGAGGTCACAGCAACAAGTTTGGCGAGGTTTGCTGAACAGAAAAGGTCCCGGTGAGGCAGCGTCAATTTTGGGTGCCAGAGTCCAGCCCAAACAAAACCGGGGTGACAGTGTTCGGGGGCTTAGCTCTCACCAGGACTGCAAAGGAGGGGACTCTTGCCTCGAAAATGGAGGCTGCCTCCTGAATCCTTTCTTAGACGGGGATGTCTTTCCAAAGGGGACCTGAAGGAGGTCATGAGGTCACAGCAACAAGTTTGGCGAGGTTTGCTGAACAGAAAAGGTCTCGGTGAGGCAGCGTCAATTTTGGGTGCCAGAGTCCAGCCCAAACAAAACCGGGGTGACAGTGTTCGGGGGCTTAGCTTTCACCAGGACTGCAAAGGAGGGGACTCGTGCCTCGAAAATGGAGGCTGCCTCCTGAATCCTTTCTTAGACGGGGATGTCTTTCTAAAGGGGACCTGAAGGAGGTCATGAGGTCACAGCAACAAGTTTGGCGAGGTTTGCTGAACAGAAAAGGTCCCGGTGAGAGTCCAGCCCAAACAAAACCGGGGTGACAGTGTTCGGGGGCTTAGCTCTCACCAGGACTGCAAAGGAGGGGACCCTTGCCTCGAAAATGGAGGCTGCGTCGGGCCGATAGTTCGACCCACGAGCTTCAACATGCTACAAGACATGGACCTCCACCCTCAGTGGGTCGAAACTTTCGGCCCGGCGATGTATGGGGCCTTTGGGTATACACAGAAGCCAAACCACAAGACCCTGAACCCGGAAACTCCGGAATCCAACATCCTGGACCCTAAACTGCATTCCAAGATTCCAGGTTTCTCTCGCCCTCCTGCCAGACTGGGTTCTTGCTATAAGGAACTTAAGTCACCATTATAAGCAACCCGTGTTATTTAACATAGGTCCCTGTGATGGCAACTCAAGTTAAGTCCCTAAACAAGAGCCCAGAAGACCCAACAAGACGGGCTTCAGGTTTGCGGTTCAGCATGCAGCTTCAAGGCTTAGGGTTTAGGGCTCAGAGTTTAGGGTTTAGCGCTCAGGGTTTAGAGTTTACGGCTCAGGGTTTAGGGTTGAGGGCTCAGGGTTTAGGGTAGGGCAAGCTCCTTGAATCGTAGTCAGAAGGCCTCAGCAAACTCCCAAGCTCCACTTAAACCCCTGCATTGCAGACGTGCGATTCCTTCGATGAGGTTTCGCCCTATACCCTAAACTCGCAACCCTAAACCCTTAACTCTGAAACTGGGCTTTGAAGTAACTAGGGAACACAAAGTTTGCACTTTCTTTAATGGTGGTTCCGCTAAGGACCAGCTCCACAAACAACCATAAAAAATGCATGGTACTCCAAACGCCGGAGACCCGAACCCCTATGACCTTATGAGCTCTCTTGAACGACGATAGCCATGAGCTTCGGAATTCCAATGACCGGTTCAGGGTTTAAAGTTGTGGGGTTTAGGGTTGTAAGTCTTAGGGCGTAGGGGTTATAGGGTTGAGGCTATAGTAAGTTATACGGTTTACGGTTATGAGGCTTCGCATAAAGGCTCATATAGGGTTTAGGGTCAGCCTTGAGGGTCACAGTTCGATTGTAGGGTTGCGTGTCTAGGGTTGCTGTTTAGGGGTTTAGAGGTTTAGGGTTTGGGCAGCGTGATCTCGGGACTTAGGAGGTGTCGGGATAGAAGGGGTTAGATATATGTAGGGGGTTGAGAATTTAGGGTGTAGCAGTTTAGGGTTTAGAGTTCAGGGTTCAGGCAAAAGGCCTTATTTATGCCAATCTCTGAACCCATAACCTGAGGATTTCAGGCTTTAGAAGTTCAGGGATAAGGTACAAGCCTTTGTTATGCCAATCTCGGAACCCTAATCCTGAAATCAATACAAAACCCTTATGTTGGATTCTGCGCAGGGATTCCTGCGGCGAGGCCCGCTAGGATCAAATTGAAGCTACAACCACCAAGAGTCCATCCTGCTAGTCTACTTGGAGTAGGACTTAGCAAGTAAGGTTATAAGTACTTTACTTGCGTTAATGCGCAATTATAAGTATAGTTACCTTACGTATGACCCCAGCCCTTCAAGTACCGCTTAAGAAAGGCATTTTTCTTACAATTTCCCTAGAGCCTGAAGCCGATGAGCCTCTCTGTAATGAGGGTACCCTTTTTTCCTATTATAAGAACGGAACCCAAAAAGAAAAGTGGCAAAAGGGTACTACTCAGGAACCTAAACTCCTAAACCCCTATTCCCTGAAGCCTAGATCGGCGCCCCAACACAAGGATTTGGAACCTGGGACTCGCTTCGTCCTTAACAAGAAGCGTAAATTTTCTTTCAGAAAACCCTCTAAGCCTAATAAACACAAAACAAACACGTGCATGTATATAATCTAACAAAAGAAGAACAATAACACTGATAATAGCAATGATACTAAGAATAATAACAGCAATAGCGGTGTGAACGCTAATCTAACTTACTTACATTTGTGTATGCAGCGGACCCTTCACTGGCCCCTTTCGCCCTCAACCCTCGACGTCCCCCAGCGGCTCCTGAACATCGTCGCCAACTTTCTCGATGTTGACATGGCCTTTCAAGACCGTCTCGCCCCTTGGTCGGTCCAAAAATCAGGGGGGCGGGGTTCTGAGGGCTTTTCGGCGTGACAGCTTTAGGGTAAAGGGTTGCTAAAGGCTTTGAGGCGTTTAGTGTTTAGGGCTGAGGTTGTAAATGTCTTTGGGAGTTTAGGGTTTAGTCGTTCGGGGTTGAGGGTTCAGGGTTTTTTAGGGATTTTAGTGGTTGAGGCCTTTACGGTTCAGAGCTCCGGGTTTAGTTGATCTTCATGAGGCAACCAGAAGTCTTATCCCAGGCTCCTGGGAGGATGTAGAAACGGGAAACTCAAAATGGGTACTACGGCGTTACTACGGTTGGTTATAAATAAAAACCTGCATTACACATAATACGGAAGATTCAGGATTCATATCATCAGCCGTACCGAAGGTATTTGGTAAAGACACCCTGAAGGAATCCAGTTTTTGGATTCTCCAAGGGGTCTGTGATGAGAGTCTCGGTCAGACCCTCTACAAACCACCGGTTGAAAACACTCAAGCCCGAAACTTGGCTCCCCGTAAGATTTGGATAGGCTTTTGCCCAGGTGCTCATTATCAAAAAAGGAGGCCTCGAAGGTACGAAGGCAACGAAGGTACTGCTGGTCAAAGTAGAAAGCATTTAACCACCTCCACATCCACCCCTTATGTGAGCCGTAGAAGACTTAAACAAAAGACGCTTTGCAACGCCGGCACGGGAAATAAACAATCTGCGGGTTTAAACCCCTATGCGCTAAGACCAGGACATACAAACCCTTATAGAACCCTTCAACGAACCCTGAAACCCACATTTCCAGTATCCTTGGGAACGAAAGGTTAACCTTTGGGAGTCTTCTGGGATGTTTCATTACGGGCTATAAAGACCAGCTTCATAGTTTCGAGCCCCAAATTAGGGGTTCTACTTTCCAGATCCTTCCCGAGGTCTGGGTTAAGCTGAGCGAAAGACGACTCGGATGTTGGCAGCGCCAGCGTGCGCTGGAGGTTCATGAACTTCGACAAGAAAAACTCCTCCATAAAAAAGAGAACGCAGGTATTGGCTTAAGGAGGATGAAGGTCCCAGACACTCCATAATCCCTTGATTTAGTAATATACCTTACATCATATTAGGGATCCTACTCTAATTTAAGGCATATTCCTTAATTAAGGGATATTGGAGTCTCTGGGTATCCCAGCAGGATGCCAAGATTTGGTGATTTCAGAAAGAAAGGATGCTGTTTTAGTGTTGACAGTGACAAGGAATCTAGTGTTTGAGTTTGACATATTTCGGGGTTTCCGAAAATGGGGGACCCTGATATAGTATACCATAAATAGTAGGATCCTTATTATCAGGACCCCAAAAGAAGGTGCCCCTAATTTTCGGAAACTCCCATTTGTCCCTTGCACTAGACCAGAGGGTTCGGCCGGGTGTAGAGCCGGGGTGCTGCAGACACACCATCTTCCATTGTCCGATCGTGCCCTTGTCGATAAAACGCGTGCCATGCTCTTGGATTTCCGTCGAAGTGTATTGTTTGCAAACTCATCCGATAAACTTATAATCCCTCAACGCTACTTCCTAAACCTGAAACCCCAAACCCTAAAACAGAAAGCACCAACAAACCCTTGAGTACAGTGTAATACCCCGGTAGAACCGCTATTGGAAACCCCCCAAAAGGGAGTCCCGTATACAACCACCCCCCCCCCCCCCCCCCCCCCGCCCTCCGCCTAAAAACCCAGCCCCTAAACCCTAAATCTTAAACCGGCCTTTGCCGCCTCTGCAGTGTTGCGACCGCCAGCGAACCTCAAGAATAGGGTTCCTACAAGGGCTCCTGTAAGGGATCTAGAAGGCTCTAAGGGTTCCTCGAAGGCTTCGTTTAAAAGTTCCTAAAGGAAACCCTAATTCTGAGCAGATAGAACACTTTACAAAAAACACATATCTGAAGCCTCACACATGGCAGGATACCTTGTCGGTGGACCTATGTTCAAAACCCTGCAAAGCTTACGTTCACGCCGAAATTTCTCAACTAACATAAGGGCGTGTATGAACAGAATGATAAACTTCCTCCTGGGATTTTTTGAAATGCTCCATTGTTGTCACCATGAAGGCAGCGATACATGTTCTATGATCTTGTTTCTGGGTCTCCATAACTCCACTATGTTTCGAGGGGTGAATTTTGTATAGTCATATGAGGCATTGCTAGTTCTTCCGACCCTCATAGTACGCTATATATGTCAAGTTGTAGCAGATCCTGAATGGTCAACAGGCTTCACGCGTTCAGGGTTCATTATTCGGGGTTTGAGGTTATTCATGCCGGACCGCAGTGCCAGCAACCCCTTCAGTATAACTAAGGCGAGGATTTAGGGTTGAGGGTTTAGGGCTCTCCTTGCCTTACAATACACAATCATCCTTGTTGTTGTCGCTCCTTCTTAAGATTACACTGAACTGCAACGAAAAGCACTTACCACTGGGCCTGCCTTCTTTGCTGAAAAAGCTAAACCCACGGCTGCAGTGTCGACCCCTTCCAGGATCTGATACAAGGCTTCGGACTTGATGTGGGAGCGTATTACATGAGGATCATGTGCGGATAATACTACACATGGGTAGTTGTCAAAATTCTGGCCCCTTTTTGAGTACTCCAAATATTAGGTGCCGTATTATAATAAGGACCCAAGAGTGTAGAGTTCGGGGCTACTGAATGCATTAGAGCCTTAACTCGTGGCTTTCGGGTTTATGGCCAAGGGTATGGGGCCACTTGATAAAGGCTGCACCCAAAGGGCATGAGGAAAACGGCGAGGTGATGAAGATGCTCCAACTTTCCGGCTTCTGACACAAAATAGTCTCGCGAATGAGATAAGGGTCTGAATAGTTAGACAAGGAGTGTGCGGGGCTTTATACCACTATAAATTATAAACGTACAAACAGAACCCGGTAGTGGGGCAGTCATCTTGTTGAGCATTCTGCCAGCAGCTTTGATTTTTACACCAAAGCCCGCGCCACTGGGTCCACCGTATGCTTACTTGGAGGGTCGGGGGGCTTAGTAAGTTATGATTTACATCTTGTAAGTATCATACTTAAAGGGTCATGGGACTTAGTAACTAGGGTTGTAATTAAGGTAACTGTGCTTACAGTTACTAATAACCCCAATTCAAGCAATTACTTATATAACCCTACTACTAACTAAGTCCCATGATCCTCCAAGTAACACCAGCGTGGGGTCCCCTTGAGGGTAAGTCTACTTATTACCGACTTACTCAGTGCCCCAACCCTCCAAGTAGGCTTTTACCATACACGAACCCTGGATCGAACTCTCGACCCTGAGCCCTCAGCCCCAATCCCTGCATCCCCGAAACACTACGGTTGATGATATAAATCCTGCATTACCAATAATAAGGAATATACCATTATTCCCATAGTTTAGGATCCTTACAGTAATGCAGGATTTATATCATCAACACTAGCACCCTGTCTATCTTGTCAGCCAGGTTGCTCAGCCATCTCTGGGTAGACCTCCCCGAGGACCTGCGTAGACTTTCCAGACCCTCGGGAGGATCTCGCAAGTAGGTAACCCTAAACCCTAAACCCTAAACCCTGGTAACCCTGGTAACCCTGGTAACCCTAAACCCTACATTTAAGGGTTTGGGTCCCTTGGAAGGCTCCTTCAGGGGATCTGCGAAGGTTGAGGGTTCCTTTAGTTTAAGGGTCAGACTTTCGGAAGGGGAACGAAGTCGGCCAGGGTTGAGGAAGAGTTGCGAAGCATTGAAGACGAAAACCGGGAATCCTGCACCCTAAACCCTACGTACGCCCTATACCCTGAACCCTACACCCTGCTTCCTCAACGCTAGACCTCCTGCAACCTAAGCTCGAAACCGTCACGCTCTATCTACACCCACACATCGGTAGGATCTGGAAGTCCAGTTTTCAGATCCTTGCAAGCGTCTGAGGTTTAGGGTTTAGGGTTAGGTCTAGGATAAGTTTCAGAATATTAAGGGAGTGTAGAATCGCCTTCCGTCCAATATCTCTTCAACGAACAATCTAAACGCCCAAAGCCCCCTGCATATCCTAAGGGTCCACATACCATGTTTCATACACTCGCGCCACTATCACTGTTGCTATCCTATTATCCCACCACTCATATTTCAATGACTATTCAGTACCAGACAGCAGATGTCGATCCACTCCATGACTCCGCCCTTGTCGATCTGTACCCGCATGGAGAACCCTGCCGAGTCGAACTTTAAGAGTTGCTATTATTTGCTTAAGAAACACCCAAAAAATAAAAATAAGAATCCCTATATTACCACCATAAGGACTATATTTTTTTATTTTTTGGGGGGTTCTTAAGCAAATAGTAGGTTGCATCGTGAACTTCACGACAGTGTCGGCAGTCTTCCCGCAATGGGTGACTACTTTGCCCCGAGCATCGCTCGTGTAGTTCCATGCCTGTTTGGTCGACTTCAATACCCAAATTTAAAGCGACCGGCTCTTTGATGGACTGCAAATCTTCTGCAATCTCGCGCCTCAGGCGGTGTTTAGTGCTCAAATGAGCCAGCTCACCTTTGGACGTCTCAGTGCCGGTGACTTTGGCCAAGTTAGGCTGGACGACTGCCGGCTCGCTGACATCGGGGTGTTCCCCGAAAAAAGGATGTAGTCGATGACATACCCAAACACAGCGTGAGTCGAAACCCTCACAAAAGTCTCGTCTACCACCCCCCGAGGCGCTTTGCCTCGTTTGAGGATGCATTCAAGCTTCACTCTGTATTCCCCAAGTGTCAACAGCGTCTGGCAGAAAATGAAGCTCCCTGACGATGCCCTAAACCCTAAACCCCTAAACCCTAACATCCTAAACCCTAAACCCCTAAACCCTGAACCTCGTCCTCCGACCTCTGCTTTGCCATCAGAACTTCCATGGAAAAACCAAGCCACCCCACGTTTTAGGTTTTAAACCCATCGACGAGAAACCCTAAACCCCTCCAACCCCAAATTTGCAACCCGGACTCTGCAGGCATGAACTGACTGAAGGCCTAGCATACGGGTGTGGTGCCGTCCTACAACCCAGACAACTATTTAGACCCCCGGGAGGATGCGAAACATCGAGCAACTCAAAACAATGTATCTTAAGCCAAGTGATTACGGATTCAGTTGTTTGGTATTTCCATTGCTTAGATCCTTGATGAGGCTTATTACCAGGGTTCAAACCTTAAAGCCGTAATCCCTAAACCACACAGCAAACCACGAAGCCAGATCCCCAACACCTACAGTAGGATTTGGGCCATATAGAACCACCCTAGTCCCTAAACCCTACGGCTCGAATACAGGGCCTCAATGTACAACTAGAACTGAGTTTCGGGTCTATTCTGGTGTACATACTGACACAAAGGCAATAATGCTGGAAACTGCTTCCTGGACACTGAAAGTTAAATCTACCCTTTCAAGGACCTATATAAGGAAATCATACGAAGGAATCCCGCCCAAAAAGGCAGGCTATTTGGGGTTCACCTTGCCTAGAAAGACTGCGATGGGGTTTCTTATAGGAACCCTCTTACAGGAATCCTCCACCAAACCCGTAAAGGAGTCCGTGAAGGAACTCTGATGAAAACCCACTCAGGACAATATCCTTCAAGGTAACCCTAAGGGTCCAACTATCTAACCATCATCTACTCTCCCGAATAGTAACGTCCATAAGTACCATCCGAAACCTAAGTAACTGACTACTGGGCCGTTTGGACCCTTATAGTAGAAGCCGGAAAGTGGGAACATCATTATCCTCATGCCATTTAAAGTAGTAAAATATCAGGGATCCCAGCACGAATCCTCCGAAAGCCATGTTCTAACTTCCTGGCATCTATTATAAGGGAAATCCCTCATCAGGAACGCCCTTCCGTTTTTGGATTCTCACTGGGAAGGCAGGAACGGAGGCCTGGGTGTACCAGTCCTGGGACGAGTTAGGGTTGGGGGACCTAGTAAGCAGTTATTGCATAGGTTTGTATCTATCTTCACCCCAATAATAAGGATGCCTTTTCGGCTTCTTTTGAGTCTGCTCATTACTGCTTATACTTACTAAGTCCCCCGACCCTCCCAGTTGAGGGTTTAGAGTTTAGGGCTTGCTTAGGACGTCTATGGGAGTTCACAAAGGTTTGCGAGGTGCGAGTGAATGAGTGCTTATGGAGGCATTGAAAGAGCTTCTGGGAGCTTTGTCGATCTTTGTGTGAGTTCATGAAGGGTCTTTGAAGAATCTTCATTCATGGTATTGTGTGAACACAATGTTTGAGGAGGTTTTTGGGTTTGGGTTTGGGGTTCAGGCAGGCTAGTTTAGCTTCCGCTGTTCGCCGTTAAGGTGTAGAAGTTTGGAGTTAAGCCTTCCAGGGTTGAGGGGCTCGAGGGGCTTGGAAATCAGGCTGTGGGGTTTAGGGTTTAGGGCTTATAGAGGGTTAGGGGTTTAGGATCCAAGGGCTTGGGGGTTAGGGTTTCAATGGCTTAGGGTTTAGGGTTTAGGGCTTAGAGGGTTAGGGTTGGAGGTTTTGGGGCTCACGTTTTGAGCTCGCTGGGATCGAAGAGACTTTGACAGTACTACTGATATGGCGCCACGAGGTTCCCATCTTCGCACCTTGCCGGACCCCGCTTCCCAAACCCACAGAGCCTACCCCAAGACAGGTATCCTGCCAGTTTATGACTTCAGGCAGGCCTTTCTGAATGAGGGGGTTCTCATTGTTGGATCCTCCCGGCTGTTTGGGTTCGTACCTTCGCATACCATAGGCTAGGAAAGATGAAGGTAAGCCACCGCTTTGAGAGTTCGGCAACAAAAAACAGTAGACTCCGACTACCGACTCAAGATGAACGCCTTTGGAGGCTTTTGCTGAGCCGTGCCTCACCTTTTTGTGGGAGATTACCATCTCGGCTCTAATTTTCGCGAAGGTCTATGCCAAAAGGGTTGGGACCATTCGGAATCCAGCTCCCAAAAAAGATCCTCAGCCACGTTGCCGGCAGCCTACCTCAACAGCCCTAGACGAAGTCTGTAAATTGTTAAAGCAACATGGGGACTAAGCGCAAACCAAAAAAAAACACGGAACCCGATCAAGACATGAGGCAGCTCCTCCTAAAAACCATAATCCCAAAGCCCCAAACGCTAAGCGCTAACCCCTCCGCAAACCTTAAAGGGCCCTTACAAACCTTAACCGCCCCCCCCCTTTAGTTTAGGGTTTAGGGTTTAGGGAAAACATGAAACACCGGGGCCGCAGCCGACATCAGGGGCTCCCGATCGAAGGCCAGACCCTGGAAACGTGAGCAGCATCACCAACCCAGATGGTCATGGGAATCAATAACTAAGGGTTCTATAAGGTTCCTTTAAAGAGATCTACAAGGGTTCTGTAAGGGGAGGTTAGGGTACTTAAAGGGTCATGGGAACTAGTTACTGTTTATAACTAAGGTAACTATACTTATACTTACCTGTATTCCCACATAAGGTACTTATAGCTGTACTTGCTAAGTCCCATGATCCTCCAAGCAAGCGCCTACAGATTCCGCCGAGGGTTAGGGCAGGGTCTATGGGGCTTTGGCGTTTAGAGGTTTAGGGTCTATAGGGCTTAGGGGTTTAGGGCTTGAGGGGTTTAGAGCTTGGGGGCGTAAGGGTTTGGGGTTTACTATACTGAATTTAGAACCCTAGCAAAAATGATAATTTTAGCTGTTTCTTAGGGGTTATAATAACCATGGCAAAGATTAAAAACTATTTCTAAGTACCCCTAAGTTTAGGGCTTCATAACACCACTGTTTTAAATGCCTTACTTTTGGGATCCCCATTAGGCTCCTCATTCAGGGATTCTGGTTGGTTCAGGACTTCGGGTTTGGGGTTTAGTGCTTAGGGCTTTGGCCTTCGGGGTTCCAGAATTTGGGGTGTTTAGATCTGGAATAACGAAGCTATCTTTCAAGAAAAACAATGTACCGTCCCTCGAGGGGGGTGGCCATCTGCTTTTGAAAGGTAGGTTGGCGTCACATGCCGTCACGCCCTCCGCTGACTCAGTCCCGAGCGGTCTATGTGGCAATGCACTCCAACAGGACGATGCTGTGGGGCATCTGGGAATCTGGAGACCAATAGGCTTGCACTGCAGGACGACCTCTACCAGAAGTCCTGCAGGTTGCTGTTTGGAGGGCTGGGGGCCAGCCCAACTCTGCTCGGACACTGTGCGCACTCCAAGCGATGTTGCGTTTTTACTCCCCGTCACAAACATGTTGCTTGCCGCGCCTGCCTCTAATGTATTTGGGTAGGTCGGCCGCGCCTAGGTTTAGGGGATTCCAGAAAGCACCCAACACGTACCCAAACCCACCCCTCGCCTCCGAACAGCGCCCAGAACCGCCAAGGTCTTGCGCCACAGCAACCTGCGCCCCTGCGACCTAAAAAACTTTCAAAATAATCAGAATCCGAATCCCCAGGAGGATCCGAAAAGTAGATCCCTTAATGGGGATTCCTGTAAAGTACCCTTAGTAGTATAGGGCCCCAATTAAGGGATCTACTTTCTAGATCCTCCCGGGCATCTGGGAATCCGAAGCCTAAACTCCAACCCGCCGAACCCCAAACTCTGCCACCCGTAAGCCCACAGAGTTCCAACACCCGAAAGCCCTAAAATGCAGCTTACTTTTGGGGTTAGGGGTTTAGCTGTTCTAGACCTAAGAGTAACCTAGGAATAAAAAGGGTGCCCTTTTTGGTTTCAAGGGGATTATAATGGAACCCGAACCCTAAAAAAGGGCATAAGGTCCTACTCTGGGTCCTAGTGTTAGGGTTTGGGGCATTGGGTTAGGCCTGACGATCCCTTAAATTCAAAGGTTTCATAGTGGCCACAGAGGGATGAGAAAAGGGTTTATTTGGCAAGACGGGTTTTGGCCAAGGTTTTCAGTATCGTTTTTGAGTCCAATGTGATCAAGACCCACATTTGCCCTGGAGACTGCAGGTAAAACCCCAACCCATCTAAACCCTAAGCCGCCTAAACCCTTCAATCACTGGATAATCGCAGCGGGATCCACCCCGGGTCGGCGCTTCAGCCGGCAGACAAAGGCATCACCACCTACAGCGACCGTTGCACAGGTTTCGCAGCACCCTTGAGAGTCTACAGCACCCATACAGGATACTTGAATAAATCATAACCGTTTACTCGTAGTATGATGATGACCCGATTCTGAAAGGATGTGGGTACTTAGGCTTACAACTTATACATGCCAACAACTCCGTCATTTGCTGCAAACTGCAAAGAATGTCCATGTTCAATCCTTATCGCACCTCTGCCACCCAGATTTTTGAAGGGGTTCCTACAAAGTACGTTAGTAATGTAGAGGAACCCCAAGTTTGGCATTCGACTTTTTGGATCCTCTTACAGGGAACTCCAGAAAGTTGGAATATGGATTAATGGTAGGATCCCCTATAATTTACCTTAAAGGGGTTACGATAATGATATTCCAACTTTCTGGCTTCTACTGTAGGGGTCTGGTTCTGTGAGAGCTTGAAGTGCCAGGAGCTTCAAGCTGAATCATTGCAGCGTCGGGTTGTTCTTCGCTTTGAGGTTTCGGTGGGGTTCTGTCAGCGCGCCGTTTGTGAGGGTTCACCACAAGCTCGCAACCCTGCGATTTTATAGGCTTCTATAACGGTTCTACTTCAGTGCCTTTGGAACCATGATACACATACCTATCAAACATACTGCATTTAATCTCTTGGAGTCTTATTGTAATGGCGAGATCAATACAAAAAGTAATTTCTAAAAGAGCTGAAGTCTGAAAAGGTATCAGAACACGTCACGCAGAAAGTCCCAGGTACCTGCACAGTAGAAAGCAGGGCTTCTATCATGCGAATTACCCTGTCTTACTATTATTACGATTATTGCTATTATTACTACTATTACTGTTATTACTATTGCTAGTACTACTATTGCTACTATTACTACTACTACTATTACTATGATGGATTGCCTGAATATCCCCCAATATAGGTACTTAGCTCCCTTCGGGTCAGCGACTCCGCGTTTCAGGCATTTAGGGGCCTCAAAGGTGATATATGACTTGGTAATCACCAATTGACCCCTGTTCTCCCTAAGGTTCTCCAAGATTCCCTAAAATCCTTCACTGGAGGGATTTGGAGAAAAGGGCTGGGATTTTCAAAGAGCTGCTGAAAGCTTGGCTTGGGCTTCACACCGAGATCCGAAACCATGTTTTAAGGTTTAAGATGTAAGGTTTGGGTTTCGAGTTTGGGGTTACGGTTTCAGTTTATGGTGCGGGTGTGGGGTTGCAAATTTAGAAGTTGTCAGTTAAGACCCACTTCTTGATTTTGTGGTGAGAAGTTGTTGCCATCAGTAGTTTTGTCTTGTCTGGGCAGAGAAGCTAGACCCAAGAGTAACCTAGCTAGGAATAAACAGGGTCCCTTTCTGGTTTAAAAAGAGTAACGTGGGAACCTAAACCCTAAACCAAGGGAATAAGGGCTTACTTTGGATCCTAGTTTAGGATTCTTCTGGGTTTTTGTTTCAATCCTGCCTGAAGGGTTGTTTCAGAGCTCTGCAGCAAAGCAAAGCAGTAAAGGATGTGCATCCGGCTGCGCTAGAACTAAACCACAAACCCCAAATCCCTTCAAATTCAGGCCTTATAGACCCCTGTTTAAAGAAACCCTTAGTTAATAATTTAATTTCGTCCCTTAAATTAAATGCCATAGTCAAAGCTCTGCGCGCCCGGCTGACGGCCACGCGCTTTGAGAAGCCAAGATTCAGGGCCTCATGGAAGGCTGGGAACTTAGGTTTCGGGGTTCAGGATATTACTGGTTTAGGGCTTCAGGGGTTTAGGTTTTAAGGGTTTGGACTCACATATTACAGGGAACTCCAGAAAGTAGGAATATGGTTTCAGGGTAGGATACCTTGTAATTTACCATAGAAGGGTTAGGATAATCATATTCCAACTTTCTGGCTTCTACCTTAAGGCTTTGAAGCCCAAAAGCCATAACATACAAGGACCAGGCTTTTGGGCTATTTTGGGCCTCAGGGAAGTCTGGGAACTAACCGGGACTCCCCAATGGCCCTTTAATGGAGCCCTTATGGTCCTTAATAGTGGGTATTGGGGTACACTAGACGGTAGTAAAGGCCTCATGGAAGGCTGGGAACTAAGGTTAAAGGGTTCAGCATTTTGCGGGTTCAGGAGGTTAGGGCTTCAGGGGTTTACAGCATTTCGGGATTTGAGTAACTTTAGAGTTTAGGGAAGTGTTTGTTTGTTTGCAGGGCTGCCAAGACAATCAGAAAGCCCTTAAATACATAATATACTCTAAACCCTAAACCATAATAAACCCTAAATCACAGGGTGGGGAGGGGACCTTTGCATGAAGCACCATACAGCCAGACCTGTGCTGTTTAGCATGCAGCCTTGATCTATATAGAAGTCCACAAGCCAGATCAGAAGCCAAACGCTACTCATCTCAGAATCTGTATGGTTCTTAGTAGGGAATGCGAGAGTGGGTTATGAGGACTCGTATTGGGGATTATATAGGGACTACTCTAGGGATCCATTCCCCCATTCCCTACTAAGCCCCAGACAGAGACATGTATCATTAAATTTAAATTCCGCACCCTAAGACTTCCTGTTGCTCCCCTACGCACATATAACCCATCAGCGAGATCCGAGAACAGTCTTCAGTGCTACGGCCATCCAACTTCGCCAGCTGAAACATGGTGAAGTCATGCCAAGGCTAAAGAAAACAGGGTTGTCCATTTAAAGGAAAACAGCCCGGACTTTGGCCCCAATAGTCCTACACATGGACCCCATCACAGAAAGTACCCTGACTTAGCTGTCTTTCCTTTTCTAAGGCATCTCAAAAATCCGACAACCTTAAATCCGAGACCCCCGAAACACCGTTTAGGGTTAGGATCACCGAAACCCCTAAGCCCACAAAAATGGAAACCCACCAAACAACTGAAAGCACATTCAGAACGACGAAACCTTGCACGAAGAAAGCTATACGGCTTCAGGTTTGTGAGGTTGTGCCTGACAATGAAGACCCCTTGAAACAAACATTTCGCCTTCGTGTACCAAGCCCTACCCTAAAGGTATCGGATTCAGGGTTAGCTCGAAGAATGAGTTTTAGGTACCAATAACGTTTCAAAGGACATTACCTGGGTCCTGGAACTATCAGCCCACAAATCCCGAAAGACTCCGCATGCGCCTTATAGGAGATGCAAACCCCGATATACAAAAACTAAACCCTAAACCGGCAAGCCTTGAGTGTGTGTGCATGTGTGTCTGTGTGCGTGTGTGTTTTCCCGGAAGCCTCTTCCTCATCGCTCACTAGATCTTCTGCCTGCGGCATTCAAAAGCAAGGCAAGCTTGAACGCTGACCTTGATGGTTAGGGTTTCTAATATGCCCCAAACGAATTAGGCCCCGAAAGACCATCCTTATCATGGCTTTGGTGACCTAACCCATAATAGTAGTATACATGGAAATTGGTTGTAAGATCATAGGCCTAGACCACCCCAACTACCCTCTAATATGGCCCAGATACCCTCTGTTATAAAGACCATACAGGCTTCGTTAAAATGTATATATTTGGGGGGAGGGGGGGGTCCTAGTACTTCCCTGCGAGGGTGTCCAGCAATTACTAGCATGCGCCAGCCAAATACCTAAGTCCTGCGGCTTGGACCTGTCAGGATAACCTAGTACCAAACCTTTGTACAGGATTGTGCGACCATTGGAACTATTGACAACCAAAGACCTCAATCCAGCTATTAGTGGTATGTTTTCTGTGTGGTTCCATCCCCGTGCAGGTAGGAATGAACCGAAGAAAACATTCAGCAGTTGTGGGTGAAGGCTGAGTCAGGTCATCATAGGATGCCTGATCTCGGAACGACTTGTTAGGATCAAGAAGTTGCAAGTCGTTCGCATCTGTGCAGCATCTACTCCCGCACCCACCATGCCGTCTTGGCGTGTCTTGGCATCGTCGGTGTCAGTGTCTTGAAGGGCTTAAGTGGCCGGTTGCAGCGCCCCCTTACTTTCATAGGGATCCTTAGGGGTGTAGGGGGAGGGGGGGTAGGGGCCTTAAGGCCCATAATAAGGACTAATAAGGCCTATTTAAGGAAATATAGTCCCCTACACCCCTCCCCCCTACACCCCTAAGGATCCCTATGATACTTTCGAAGCAGAGGTTCGGGCCGTGAGGTGCAGTGGTCGTAGCGCACCACAGACACCCAACACACCCCGCGACAGCACATGTTCCCCCCGGGAGCGCAAACCGGTGTCAACAAATGATAAGACCAGGCTGCATAAATAGAAGGGGCTCCGCCTTTCAAGGTTTGCAGGGGCGGTGGCATTATCGTCCTGAAGCTGGACACCGACATTGGTGCTGGTGTTGTCGAAGCCGGCGGCGTAGGCATTGTCGAAGCATGAAACCCGTATAAAAGCCCCTCAGTCTCATCCCTAAAGCCCCAAATATGTATAGTAGTATAGGGGCCACAATAAGAAGACTAGGGTTGTGGGGTTTATGATACCATAATGAGAACAAGGAACCCCCAAAATAGTATTGGTAATTATTTAAGCGCCTATATTAGTCCTGAAGTTGTTGGGGTTTGGGTTTCGGGGTTTAGGGGTAACCGCAGCCTAAAACGATATGTGTAACTGGCCAAACAAGTGGGTTGCAAGCCGGACTCCAAACTTCAAGCCATGAGTTGTCCTACCCAAAGGTCGAAGTACCCAACTAGGAGGGTTTAGGGTTTATGGGGCTTCGGCTTAGGGTTTAGAGTTTTTCGAATTATCTAAGTCCCAAAGTCCATACTCTGAATGGTTTTTGGACCTGAAACCCTACTATGTGGGCACTTGGACCCTTAGGCCTAGTTTCGATATTCGAGCATGCAGCCGCGAGCTCTAAACTCGCAACTGAAAGATGCTTGTTTGTATTTTTTGACCCTACTGTTTCGGTTCAGTATGTGCTGTTTTTACAATTTAGGATCAAGGCCCTAGACCCCCCAAACCCTAAACCCCTTTAGTGCCCCAAGAAAGCACATAAGCAAACATAAAGATGTTGATATTCCACATAAGCCCCCTTGTAATGAAGCCCAATAAAGCAGGGATATCCCAATCAACTGCTTGTGCTTAGGTCCTTTTGAGGTCGCTAACCATTTTCGGATCCGGGAATCCATCGCCTCCGCAGCAACCGCTTCGGGATCCGCCTCCTCTGAGTTGGGACCTCGGGTGCGGTGTAGACAAATTTGGGTTTTAGGGTTCCTCTAAAGATGTCTATAGAGGATACTGTAAGGGTGTAGGGTTTGGGGGTATAGTGGTTAGGGTTTAGGGTTTGGGGTTTAGGAAGGTTTAGGGCGGTATAGAAATTCTGTAAAGTGTAGAGTTTGTGGCTTTGGGGCTTCAAAGATTTAGGAATCAGGGCTTTCCGGATGACGAGAGTTTAGAGTGTTATGCAATTTTTTAGGCTTTCGGACTAGTGATTTAGGATGGTTTAGGGTTCAGTCGCTCGTGAATGTTGACCCTACGGCTCAACCTAGAACCTACACCCTAAATCCGAAACCCAAAGCCCTAAACCCTAATCAGCTCAAAAGCCTGACATGGTATGGTCGTCGGGCCCGCAAGGATGCAGAGAGTTTGGGACGGCTTTCGGATCGGCCTGTGACGTTAAACCCTACAAACTAATGTAGGAACCTGGTTAAGAAACCTGGGGCCTTATTTAGGTTCCGTATATGAATCCTAATTGGGGGTTATAGGCCCAGGGTTTCTTAATCAGGTTCCTACATCAGTACGTTATGACCCCTTGATTTAATAGAAGGTCGAACCCTTAAAACGGCAGGTTTTTGGATCCCCAGTTAGGGTTTAGGACCTGGGAAACGCGTGGTACATTTGCGTGTCTATGTCTTCGGGGCCTATCTAATATTATGAGGGTTTGGGGTTTAGGTTTTATGCGACTACAAGTATACCCATAGGCCCCAAAGCAGTTATATTACTTTTTGGGATTACCTTATAGGATTCTATATATGAACCCCAAAAAGGAACTACTTTGGGGCCTTAGGGTAAGTACATGGACCCACTGGGTTACTGTTCGGCTGGGTGGCTGCGTCTGAGGCGGTCGGAGGTCTTGGCAGCTTTCTCCTGCGGAGATCCAAAGACAGGGTGTGGGGTTTAGGGTTTAGGGTTTAGGGCTTAGGGTTTAGGATTTAGGGTTTAAGGTTTAGGGTTTAGTGTTTAATATCTGCACCTCAAAGTGCTTGCCAAAATCTAGACCGTAAACCAACAACACTTTACTAGAGTAAGGGGTTCAAGGTTTAGGGTTTGAGTTTTCGACAGCCCGAACTGCTGCTGAGTCTGGCTGCAGGATGCAACAGCCAGAGCGCTTTAATAATCTGAGAGAAGAACCCTCAACAAGAACACCACCGCAACCCGCACATTAGTGGGATAATTGCCTTTCTAGGTGCTCTACTTTAAAGATGTTTAAGTTTTAGGAAGGACGCCTTGCAGGCAGCAAACCTTGTGAGAGTAAAGGAGTCTACGTGTCCTTTCAGTAGGCAAAGTATATTCTGTGCAGGTTCAGGGCTTACTAGGTCTTTGTGGATGTACATAAGGCTCTGTCGGAATCTTGGCGAATGTGAATATGTGCGGGTTTCTGCTCGGGGGTACTGACCATAAAACCCTATTTCATGTAGATGCTGCAAGCCATCTGCGCAGAGTGTCCGCAAGAACTATCATTACGATCATTGTGTAACCTGAAACAATATAGCAACTGCACATTTCTGCACCATATTCGACTCTGCGATAAAGTGCTCTTCTCCCTGTCCTCAAGGGTCCATGTACTCATATAGTATATATATATATATACATTGGCCTTAATGTAGTCCCTATATAGGTACTTTGGGGCTCATGTATCTCCATACTGTATGGGTACATGGACCCTTAGGGTGTGGAAGCAAGAAAACAAGTGGATTTCTGCGGATCCCTCCGAAACATGATAAGGCGTGTGATGACAACAATTCCCGAACAATGTCTCTCAAAGGGTCCCAGGCACTGTTATAGGGAATACTTCCCCAAATCATTATAGTAATTCCCAATATAGAAACCCTACATACTACCATATATGTACTTTGGACCCTTTGGGTCTCTCAACCAGAAAAGAACGACTGCTCACTGCTTAACACGCAACTTCAGCAAGTCCACGCTCACCCTCGATATTTTTCTCGATCAGCAACACTCAAGCGCGACGCTGAGCTCTTTGAGCCATGAGCTTAATTACAGGAGCGTGATGCCGTGATGAGCGTGCTCTAGGCCTTGACTCCTAAAACCTGAATCCTTTACTCAAGTCTGACTCATGTCTCGAAATCGGAGAATCTCGGTTTGCAGGCTGAGTATCGGTTTAAGATATATAATTACAGGAAAGGAAGACGGGTAGGAGGGGAAGTTAGAAGGTAGGGACAATACCTCTCCTTTCTGGCATACATTCAGAATGTCGAAACACTTCAGCCCGCTCTGCACCCGGAGTTCACAGTTTAGGAATGCGAGTTTAGGCTTCTGAGGGGAAGGTTACCGGTTACAGGATTCCTCTGAGTTGCATTCCGGGATGTAATTCTCCCGCTTCGACGAGCACCCCGAACCATAAACCCTAGACTGACATACAAGGTCTGAAAAATTACAATAAGGATCCCTCAGGTGTTCCTTTACGCCGGTTCTTTACGGGTTCTACGATATAAGGGTCTAAGGAAACTTTAATGGGTCTTTGTTGTATATTCTGCTATGTTTATAGGAACTACTGTAGTTGTTCAGGCTTCTGCTTTACCTCAACTGCAATGCCAAGGTGCTATAGTACCTGATGGTGAGGGGTTTGCAGGTTCGCGCTTGGGCTTTCGGTTTGCAATAGTCCTACACTGCACCTTGAACCCAAAACCCTAAAACCCTAAACCCTAAACCCTAAAACCCTAAACCCTAAACCCTAAAACACTAGAACCCTAAAATCCTGAAGCCTAAACCACAGTTGCATTCTCAGCCCTTGCACACTGAACTGTCTGAGCAACCTAGCCCTCGGGCTTGCAAGGGGTTTAGAGGTTTAGGGTTTAGGGTTGGAGGGTCGCGGGACTTAGGAAGTAGCTCTTTTTAAAGACGTATAAATATCATAACCCCAATTGCAGTCCCTTTTAGGGTACTTATAGGTCGGCTTATAAGTATCATAGCCCCAATTGGAGTCCCGTTTAGGGTGCTTATAAGTCTGTTTATTATCTATTTACTAAATCCCCGGACCCTCCAAACCCTTATAAATCGCCTCTGAACAATCGTATTCTAAAACCCTTCAAGCCCTAAACCCAAAACATTCAAAAGTCCTAACCCTGATAGCCCAAAGTAATAGGTGACTATGCAATTCTAGACTTTAGACCCCGAAGTAGGTACTATTCGTATACTTGGAGCCCTAGGGTAAGAAGCCTGACAAAAATCGCAGGCCCTAAGGTAAAAGCCAGAAAGTTGGAATATGATTATCCTAAACCCTTTTATTGTAAATTATAGGGCATCCTACCCTGAAACCATATGGGAGTTTCAGAAAATAGGGGACCCCAATATAGTACCCTAAATAACAGTAGGATCCTTATTATAAGGACCCCAAAATAAGGTACCCCCTAATATTCTGAAACTCCCATATTCCAACTTTCTGGAGTTCCCTTTAGGGCTTCACGAAGTCGGCAGCCAGGGGCCGCGTCTCCCCAGACTGCAGCGGATGTGCGTTGACCTGGGCCCATTTCCAGACTAAGGTTTAGGGCTTATAGGGTTTAGGGTTAGGGTTTAGGGTTTAGGGTTTAGGTTTAGGGTTTAGGGTTTAGGGCTTGCGGGGTTTAGGGTTTGGACTGGTTTGGGGTTTGGGTTTAGGGTTTAGGGTGTTTCTTTATAGCTCCTTGTTGACGTCTGCTCACCTCGATAACCCCTCGCTCACAACCTTCAGCCCAGTCCGATTACTTCCTCCATGACTTATGCTGCCGGCTCATCACTCCTGCTTAAAGGCTCACGGAAGTTTGTAACTATAGGGTTATAATTACGTTGACTATATTTATAACTACTTATAACCCCAATTAAGGAACGTTTAACCCTACTTACTAAGTCCCATGATCCTCCAAGTGTCTCTCGGTTCGGACCCTAGGCTGCCCCTGGTTCTCATCCACCTCATGCTGTCCCCCACCTTCCGGTGCATGTGGTTCTGCATGAACTGCTGCTTCTGGGATGCCCAACATTTAGGGTTTGCGAAAGAACGAAATCTATCATCTAATCCTATGAACGGAGTCATATGGTCAGTTTAAAAGGCGGAGACACAACGGAAAGAAGGAAGTGAATGGAAGCGTGGTTTTGGCCCGTTTAAATTGGAAGGATCCAAAAAGTAGATTCCGGAAGGTTCTCCTGTAGGGTTCCTTCAGGTGTACTATAAGGACTCTACATGCCCTAGGGGTCCAAGTACCCAAATAGTAGGGTTTCAAGGTGCAATAACCACTCAGAGTATGGATTGGGGGACCTAAGACCCTGCTATTTGGATACTTGGACCTCTTCCTGTCAGGGGTTCCTATAAATTACTTTTTGGTAGTATAGGCTCCGGAACTGGGGGTTCTACTGTCGGGTTTAGTGTTTGAGGTTTATGGAGCTTAGGGGCTACGCGGTTCAGAGCATCAACTGGGATATGCGAAGCAGGCTATTACTGCGGTTCGTAGTAACGTAACTACTGCACTCCCTGATACGGCACTTCTAACTCAAAGTATATTAACCTACTTACGAAGTCCCCTGGTGCTTCGGCTATGCCGTGGCATAAAATAAACAGTTTCGGACGAGCTGCCGCTTGCATCGCCAGCAGTGCTGCTAGAAGCACTGCAATGCCGGATGCACCGCACATGACCTGGGCAGTCGAACCTCTATTCTAGGCCGTGACGCCGAACTCTGCGGCCTACAGCCTCAAGAAACGGTCCCGTCAGACGGCACCCGAACACCTAAACATACCACACCCGCACCAATTTGAACAAAAACACCGCTACAGAGAACTACTCCCAGAGGTCTGGGTAGCCAGGAGGCAAAGTATCCAGAGAGGGCGTAGCTAGCCTGGAGCAGGTGTGTTTCGTGTTGAAAAAGTGGGTCTCTAGAAGCCAACGGAACTACAATGGAGATTATAGGTACGGTTTACGGGACTGGGGCATCGGCTTTCCTTTGAGAATTTAGAGGTTTGTCCGCAGGTGTTCAGCCGCAGCTATAAGCCAGCGAAGCCCTAAACCCTAAAGTCCAAAACCCTGAACCCTGGCAATTGGCCTTCCACCGCCGCCAAGCGCTCTGACTCCATAGTACGAGAAACAATAAAATAACAAAGACTCTGTTTATCTCTCTATATAGATATATAGATAGGTATATATATATATATATATATGTATACATACATTATATATATATATATATCTCTCTCTCTCTCTCTCTCTCTCTCTCTCTCTCTATTTTCAGCTGACAAACTTTCGCCAGGTACTCTGTACCTCCAGAGCCCGCTGCCCTAACCCCTTGAATTGAAGGACCTCCCTAAGGGTCCATAGGGATCTACTTTCCAGATTTCTGTATGCCGTTTTGGCTATGGGTTTAAGGGTTTAGGGGTTGACAGTCCATGTACCATGTAGTGGGTGTAGTACATTCTAGGAACCTTAACGTACCTATACTACTATTTGCTTAAGAACCACCAAAAAATAAAACTAGTAATCCCTATATTACCCCCATAAGGAATATAATTTTTATTTTTTGGTGGTTCTTAAGCAAATAGTAGTATATATTGCCTGTTTACGTAGAACTCCCTACATAGATACTGTATTGTCAAAATATATCAGACTGTATGGGTACAGAGGCCCTTAAACCGTAACCATCCTAAAGTAAACCGTCGATAGGATCTATGGAAAGTACACATACCCAGATCCACAGGCGGATCGAGAAAGTAGATCCCTTGAGGGGTCCCTATAATTTCAAACATATTTGCCCTTCAGTAGTATAGGGACCCAAGTTAGGGGTTGTACATTCTGAATCCTGGATCCTACCAGGGGTCTGGGTAGATCCCCCAAACCAGCTTTCACGAGACTCGCAAGCACACCAGGTAATTGAGGAAAGAGCCTGAGATACTGTTGATGGACAAAATCCTGCATTACCCATTATAAGAAATATACCCATAGTTCCCATAGCCTAGAGTCCTTAGGATCATGCAGGATTTTGTCCATCAGCGGTAGCATGCTAAGGATCCCTCTTCGACTTAGGGTTTGCGGTTCTGTAGGGCTTACTTGGAGGGTCGGGGGACTAGGAAATAGCTATTTTAGAGACTTATAAGTATCGTAACCCCGATTTAGGGTCCTTATAAGGGTACTCATAAGACTACTTACTACCTGCTTACTAAGTCCCCCGACCCTCCAAGGGGTGTAGGGCTTCAGGGTTTTGGATCCCATTCAGATTCAAGAGAAATATCGCTGAACTACGGTGTGTTGGAGTCTCTACTCGGAGGGTCGGGGGACTTAGTAAGTAGTTATTTTAGAGACTTATAAATACCATAACCCCAATAGAGGTCCCTTTTAAGGCACTTATAAGTCTACTTATAACCTATCTCTAGGTCCTCAGGTTCACCTACAATGCATGGGAATTTTGCGTTCAAAGACTGCTCCAGGATGCCAAGAAGCACAGCCCCGGCAAAGGTGTCCTAATGCAGGAGCCTGAATAATTAGAATAGGGTTTTGGGGCCCTCTTCTATAGCCTACGATAACCCTTTCCTGCCTTCCTACAACCTCAACCCTAAACCTTGAACCCTCCTCCACTACAGCCTGTAATATAGGCGCCGTAATAATCAGAATAGGGTTTTGTGACCCATTATACTCTAAGTATAATATGGAACCCTCCAAAAGTTGTATAGGTAATTATTATGGCCCCTATACTAAAACCCCCATAATACCCATGATAGTATTCCTTACAGACCCCTTTTAAAAGGAACCCTTAAACCCTCCGCCACTAAACCCTAAAACCCCTAAAGCCCTACACCCCTGAACCCTCAACCCCTACACTCCCCTAAACTCTAAACCTTAAACCAACCCTAAACCCCTAAACCCTAAACCCATAAACCCCTAATCCTTAAACCCTCCCCGACAACTACCGACCCTCCAAGTAACCCCTAAACAACAGAACCCCCATGCTTCCTAGACCTCGGCAGGATCTAGCAAATAGAACCCCAATTCGGGGCAGGATTTAGGGCTTAGGTTTTCCTTTACGAATGCAGGGTTCTCTTTAAAGGCTGGTACGTACTCAAAAATCTACTTTGCGCAGCTACCAAACCCTACACAAAGCCTAAGCCCTGCACCCCAAACCCTTTTAACCCCTAGCTGTAGCCGAAAAGACCTACTCTTTAGGGCTCCTTATTATGGTTTCTATGTATATGTCCTAAAAATGTAGGTCTTTTGGGTCACGGGTAAGCCAAGTCCCGCAACCCTCCAACTTTTTGTTTAACTGCTCGGCGCCTGTCTCTCGACTCGCACGTGCTCTCCGCCGATGACTTCTGGAGCAGTGAAGGGAGATCGGACATTCGGGGGGACTTAGTAAGTTCAAAGGGCTCTTTCAGGGGTTCCTTAAAGGGCCCTATACAGGTTATAGGGTTTAGGGGAAATCGGGGCCAAGTACCCATATGGAGGATACTTGCCCAAACCATATTAGAAATTCCTACTAACCATATAGATACTTCGGGCCCCCTGAGGATACCAAGTATCTGCATGGTAGAAAGTAGGTTTTCCGGCACTTAGGATTCCCTAAACCCTAAACCCTAAACCCTAAACCCTAAACCCAAACCGCCCAACCCCCAGGCTCAGCTCTTTGCACTCCTTCTCACCGACTTCGTTGAATCCATCCTCAGCACTCCGAATTCCCAGCACGTGGCACAAACACAATATGCGATGTCGCGACAGCGACGAAGCGATTTATGACTCCTGCAACCACAGCAAACGGCTCGCTGCACCCGGTGAACCGCTTAGTGCGGCGGGGTGCGGTGGACGGTCTGCGCCACAGTGTGCGTAGACCTTTTGTCGCTCGGGCCATTTGTACCGCTTCGCGCGGCGGCCTGGGTAGCACTCTTTGAGGGAGTGTTGCCCTGTGCCGTTTCGTGGACTTTGTTGCAGATTGTTTAATAAGGAGGCGGGTTGTTGGGACGACCCCGTCTGCCCTCAGTCCCACAAGACGAGAATGTTTTAAGGTGGTTTCACAGCGCCTGGCTCTTCGGAGCTTCGAGCGACATCCATCCATCCATCCAACCACAGCAAACGCCCGGCAACATGCCGAAGCTTGCCACATCCACGCCGCGTGATTATCCCACGCGCGGCTGACGAATCCGTGAACAGGTGTACTTCAATCTCCTCCTGAAGCAAATGCTCTATGGCGGATCTCAAGAGAATCGAGTCACAGCATGCGCTCACACAAGACATGTACTCTGCCTCGGCACAGCTCAGTGCAATGCATGCCTGGCTTCGCGAAGAACTGTGCAACACCATTCCATCCAGCATCACATAGCCAGCAGACGTACTCTTTCGAGTGGATTTGTTCCCACTCCAATCTGAGTCTGGGAACACTTCCGGAACATGCTTTGATTCTGAGCGGGCAATCAAACCACAACCTTTGCCCTCAGTGTGAAGGAAAGGGACAAAGTCACTGTGAAAAGGCTACGTGTTAGGCTTTGGGGCAGGGTTGACGCCTGCTAAACCCGCCTAAACCCTAAAACCTAGGCCAAAAAAACAATCCGTTTCACGAGGTGTGATCCGGGCTGTTTGCGTTTAATCAACAGCCGAGACCACCGGGAGGACCTAGAGAGCAGGTCCTTTAAGGCTGCTCCCATAAAGCACCCTTTAGCCTCTAGTAGCATGGGGTGCGATTGTACTTTCTAGATCCTCCCGGGAGTCTGATTCAGGGATTAGGGTTCAATCAATCACCCCCAAGGGTCCAAAATCCCCAAGAATGAGGCACTAGAGCCTGAGGATGTTGGCAACGCAGGTCAGTTTGTGGTCGAGTACGATGATTGTTAGCAAAGAGACAAAACTGGCAGGCCCAACAAGTCCTACTTGGAGGAACAAGGGACTTAGTAAGTAAGGTTATAAGTACCTTAACTGGGGTACTAAGTAGTTACAAGTATAGTAACCCTAATTATTACCCTACTTACTAAGTCCCATGACCCTTTAAGTACTTGTCGGGTATCATGCGGAACTAAAGGTTCACTTTTTGGTGATATAGGGATTACTATATAGGGACTATACTACCCAAAAAGGTTAAAGGTTACCTACTCGACTGCTAGGAGGTAGTACAGGGGCCTTCATAAGTCGAGTAAGGCTTCGGCGTTATAGCTCAAAGAAACCAAGAGAATAAGGCTTCGAGTAAGGCTTCGGCATTGTAGTTCAAGGAAACCAAGAGGCTAATGTTGGAAATTTTTGGCGGCTTCTAGGCTAGTCGCACTGTGGAAGCGAAATCATGAACAACGTTCGGGCCTCTGCGACCAAACTCCCTGGAGTAAAAATTGGGGGATTTAGGACGTGTCGGCGACTCCAACCCCTACAGAATGGTAGGTTTAGGGCTAGGGTTTAGGGTATAGGGTATATATGAGCCCTTGAGTAGAGGTAGAACCCCTGCAAACGGTAGGTTTTTTCTATCCCCAGGTAGGGTCTACTGTAACTCCGGATAATCTACCTTTTTAAGGCCTTACACAAGGGAATCACACGAGGGAAACCCTAAATAGGACGAAGGTTTTCAAGGCTTCAGGTAGGGCCACAGCTAGACTCCCGAGGTCTTCAGGAAGGAACCATACACCCCGGGGCAGCCCGAAAGTGCCTGTCACGATGCCCTCTGCAAAAAGATTCAGAAGAATACCTCATGAGGCTGCTTTGTTTCAGTTTATAGGGCCCCAAAAAAGCACACAAGCAACAATTAGGATAGGGATATCCCATATATATATATATATATATGTATATATCCCCCTATAATGAAGCCCAATAAGGTAGGGATATCCCCATAACATGCTTATGCTTATGTGCTTTTTGGGTCCTTGAGTTTAGGGTGTAGGTCTTTTGGGAAGGGTTGGCCTGGGGTTAGTGTTGACTTTGACGGCTGTTTTGCGGCTTGTGGGGTTTAGGGTTTACGGTTTAGGGATGGGGGGTCCGGAGGTTGGGATTTGGGATTCAGGCTCTTCTACGGCAGAATGCTGGGAAAGACCCTAAAAGAAACAATAATTTTGGAGAACTGCCCTTATAGTACCCTTACAGAAACATTATAGAAACCCTTATAGATCCCTTTGAGGAACCCAAGAAAGGTTGTTGCTAAGTTTGCTGGATGTTGGGAGGCTATTCGGACTCAGGGTTCTACTGGAAGCCTCACCAGGGTTTAGGGTTTCGGGTTTAGGGTGGTTTAGGGTTTAGGGTTTTGGGTTTAGGGTTTAGGGCTGCACCTGTGTCGCCTGTAGTGCTTAAGATTAAAAGCAGTCGAAGGTACATGATAGACCCTAGAGGCTTTAATGAACTGGGGCCCAGAGGCTTACAGTCTTGAGGGTTGAGGCTACAGGTTTAAGCCTCAAGTTTCACGCGTGGTCAGAGGTCCACTGCCAGTTACCAGAGCCAACACAAAAAAAACAAAACTACTTGGGGGATCATGGGACTTAGTAAGTAATAAGTACGGTAACTGGGGTTATAAATCATTGTAAGTCTAGTTCCCCTAATTGTAACCCAGTTACTAAGTCCCATGGCCCCTTAAGTAGATCTCACGTGCCCCTTCTTGAACCCGGATAGCGGCCGGGTGTTCCGATACTATCGGGCTCCACTCCCAGAGATCCCAATATCCCTTAATTAACGAATATACCGTAAACCAGAATATGAAGGCCCCGATAATTTAAGGTATATTCCTTGATTAAGGGATATTGGGATCTCTGAGTTTTTTACTTGAGATCTTTACAGACGTCTGGAGCATGAGACTTCAGAATGCAGGATCTTGAAAGACCTAGGGGTTTAGGGGTTTAGGGGTTTAGGGTTTAGGGCTTAGGGTGCTGAACACCAGCTGCAAACCGAATGGTGTGAGAGCTAGAAGCATTGTCGACAGTGTTTACTTTAATTTGGCTACAGTACCTGTCTGTTCAGAGTAGTTGAATTTTTGTATGTATGTATATATATATATATATATATATATATATATGTATATGTATGCATCCATGCATGCGTGCGTGCATGCCTGCATGCATGGACCGACGAATGGATGCATGGATGGATAGATGGATAGATAGATGGACGTGTGTATGTAAGTGTGTATGCATGTCTGTATGTATGTATGAATGAACATGAAAGTATGAATATGTGCATGTCTATATGTGTGTGTATACGTGTATGTGCAAGTGTATATGTATGCGTAATTAAGTGTATATGCATGTGTATATGTATGCGTAGGCGTGTATGTGCAAGTGCATGTGCAAGCTTGGAGGCTTGTGCGTGTGCATGTGCATACGCACGTGTCTGTGTAGTATAAGTCTGTGTGTGTGTGTATGCGTATGCGCATGTGTATGGCATGGGCATGCGCATGCGCATGTACATGCATATTATAACAAACTGTATGCGTAAACGTATGGATATCTGCATCTGTATATGTACACGTATATGTGTATGTGTACGTATATGTCTATTTCTATGTTTATGTATATGTCGAACCTAAAACACACACACACAGACACACAGACACACCGACACACAGACACACAGACGCACACACACACACACACACACACTCTCAAACACAATACAATCCTGCGAAGCCTTATTAGGGCCTAAAACCCTTATACCAGGGTTTAGGGTTAGGCTTGAGTGAGCTTAAGCATGCCGCGCCGCCCGCTAGGAAGTTACCCATACCAACTCCGGCATTCCTGCAGGAGCTGTGGGATCTGATTCCTAAGGGTCCATGTACTCATGTAGTATAAACATTGGCCTTAAAGTATTCCCTATATAGGCTAGGATACCCAGTAACCTAAGAATAAAAAGGCCTCTCTTTTTGGTATTGGGTAACTTTATAAGGAACCTAGGACTACAAAACGGGAATAAGAGTACTACTGGGCATCCTAGTAGGTACATTGGGCCCAAAGTATATGCCATGTGGGTACATGGACCCTTAGGGATTTCAGGGGCCTCCAAGGGTCCGAAGAAGCTTGAACGGAACTGTGAGGCTCCCTTTATGGGTACTTTAAGGCTTCCTTTAAGAGTGCTATGAGGGTTTGAGGCTTAGGGTATTACTACGTACCTGTATAGTCGAATGTAAGGTTTCTATGTCAGAAATACTATTATGGTTTGGCTAAGTATCCCCCATATGGGTACTTAGGACCTTCTGGGAGGGTTGTGGAAAGTGGTTTACGGTTTGGGGAGTGTTTGGGCACCTGTTTTTTCACCCTGTTTACTAAGCCCCCTGATCCTTCCCCAAGGGTCCGAGTACCTAATAGTCATATACTCTCCAAAGCCTAACCTACATAACATAACTACTACGCTAAAACCGAGTACTTGATTCTTGCGTCCTTTGGACCCGTGCCTTCAGCTACACCTTCAGGTATTTAGGATGTCCTTAAGGGGGGGTGGTCCAAGGGGGGTAGGTAACCTAGTAATCCCCATTATTCCCCAATACTCCCTAAGCTTCCCTAAGGTTCCCCAAAGCTCCCTAGTACCCTCCCCCCTTGAACCACCCCCCCTTAAGGATCCTATAAGGTATACAATCTCTTTTTCCTGACCCTACGGCCCGGCTCTACACTGCTCAGAAAAACTACTATTTGCTTAAGAACCCCCCAAAAAATAAAAAATAATAATCCCTATATTATCCCTATAAGGAATATATTTTTAATTTTTTGGGGGTTCTCAAGCAAATAGTAGAAAAACAGACCAATGCCTGACTTCTTTTTGAGATCTTTCAAAACAGGAAGACAGCCCAAAAAGTCTTGACACTAGATACTATCCTAAGAAGAGTCCAGGAAATCGAATCGCTGAATGTTTGCACCCGTCCTACCTTCCTGATTGATTGGTACCTTTAACGGCTTCTTCATACCCGAGGCAAAAAAGTTCAGACTTTCGGAGATAGACCAAGTGCATAAGGCTAGAAAGCTCAAAGTTGTCCCATTGGCTAAGCAAGTTTTTCGGCCACGGCAGGTGACGTAGGGGGGGGGGCTTCCTATACGTATGCTCTAGACCCTGCGAGTTCTTAGGCCCACATTCGCTGCCCATGTTCCATTTTTAGCTAGCCGACTGTAGATTCCTGTACTAGAACGGCAAGGTATACCCAGAACAGAGGAGCCACATCGGAGACAACAAGGAAGTGCTGAACCCTGAACACCTAAACGGAACCACAAACCCTGAGCCCTGAAGCAGTTAGCAATATTCGTCTTCGGGCCTTTTTGTCAGAATGAATTCAGTTCCCCAACAAAACCAAACCTCGTTAAAGAATGTATTTGGTGGCCAGGAGGGTGCGGAGCTACTCTCCGGCCCAATTGCTTATATACCAAGGGGGTCCAGATATACTACTTACTACTATATGGATTTCAGACCCCAAAACCATACTAGTGATGGTTTTGGGGGACTTAATTCCATAATGGTAGTATATATGGACCCCCTGGGATACATTATGAGCGACAAAACAAACTGCTTGGGGTTCAGCGCTATGTAAGTATCCGAGACTGGTCATTGGGTCCACATACCTTGAACGATGTGTCCTTCCAGCTTCCCAGAGCCTCCAAAACCCCTTAATTAAGGAATATACCTTAAATCATAGTAGGATCCCTAATATAGTTTAAGGTATATTCCTTATTTAAAGGGTTTTGGAGGCTCTGGGTGAGGCTATGCCTGGCCTGCACATGACGTTGAAGCCCATCGTGTTGGCCCACTCCACTCCTTCTGGTACCAAGAGCCTCCATTCTCGCAAGTTTTCTGTTCAGGGTTAGAGTTTGGGGCGGGGGTGTCTACCGTGAGGATGCGAACCTACTGTTTAGGCGTCATTTACAGCCTTCTACTGTTAAGGGTTGCAGGTAGCGCTAAGGGCGCGGGTTTGGGCATTCGGGGCTTAGCGGTGTCGGGTGTCCTTGCTTCATGCGGGAAGCTGGAAGCTCAAACGCTAGAATCCCACCAGGCCCTAAACCCTAAACCCTAAACCCTAAACTACTACTTCCAACCATCTTCTTTGTTTTCGGCAGAAAGCATCTTAATAAACTTCACCGACTAGACCTAAGAGTAACCTAGGGATAAAAAGGGTGCCCTTTTTGGGTTAAAGGGGGTTATAAGGGAACTTAAACCTTAAAAAAGGGAATAAGGGCCTACTCTGGGTCCTAGCCGATCTTGGGTAGGTGACCTTCACCACGCCACGGACAAACCTACCCGAAGCAACTCCAGCTGGAAAATCAACCCTGAGGCCGTGCATGCTCAAACGAGCTCAAGCATGCTCAACAATACAGCCCCAATCATCCCCCCGCCCCCGCAAATCCACAAACATGCAAATGCACTGTAGGGTTCTTATAGGCCTGAATAACCAGAATAGGGCTTGTGGAGTACATGTGAATACTGATCCGTGTAGTCTCCTACTACTGTATTCCGTAAACAAGGCTTTCAAGCACCAACGACCTGAAACGCTACTGTTTGGATCCTAAGCACATCCCCAGGATCCATGGACCGGGATATTTAAAGTACCTGAAAAAGAACCCCTTTCAGAGGCTTAGTATGTAATATAGATCTGCATAGGTACATGGTGCCTTCGGGATCGAGCCTTTAAAATCCCTACACAGTGAACCCATACACCCACCTTATGAAGCTTAAAAACTCGGCTTGGGGTTCAACTTAGGCTAGGATACCCAGTAACCTAAGAATAAAAAGGCCTCTCTTTTTGGTATTGGGTAACTTTATAAGGAACCTAGGACTACAAAACGGGAATAAGAGTACTACTGGGCATCCTAGTAGGGTTTAGGGGAAATGTAGAAGCCTAGGTAACTACCAATGGTATTCCTAGGGTTCTTTAATACACACTACAAAGCTTCGATATCCTTTACGGCATCCGGCTGCGAGAAAGCCTCATAGCCCAAGCAAGGTTTATCCCCCAAAAGTGCAGTTCCTTCGGATCCCTGTGGAAAGAACCCTTACAGAAAGCTTTGACAACAGCAGAACAACTGCAAACTCAAAGCGTCTTTGGCATCCCATCCAAGCAGCCAAGTGATGTCTTGGAAACGCGTGTAGGCCTGGTCGATCGTAGTCAACCGACACATCGGCTTAATGAGCCAAGGACAAAAGCGGCATACAAAACCAGCAAAACATAAGGCTGGGATGAAGCCTAACTTGTCTTAAATGAACCGCGACGATGTGGTAGCCTTACTCATGCTTGGACGTCTGTTTGCCTCCCGAACTTAGGGTTCTATGATTGATGGTTCATAGATAGTTATAAATAGGGTACCATGTCTCCTAATATGGATTATTAGTATACTTACTATGTGACAGGGGAGAAGAGCTGAGGTGGTTGCAAGTCGGACTCTGACAGGAGTGGTCGGAGTGGCCTTGTATTATAAAGACTTGAGCAAAGCTTTGGGGTGCAGCATCCAAAAATCACAAAAATGAGGAACCCCCCAAGCCCTAAACAATAGCAGTTGCAAGTATTCAAACGTCTATACGGTTGATGATATACATCCTGCATTACCCATGATAAGGAATATGCTATAATTCCCCTAGTTTAGGGTCCTTAAGGTAATGCAGGATTTATATCATCAACCGTAGCACCTGTGGAACCGGAGGAGTTATTTCTCAAGGCTGTGTGGAGAGCGTCGGGGTTTAGGGACCTCATTTGTCCTCGCAGTGACCCTCTACTTCAAGGGCCATGGGACTTAGTAACTAGGGTTACACTTAGGGTAACTCTACAGTACTTATAATTACTGATAACCCCAACTAGGGTACATATAACCCTACTTACTAAGCCTCATGATCCTCCAAGTAGACCCTAATCCCTAAACCCCTGTAGACCCCTTGAAGGAACCCTTTAAGGAACTCCCTTAAGGAGCCCTACTTACTAAGCCCCATGATCCTCCAAGTACAAGCCCTGAACGACTGGGGAGACGGCAGCATTCCACATCTTACAAAATCCCGAAATCAACGAGTATACCTCAAACCATACTAGGGATCGGTTTAGGGTTTAGGGCTTAGCCTTAATTTTACGGCCTCTATTCCTGAGTGAAGGGGGTATTGGAAGACCTGGGATCTTCAGACTCCGGCAGAATCTTCAAAGCAGATCCCCAACCTTCTCGGGCCCTCTCTCTTGACGTAGCTACAGAATGGCGCAGCTGAAACTGCACTGATGCAGGATCTAATGCAGGATGCCTTCGGGGTGCTCCGTTGCCTGAACAGCCCTTCATAAGAACCCTTGTTCCGCATGACAAGAGGATGCCATAAGCTTGATAAGATTCATAAACTCCCCGAGATCCCAATATCCCTTAAGTAAGGAATACACCATAAACCATAATACGAAGGCCCCTGTAATTCAAGGAATATTCCTTAATTGAGGGATATTGGGATCTCCGAGCCCTTTCAAAGCATATGCTGAGGTCGTCGCTGCCCCGAAGCAGAAGCCGAAGAGCGTGGCGAAGCACTCGGTTGGAAGCAAGCCAAGTGGTCAGGGTCCAAGAAACCAAAATGTCAGGTATTAGGTACCAGCAACTGCTCAGAATAAGCGCCCTGCGGGTTCAGAATTGTATCCAACGTGGTTCCTTCGAAACTACCTCTCGATTTTGTACTTTAGGAGTCTAGGAGAGCATCCGTGCAAAAGATTGGACAAACAAAGACAAAGCTGTGTTGTTGACTAGAGATACATCCAAACCCCATTTCATATTACAACAGCAATGAAACAGAACTCCCGGACCCGAAGTACCCCTACTGTGCTTCCTAAGCCAACAAACCTAAGCCCAACACCTCAGCGGCTTCTAGAAAGTGCTTTAAGAGTTTGATGATGGCTGAGGATCTAGGCCTATGGTGTTTTTTAAAGGGTGTTTAGCACTTAGGGTTACGCTGGCGGCTGACGACGGACAGGGGATTCCTTATCCGCCTCACAAAGAAAAGGAGAAAGTGCACCCTCACGGTTTAGGGCTTAGGGAGATTATCTTATCCACCTCACAGAGAAAAGGAGAGCGAGGTATGTAGCTCCTCAGTGGTATTTGTCGTTCAAACTGTAGGGATAGCGCACGCTCCGGCAAATGCCTCGAACCTTTGACATCAGAGGATTGGGTAGCATGTTCGTCCATGCACCTACGGTTCCTAGTATGGACAACCATAGATTTCTTTATCGGTACTTAGGACCATTTGGGTGTTGAGCTGAGGCACGTAGAAGTAGGCCATCCTGACGCGCTTCAGGACCCAAGGTTGGACACAGAAGACACAACACTAACTAAACTGAATGGAAACATCCTGATATACAAGCGCAGCCCTAAGCCCCAGAACCCTACGCACCGAACCCTTAAACTCCGACAACCCCTAAGCCTACAAGCCTAAACCCTGCAACCCCAGAAATATGTCGACATTCTTCAGGCGCCTACGCTACGATTTGCAGTTTTGCTCAAAGCCAGCGTCTCGGGACTAATCAGCACAACCATGAGCTGTAATTAGCTATAGGGGTTGCCCACGCATGTCTTCTACGAGAGTTCCACAAGGGTTCTACAAGTCCGCTGTCCTTTGACTTTGTCCAGCGGCTTCATCCTATCATAGTCTTCATCCTATATCATAGTCTCAAAGATGTGCGCCTTAAGAATCAAAATACTCGGGGTACTATAGCACAGCTATCACAAGGAAACCAAAGGAATAGCATTGTTTGGTACGGCTGATGAAAAATTCCTGCGTTGCCCACAAGAACGAATATACCGTTAGTCCCATAGTTTAGGGTCCTTGAGGTAATGCAGGATTTATGTCATCAACCCCTTCAGGCTTAACAAACAACGCCTCTTCAATAACCTTTAGAAGGGCAACCCTTGAGACCCGCCTTAGACTATATACTCTATTCGAGATTAAGGTTTAGGGTTTAGGGTATACGGTAGGCCTCATGTTCGCACTTATGGCTTGTGGTGTTTTGGAAAGCATGCAGTAAAGATCAAGCCCATGTCTTGTCGTAGCTGTCAAGGCCCTGGCACTTTGTGCCCCGTCCATGTCTTAAAAAGCCCCTGGATTCTATGCTGTAAGAAGATAAGAATGAAACATGATTTCCTGTATAGGCCACTGGTACATGAACCCTGTCCACTAAAAGGCTTATCATAATGATCCGAATGTCAAAATTCCTTAAAGAAAGGAGGGTCCGTGAGTTAGGGGCCCACACTAAGGCACATACAATTCACTTTCTTGGTCTTTGTACTTAGAGGGTCGGTGGACTTAGTAAGTAGGCAATAAGTAGACTTATAAGTACCCTAAAAGGGATCCTAATTGGGGTTATGATACTTATGAGTCTCCAAAATAACTAGTTACTAAGTCCCCTGACTCTCCATGTAAGAAACTTTAAACCCGACATCCGGGTCCTCCGAAGTTCGGATCCGAAGCTGCAGCAGGCATACGTCTTGCCCAGAGACTTCAATATCCCTGAATTAGGAGGATTCCTTAAACCCGATTAGAGATCCTACTACAAATTTAAGGCATATATCCCCTAATTCAGGGATATTGGAGTCAACGGGTGGTTTAGGTGCTGAGTTATACTATACTATATTTATAATAAGGAACCCACAACATAGTATAGGTAACTATTAACGCCCCTATGTTACGTCTTGTGTTTAGGTGCTGAGCCCTCGGGGGATGGCTTAGGGTCTTGGGTCTTGGGTTTCTTAAATCGTCAGCGACTCACGATCGATGCCCCGAACCCTGAACTCTAAACCCTAAACCCCGAAACCCTTAAAACCCTGAACCCTAAACCCTAAACCCTGAATCCCTAAACCCCTGAACCCCAAAACCCCTAAACCCTAAACCTTACAGTATCCCTTATAGACCCCTTTTTTGAAGGAGCCCTAAAACACTAAACCCTGAAACCCTAAAACCCAAAACCCCTAAACCCTGAAGCCTGCACCGATGGACTTTTGGGCTGCATCCGTCCTCATCTCAGCCGTCTCGAAGAAGGCCATGAATGGCATCGAAATGGCCAGCAGCCCGAACACAATCACGGCAATGATCCTTGGCGTTCTAGAACCAGACCCCCTTTGGAGTCTGGAAAGTAGATCCCCTAATTTGGTGCCCCATAGTACTAAGGGTACTGTATAGGAACCCCCATTAAGACCTTAAAAAGGTCAGCTTTGTTTGGTGTTCAGGTGAACCCTATACCCGAAAGCCTCAACCGCAGACCCAGAGAGCCCAATACCCCTTAATTAAGGAATATAGCTTAAATCATAATATGAAGCCCTATATAATTTAAGCCATATTCCTTAATTCCCTTATAGACCCCCTTTATAGATCCCTTTAAGGAGCCCCTTTTCAAGGAACCCTAGGTATTCCTTAGTTAAGGGGTCTTGGGCTCTCTGGGGAGCCTGAGGCTCCTGTGGGGCTTTTGGGGTTGCAGCAGCCAGGCTTTAACGGTTTAGGGTTTAGGGTTTAGGGTTTAGGGTATAGGGTTTAGGGTTTAGGGTTTAGGGTATAGGGTTTAGGGTTTAGGGCCCCTAACCTGCAACCCACAACACCTAGGACCCACAGTGGGACCTTATTCCCTTTTTTAGGGTTCGGGTTCCATTATCATCCCCTTGAAACCAAAAAGGGCACCCTTTTTATTCCTAGGTTACTCTTAGGTCTAGACAAACATGTGCACTGCACACGCCTGATTAGTAATTACATAGCGGCAGCTTGCGGATGATTTTGGAACCCTGAGAATCACTAAGGATGTGGATGATAGAGAGATGCTGTTATTAAGGATGGGGATGATGATTAAATTGTGAAACCCTTGTATCCAAGCCTTCGAAAAACAAGGCTACTTAATCGGGGGGTAGGTGTCAGTTACTCAGCACAAGCAGGGCAGGGCCCAGATGCGCCAGAGGCTCTCAAATCCCTCGACACTGCTGAAGACCAAAGCATACCATGGCTCGAAACCTTCATGTAGGGCACCTCAATTGATGGAACAGGGTCTGGCGGCACATTGCACTAAGATCTACAAGGGATTGCGCCAATGCAAGCGGATGTGAATACACACTATTCACACCAATATAGTAGCCTTAATGGCCCCAGAACGCCCGAGCCCTAATCCCAACCATCTCAAACCCCAAAAGCCTGAACCTAAGCCGTCAAACCCCCTCTTCTTTGATAGATGGAAGGCACCTGCCCATAATCCATGTTGGCTTCCGGAATGGAGACATAGTTCGGATTCTTCATGTGTCGTTCGAGATCTGCTTGTAGGGAGCGGGCTTGGCCTCCGTAGTGTCCTGTTGACACCGGCGCCTTCCGCACCTCTCCCTTGGCCGGGCGGCCCCTTTTCTTGGGGCCATCCGGGCGCTCGGGGGCAGCTGCAGATGTCCAACAAATAGATCCCTCAAAGGGGGCTCCTACACAGTACTTGGAGGGTCGGGGGACTTAGTAAGTACTTATTTTAGGGACTTATAAGCATCATAACCCCAATTAGGGTCCCCTTTAAGGTACTTCTATAATTCTACTTACTACTTACTAAGTCTCCCGACCCTCCAAGTACCCTTTAAATAGTCCAGTCCAGGGTCCCGAATCTAGCTTACTTTTTTAGATGAGGATTCTTCATTGATGCCCCAAAAAACCCTAACGCCAAAGTCCGGGGTAAACTCTTTCCCTAACCCTAAACCCTAAACCCTAAACCGTAAACTCTAACCTCTAAACCGTAGGAGTGTTCCTTGAAAGGAATGATGACCCTTGCGGGGGGCTTGGGGCTTTGGTTTAGGGCTTGGGGCAGGCTCCGTCGATCTGGTTAAAATGGCGAAGGGTAGTTCTGCTTCGTGCTTGGTTCCTTAGTTTCCTTCGTACTAGCTGTACCCCGAAACCTTACTCAAAATGTGCAGGCCACATACCCTAAACCCTAAACCTCTAAAGCCCTAAAACCCTAAATTAACCCCTGAATCCTACACTTAACCCGTCGCCCCCGTACACTAAAGCCTAAACCCTATACCCCTATAACCCCAAAACCCTAAACCCACACCACTAAACCTTTAACCCCAAGCCCCTAAACCCTAAACCGCTATAATCCTACACCCTCACTCCTAAACCGCACACCCCTAAACCCTATACCCTTAAACCTCCGATATTACCATACCTAGCGCGGCCGAGAGGCAGCCGCCGCGAGCGCACGAAGATGTCTGGATCGTCCTGCTCCCCGAGCCGTGCGGCACGTGTACCAATTTCCCAGACCCCCGGGAGGATCCAAAAAGTAGATCCCTTAATCGGGGTTCCTGTAAAGTACCCTTAGTAGTATAGGGCCCCAAATTAGGGGATCTACTTTCTAGATCCTCCCGGGGGTCTGGGTTAGGGGTTTAGGGTTTCTTTGAAGGGGTCTATAGGGGATATTGTCAGGGCTTAGGGTTTACAGGTTTAGGGTTTCAGGGTTAGGGTTTGGGGTTGCAGGGTTAGGGTTTAGGCTTTCGGGGTCTGGGGTTTAGGGTTTCAGGTTTTGTTTTTTTTTGTGGCCTTTTTTTGCCTCCTGCTTAACCGGAATACCTTGCCGAGCCAGCTGGAAGGCTGAAGCCCGAATCACACACAAAGCACATATGCAATATCCCACTACAGTAAACCCCATAAAGTTGGAAACTGGATTAAGGCCAAATAGTGCTGGGATTCCCTATACATTACTCTTAAGGATGGAGGCTCTGGGGTTCCCAACTTTTGGGCTTCTACTGTAGCTATCCCTAAGGGTCCAAATACCCAAATAGTAGGGTTTTAGGTCCAAAACCCGCTCAGAGAATGGATTTCGGGACCTAAAACCCTCAAACTTTGGCACCTGGACCCTCTGGGTAAGTTAGTACCTTCCAAAGGTTGGGCTTAGGATTTACTGCAGCAGTCCTGCAGCCTACACAGGCCTGCACCGCAGCAGTCCTGCAGCCTACACAGGCCTGCACCACACGCGTGCAGTCCAAGTCGAAAACAGCCTGACACACCTCGCCCTGTGCGTTGAAGCCTTCGATAAGGCGTGCTAAGGCTCCGCGTACCTATGTAGGGTTCAGTTTTTGTCTTAAAGAGTTCAATATTGCGGTTACGAGAGGGGTTTAGGGATATTTGCGGGCCTTCGTCACAGCTCAACCTCGAACCTCATGCAGTCTGTACTTTGGCTCAGATTGCATCCTGCGCCTCTTCAGTGCGCAGTGGCTGCAGAAAGTTGGGTTTCGCCCAACGTTTCTGCACACACCTTAATAGTTTGAAAAGGTGGGTTTGGGCACATTGTAGCCTACCTGTAACGATTAGCATTAATTCAACAACAATAACAGTCATCGTCATCATCAGGAACCCTGACCTAGAATGCCAGTATTGATGCAGGCTCCCACATCACAGCCTAAATCCAGGAATCAAGCCTGAAACAAATCAACCCCTAATCCCAAAACCTCCCTAAACCCCTAAACCCTGAACGCTAAAGCCCGAAAGCCCGGAACCCTGAACCCCAGACTCTCAACCCTAAACCCCTAAACCCCTAAAGTCCTAAACCCTAAAGTAAGTCCTAAAACCCTAAACCTAAACCCCAGCAGTGTTCGCCTTGTTGTGATGGACTTGTCCATCCCGGCCAGGTGCCGCCATGCTCCCCCCAGAGAAGACGGCTGCTACCTTGTGCTTCTGGATTTGGGGGGTTTAGGGGTTTAGGGTTTAGGATTTTGGGGTTTAGGGGTGAGGGTTTAACGTAGGAACCTGATTAAGAAACCCTGGGCCAGAGTGTCTTAGTCAGGTTCCTACATTAGGCGTTTGGGGTCCAGGGTTTTAGGGGTTTGGGCTTCAGGAGCCAGGCTTTTGAGTTTGGTGGTTTAGGGGTTCAGGGCCTGAGAATATGGGTCAAGGGTTTAAGAGGCCAGCGTTAACAGCCAACTCATGTCTCCGATACCAAGCGGAATAACATGTGCGAGTAATACTAGCCTGTACGAATCCTTAAGCATCTACAGTTCGATTTTGGAGGACCAAAACAGGATAAACCTGTCGGCGGGCTTGAAAGGACCCTAAGGTCAATGTACCCAAATAGTATATACTTTGGCCCTAAAGTCGACTACTTTGAGGTTTTAGGGTGAGTCCATGGAACCCTAAACCCTAAACCCTAAAACCCGAAACCCCAAACCGAAATGCAGGGTGCAATCTTCAGTTGGGAGTTTCCGAAAATAGGGGGTACCTTATTTGGGGGGCCTTATAGTAAGGATCCTACTATTTAGGGTACTATATTAGGGTCCCCTATTCTTGGAAACTCCCAGTTCCTGGGAGTGTAAGTCTCGGCTTCGTGGTTGCGGTTGCGGCCTGGGCCTGCGATGTGACGATAACTCTCCCTTTTTTGCGATTTATGTACCAGCCTCAATAGTTAAAACGAAGTTTCGGTGTATACTAACAAAATATGTGTTGATATACCCCAAAACTTCGTACCACCATAATCGTAGTGCCTTTCGGGCTCTTGGAGTTTAGTGTAGGCTCAGGACCGAGGGCGTCTTTTCGATGCAAAAGAAGCCTTGCTTGGAGAAGCTTCCGTTCCGCAAGGTCCGGCTTCGGCTTATGTGAGGGTACACATACACTACCGTTCAGGGTTTTGGCTTTAGGGCTTAGGTGAGGGTTGTTCTCTGAAGAGGGTCCCTTTTAGGATGATTTCTTGTATAAGGGTGCTGAAGCATTTTGGGGACCTACAGAAGGGACTCTAATTTAGAGAACCACCGATGAGCACCTTTCTATAAACCCTTTAAGATGCAAGTTAAAATCTCTCAAACCAACATCTCAAACCGCTTGGAGCAACCCTGAGCTGTAACTTCCCAAACCTGTAAGCCCTGTATAGCCGCTTATATTCTGGGGGTTTTTAAGAATTACGTGTTGGGCTTTAGGTTTTAGATGGCGGGTGATTGTCAGGCTCTCAAGTACATCCACCCTCAAAACCCTAAACCCTAAAACCCAAAGCTTGAGCTGCAACAAAGCATGAAGCATTTGCAACAGGGGCGCGACTGCAAAGAGGAAGAAGATCACGGAGATATAGCCTGAAGTACTTAAAGGTCACGGTTTAGGGTTTAGGGGTTTAGGGCTTAGGGGGGTTATGGTCTTGGGTTCAGGGTTTATTGAACCAGAAGTGAAGACCGAAGACCCTGTAGAGCCTGATTGCAGCTCCGATGGTTTATCTTGGCAGTTCAAGGTTTCAGGGTTAGGTCAAGAGTCGCACCAGGGCTCCAAGTACAATTGGGTCCATGTACCTTTATAAGATTCCTTTGAAGGGTTCCTGCAGGATTTCCTTTGAGGTTTATGGGATGTTCAGGGTACAAGGGTCCATGTACTAACATCGTGTATACTTGGGCCGTGTGCTATATAGTTTTAGTACGAATACCCGAGCTGAAATTATACACTATATCGGAACATGGGCAGCTAAGGAGTACCTAGGAATCATGCTTGACCAGCCAATACTATCATCCGATGCTACTCTCCCAAACCGACGTACCTGAGCATTAGACGGTCTGGACGGTGACTGGGCCAGGTTGCAAAATTTAGGGTTTGGGGCTTATAATGCGCAGACTTCGGAAGATCTAGAAAGTACTAGTACAGAACCCTAAACCCAAAACCCCTAAACTTTAGACCCTAAACCCTTACAAGTGGCATCCCAAAAAAGCACCCCCGGGGTAGTATGGGAACCCAGTCTCTGGGTTCTACATCTATAGATATCCTCTCAAGGCGTAGGGCTCAGGATAGCGTTTAGGGCTTATCGGTTTAGGGTCTAAGGCTTGAGGTTTAGGGTTTCGGGGCTTAGGGTCTGTGGTTTAGGGTTTAGGATTAAAGGGCCCAGCCACGGTTAGGAGTCTAGACGCTAGGCTAGGTTGGCCCTTCAGAGCCGTCTAAACATATTCGCAAACTGAAGCTAAACCCAAGCGTAACCTGCCCTTTTTGGTTTAAGGGGGCTTATAATGGAACCTGAACCCCCGAAAAAGGGAATAAGGGCCTACTCTAGGTCCTAGGAAGAAGGAGAGTCCAGACTTTGCAGGGAGCTCCGAGAATGCTCAGGGTAGGGTCGCGGATGGGGGCAGAGTTGGGTTTCGGGTTTAGGTTCACGCGATCAGCAGCTACGGTTTGGATGTTCGCGATGTGAATTTTGCACGTCCCCCTGTTTCCGTAACGAACCCACAAAACCTCAATCCCTAAACCATAAAACCCTACGCCCATTAAGCCCTCAACCCTAACTTCAGAACCGCCCAAGGGGCTAAACTGGCGCTGCTGTATCGCCTGGCAGACTTCATGCTTTCCGGCTTGGAGCCCCAGGGATCCATGTACCCATGTGGTGGTTTAGGGTTTAGGGGTTCGGGTTAGGGTTTAGGGGTTAGGGGTTAGGGTTTAGGGGTTAGGGGTTAGGGGTTAGGGTTTAGGGGTTAGGGTTTAGGGGTTGGGTTTTAGGGGTTAGGGGTTCGGGTTAGGGTTTGGGGTTTAGGGTTTAGGGGTTCGGGTTTGGGGTTTAGGGTTTAGGGTTGAGGGGTTCGGGTTTTAGGGTTTAGTGGTTTAGGGTTTAGGGGGTACCCTAAATCTATAGGGACCCCAATAAGGCATCATAGTCTTGACAGCCACCCATGTAAGATTCCTTCAAAGGGTTCCTTCCCAAAGGGCGCAAAGTACCTATATAGTAGAATGTAGGGTTTCTATATTAGGAATTAGACCCTTTGGGTTTTAAGGCCTTTGGGGTTGAATTAGACCTTTTAGGGGTTCCTATTCAGGTCCCTTTAAGGGAATCAAAATTGCTGAAGGATGTTTAATTAGAGAAAATAACTCCTGCCGAAATAAATACTTCAGAGCCCAATTCTTATGCGGTCTTGGCTCTCAATATCCCCAGACCCCCTGTGGTACTGTTATAGGAACCCTCAAACTAAAGCTGCCCATACAAGGAAGCCTATATTCTATCGGCAAGTGTGCCCTTAGGGTAAGCCGCTGTCCAAAGTGAACCTACGGTTTCCATGGTAGTTCTTTTTGGGGGGTTTGAAGATCTAAACCCAAGAGTAGCCTAGGAATAAAAAGGGTGCCCTTTTTGGTTTAAAGGGGCTTATAAGGGAACCTGAACCCTTGAAAAGGGAATAAGGGCCTACTCTAGGTCCTAGAGATTCTAGTTATAAATCTTGGTTAAGCCAAGAAAGGAACTTCAACGGAGACTATACGAAGGATCTGTAAGCGGCTGAGTGCATTCTGGTAAGGGGCTTATGAGTTTGGGGTCAGGGTTCAGGGCTCAAGGGACTTAGGGTTAGGGTTTAGGGCTCAAGGGGCTTAGAGTTCAGGCTGTGGGGCTTCTTTCAGGTTGAAGGAAGCTTACTTCTCAAATTTACAAGGCTAGTACTGGGTGAACCTGCCGAAGCAGACCTATAATTCCTCAAAGCTCCCTCTGCCCACTTCGTATATACTTCGGCCTGGGTGCACCTATATCAGAACCCTCAAAGGCCCAAGTACATTCCATGTAGGCACATGAAGCCTTAGGGATCAGGCACTCGCCATCGTCTCCACAATTGGAGCCCTGTAGGTCTACTAGACTGCCAAGGAATCCTTCGCACGAAGACGCGAACAGCTTCGAAGGGTTTAGGGTGCAGGGTTTATGGTGGAACTGCTCAAGCAGAATACTGCCCTTAATGCCCTGAAGCCCCAGTACCCCAAACCCCGAACCCTCAGTATCGGCTGCTGCCTGCTGTCTCACGCCCACGACGTCTCGCACCATGAGCAGCAGAAAGTACATTGGTGAGGTGCCCAATGCAAACACAAATACCTCGGCCGCTCCATAAGACCCTAAACCTTAAATCCTATAAACCCTAAACCTTGAACCCAAAAGCCTTTCAAGGATCTACAACTTCAACTCAGGATTCCTTTAAGGGGTCCCTTAAAGGTTGCGAAAAGCATAACTAAATAACATGGAGGATCTCAGAAGTCGATGCCTGAAGGAGGTATATTCAATACCCTTTAGCAGTGTAGGGTTAGAGGATCTGCTTCTTGGATCCTCTCGGGGGTCTGGTACAATTTGTACCACATCATGAATATGTATGTATATATATATATATGTATGTATGTGTGTGTGTATGTACTTGCTTACGAACGTACTTATTTGGATCTATCTCATAGTATAACTATAGATAGCACCGCACAGTTGTGCTGGTAATGATGTAGGCTTCTACATACTGAACTTAGAGCCTGAAACCTAAAACCCTATACGCACCAAAACCCCTTGAGGCCTGCTCCCTAGAATCTTCAGGTTAAGCCCTAAACCCTGCTTGAACAGTTGGGGGTCTTAGTAAGTCGGTAGTAAGTAGACTTATAAGGACCTGAAAAGGGACCGTATTTGGGGTTATGATACTCGTAAGTCTTGGAAAAAAGCCTACTGACTAAATCCCCAACCCTCCAAGCAACTCCTTTTCCCTTGTGGTACCATCATGGAGGCCTTATAGTACTCTTAAACCTACTTGTCGGGTATCAAGGGGAACCAAAGGTTAACCTTTTTGGTTACAAAGGCAATATATAGGGACTTTACTACCAAAAAAAATGTTAAAAGGTTACCTACTCGACTACTATACTAGGCAAAGGAATCCTTGAAGGACCCACTCGGTCCAGCAAAGCATCGCTGAGGCAGGCCCATGGGAAGCCACCCGGTAACCGCGCAGGCGCCAGGTACCTCAGGAACATGATAACCCCAAAGGCTCGAATGCTCTTATGTAGTAGAATGGGTTTCCATATTCGGAATCAGCATAATACTGTTGTTAATGGTAACTATACGTTAATATCATTATTCTTAGTACTGTTATGATTTGCTATCCCCATACTTACCCTAAGGGTCCATGTACTCATATGGTATATACATTGGCCTTAATGTAGTCCCTATATATAGGTACTTTGGGGCTCATGTATCTCTATTTGGGTACATGGACCCTTAGGGAATCCCAAAGGGTCCAAAGTACCTATATGCTAGAATGTAGGGCTTCTATATAAGGCCTTACAATTATGATATGGGGAAGTATATAACAATACCTAGGACCCTTTGGGAATTTGAAGATTTCGGATAGGGTTTTGGGTTTGGGGGTTTAGGAGTTTAGGGGTTAGGGTTTAGGGCTTCGGGTTCGGGGTTTAGGGTTCGGTCTTTAGGGGTTTGAGGGTGTGGGGGATTTGGGGTATGTAGTGCCTTAAGCCTTAAGTGGGATGAGCATGAGGGGCTCAGGGGCCTCAGAGGCTTGTCGCGTTTAGGGCTCTGGGGCGGTGCGTTGCAGGCTTTTGAGTTTACTTGCAGTCGGGCTAAGGATATCCTGCTAACAGCTACTGCTGCTAATCCTAAGTCTCCACTGCTCAACGCCTGAACTCTGCCGGAACATGAACTTAGGTTTTCTTTGCCCAACAGGCCAGAAATACTGCAGCACCATAGCAGTATTGTTTCCATATTCGGAACTACTATTGCGGCGTGTGTAAGTCTCCCCTAGCTGCACGCATGCATGCATGCATCCTGGCATCCTCGTACATACTGACATACTTAGATGCGTACGAGCATACATGCAGACACACATGCTTACATAAACACATGCAGACATGCATACCTACATACATACGGCCATGCATACGTACATACATGCATACAGACTTAGATGCAGACGTAGTTACTTACTTACAAAATCATCCACCCATCCATCCATTCATGCATACATACATTCATACACAACCTGTGCAGAAACGACTACGCCTACGAATCCTTGAGCGCAACACTTTTTTTAAGACCCATCCATCCATCCATCCGTCCGTCCATCCGTCCTTCCGTCCATATGCCCTTCCGTCCATCCGTCCATCCGTCAATCCGTCCATCCATCACCTGCCCACCGACCCCAACAAATCACCGACGTCCACACACATATGCTACACATGTACATACACGGAAAGCACACATAAACATAATGTACATGTTCATGTACACACACATGAAAGGTTGCATACCTGCATACCTCCCTGCTTGCCTGCCTGCTTACCTAGCTACCTATGTCCATACGTATAAACATAATACACGCATTCACGCACACACACACACACAAACACACACGAATCAACACACACACACACACAGAGACAGACACCAAACCACAATCACAAACACACACACACACACACAACAAACAAACAAAGAAAACAAAACACAGGCGCATACACAGAAACAAACACGTTGCTCTGTGCGGACCGAATTGGGCAGGAGATCCATTGTGCATTTCTGCCCAAGACTTTCCCACACCAGCCCCGTAAACCCTAAACCCTAAACCGTTACTGGGGTTCCTACAAAGTACCCAAATTAGGGGATCTACTTTATGAATCCTCCCGGGGGGGTCCAGGAGCTCAATTTGGTCTGGTGGCGCATGCGTGAGGTAGTCAAATGTCTGCTTCGACTGCAGACGCCTTGCCGGGTGGCTAAGGTTGCAAAACCTCTAAGCCGAATTCCATCCCAAAGCCTCTCCCCTCATATCCTCCCATCTGAACCGTTGACCCTGCATTCTGATAGTTCCCCAAGTCCTGCTAGCCTTCAGTAACCATATATATTCACCATAAGTCAGCCTGCAATTTACGGACTTCACAATCGAAATAGTGTTCATTTGAGGGTTCTTTGTGAAAGCAACAGTAATTTGAAGGGTTCGTTTAGAGAGTTAGACAGGGGTTACTGGAAGGGCTTCATGATATAGGGGCCTCAACAATAACAATAGGGCTTTGGTGGCCCCCTACAGCGGGATAGCTCACACTACTGGGGCTGCATAGCCAGTGGGGCGGCTGTTTGGCGTTGGCAAGCAGCTCGGGTTTTGAAGGCCCCATCCCCCCATCCAACATTACCAGAAACCCGCGAGGATCCAAAAGACAGAACACCGAAAACAGGCCCATCTTAAGCTTCAGGGTTTAGGGAACACCAAACCTAAACCCTAGACCCTAAAGCCTAAACCCTAAACTCTAGACCCTAAACCCGAAAGCCCGTAAAGCCCTAAACTCTAAAGCCTAGACCCTAAACCCTAAAGCCCGTAAAGCCCGTAACCCTAAACCCCTATAGCCCTAAACCCCAAACCAGGCCTGTCTTCGGCCATAGAATGCTACGGCTGATGGTAAAAATCCTGCATTACCCATTATAAGGAATATGCCATAATTCCCATAGTCTAGGGTCCTTAAGGTAATGCAGGATTTATATCATCAACCGTAGGATTTCTCTTCGCCGGTTCCTGTCTTTGAATTTAGATCCTTCGGTGGCCCGGGTCATACTCTGGATTCTTGTTAAGGGCTTTAACTGAAGTTACCATAATACGGATCTATAGCGAGCAAAATGGTTCCTTTCTTGTGGTAACTTGAGTTAAATCCTCTCACATTGTAGTATCCTTAAGGGAGGGAGGTCCTAGGGGGGTATATGGCCTAGTGATCCCTCATTCTCCCTAGTACTCCCTAAGGTTCCCTTACAGTCCCCTAAGGATTCCTTATACCCTCCCCCCTTGAACCACCCTCCCTTAAGGATCCTATAATCACAAGAACCCAGAAATGTCAGAGGAACCTCCCAAACGCCAATGCCCCAGTCGTCTTCCTACTTAGAAGGGTCATGGGACTTAGTAGCTTAAGGGGTTCCTTAGGGGCTCCATTGGGATCTATAAGGGTTCTGTAATGGGGGGTTAGGGTTACTTGAAGGGTCATGGGACTTAGTAACTAGGGTTACAAATAATAAATGTAACTATACGTAAACTTACTTATAAGCCCTGCCGATCAACGTGCATGCTCGCCTAGGGCGTTGCATCCTGCTGGGCACATCTTGCAATGTGGCAATGGGTTTGTCTTGCCCACGCTCAGCTTCCACCGCGCTGTCATGATCTTTACCCACAAGCTGTGATGCCACAAAGAGTCGGTTGAGGCTTTCTAGTGTGAATGGCAAGCTGTTCACAACTGCGTGCGTCATGTTCCCTCCACGAAGAAGACGCACAAGTTCATTTTTGACCTGTGACGCAGCCGTCCCGTTGAAAAAGAAGTTGATGCTTTGCAAATACATTTGCAAAGCGTCCACATCCACATGGATTATCCCGAACTCCAGTTCAGTCCAGTAGTAAGTCCCATGATCCTCCAGGTAGCGTCGGCGGCACCCAGAACTCCCATAGCCTCCATTGTAGTTCCTACTTTGGGTCTAGGAGTCTACCCAATTCCATAGTTGGGATCTTGTAAGGTAACCCAACAACAGGAACTACACTGGAGACTACAGGTAGTACACACCAGGGCTTGAGTAATTGCAACGGAGTGTTGGTGATGAAAACCCTCTAAAACCGGATGAAGCATCCTAAGCATTGAACCGTGAAGCCGCATGTATCCCTGAAAACCCCTACGAAGCCCCATGAATCTCTGTGCAACAATGGTGTGTTTCACAGTTATGACCCGTACTTCTGTACAACCCCTTCTAAAACAAGCTTCCATAGAGTGCGGTGCCCTCACCCTTAGGGGTTCCTGTCAGGATCTTTCGAAGAATTTTGTTGGGCTTAGGGTTTAAGGCTTAGGCTCAAGGATATTATCCTCCTAATAGCCAAAACCTCTTCCAAAATACTCGCTTACATTACTACTATCCTGAATCCATGTACTCCATTGTCATCTAACACCGCTGCTGACAAGATCCTACAAATCTTGAAGCCGCTGTTCTAACATCCAGAATGAATGAGAAGTCTTAGGCGCGCCTCATCTGGCAACTCTGCCTCACTGACGAACCGTCTTCTCGAAGCAGCAGCCTTAGGAACTTTGCGGCTTTCACAGCTCTTTGGGAGCAGGATCTGGAAGGCTTTTACTGGGTTCTTGCTAAGGGTTCTTGATTTGAGTGACCATACTAGTTCTTTATTTGCTACAGAGCCCTGCAGTGGTACGCAACACAATGCACGTTACCTTACCAAGAACCCTGAACCCTAGAAAAGTTGGAACATTGGTATAGGGAAGAGCTACTGCCCCAGTCCCCTTGCTAGATGTCGATGTCAACAGTCCCCCAAATTCTCTGTAGTTCGGGCTACATACTAAATCAAAGGGGAGAAGGAGGGACCCTTAATGGGGACCCCTGCCCTATAATGGGCTATATAATGAGTATCTAATCGTTCTTTTAAGGGTATATTACCTAGGGGTCCTTATTAAGGGTCCCTCCTTTTCCCCTTGGACTAAACAATAGAGGGCATTAACAACCATCGATACCTAGTTTAGGAGTTCTTGAGCGGCTATGAAGTTTTGCAGTAGGAGGTTCTACATGCGCAGTAAAATACCAAGGCTTTAGGTTCGTAGGGCTCAGGCTCTGCATAGCTCAGGTTGGATAACCCTAAACCCTAAACCTTAAACCCTAAACCCCAAACCACTAGACCCTAAACCCTATATAGTTGGATATAGAATTTAGGGCTTGGGCTTCCAGACCTTGGCTTGCGCAGGACATGTATAGGCGGCTAGTGCAGTGGGGCTGCTTAAAGGGTCATGGGACGTAGTAAATTAAAGGCCTCCTTCGGGAGTTCCTGAAAGGGTTCTATAAGGGATCTATACGGGCTTAGGGTTAAGAGTCTACTTAAAGGGTCATGGGACTTAGTATATATACAGGGTTATAATTAGAGCAACTATACTTATAATTACTTATAACCCCAATTAGGGTACTTATATCCCTACTTACCAAGTCCCATGATCCTCCAAGTGTATGTGTGAAGCCCCACAACCGCAACATTCAACCTACCTACGGCAATCATGTGCCCGAAAATCCAGGACATGACCCTGGCGTTTAGTAACATGCCGTGGTTACTATAGGTCAGCCCTAGAACATAAAGACAATACACACAAACCTAGTCGGAAAATATCTTCAAAACAAACAATCACAAAACACACACATATACATATATATATACATACATACATACATATATATATATATATATATCTCATATATATATATATATATATATATACGTATATATACATACATACATATATATATATATATATATTGTCTATATTTAATAGATATGTACTATATCAGGACACACACACATATATATATATATATATATATATATACAAATATGTTTATCTGTTTACATAGAAAACTCCAGTGTGTCCCTCGGCCCGACTCTCGGCCAGGCAGCAGCGCGGGAAGCGAGCAGATCAGCATGCCGATGAGATAGGCCGAGTAGAGCCAGCTGTAGTGCCTCAGGGATTTAGGGCATTAAGAGCTTCAGGGCTTAGGGTTTAGGGCTTACGCTTTAGGGCTTAGGGTTTAAGGTTTAGTGCCTCAGGGGTATACTTACCTTTGGTTAGTAGGGAATGGAGGAATGGGGTACAACTATAATTACTATTACTACCATTCTTCATTCCGTACTAACCCAGACCCAAGGTCCAAAGGACCCAACAATTAGGTACTCTGCTTCAGGATAGTAGTTATGTAGGTTAGGATTTGGGGGAGTATATGATTCTTGGGTACTTAGACCCTTGGGGTCAAGGGTTTAGGGCCTGAGGGGCTTCCTTGAAGGCTTGGGGCCTAGGGGACTTAGGGCCTCAAGGGTTTCCTTAAGGTCTTGGGGCTTAGGGGTTCGGGGTTTAGGGTTTCCTTAAGGTCTTGGAGCTTCTGGGTTCGGGGTTTAGGGGGGGTTCAGGGCTTTAAGGGCTTTTCTTTTTGAACGCCTTTTTCCGTTTGCATGAACAGAATCCCTCCTAGGGAAAGCGGTGGCTTTAAGGGCTTTGGGTTTAGGGTTCAGGACTAGGAGCATTTAGGGCTTTGAATAGGTTGAGGGTTTAATTGCCGTGGAGTTCAACAGTGCAGAAGAGGCTGCCTACAAGGTTCTAGTGTCTTAGCTGCAGGGTTCAGAAGCCACCCAAAAGTCCGACCGTCAAGTTCCATATAGTCATATAGGGTTTTAGCATCCCCAGAAGTGTAAAGTAGACTAACTCCCGACTATACTGTGTGATATAACCTAGCTATGACATAATGACAACCTATACTGAACTTAGAACCCTAGCGAAAATTATAATTTTAGCTGTTTCTTAGGGATTGTAGTAACAAAAAGTTAAAAAATGTTTCTAAGTACCCCTAAGCAATGACAAAAGGGGGTGGCGGCTGCGAGCACGATAGAATTTCAGCTGCTCCCCTGGGCTTCAACCTTCTGCGCCAAAGACAGCATGGACCCCCGAAGAACAAAAGCCTAACTAAGCTTAAGCTTTGCACGGTTTGGGGTTTCAGGTGTTGGATTTAGGATGTAGGGAATCTAAGGAAATACCGTTAAATAAACCCTTGTGGTCGGTCTATGATCTTATAGCCAAGTTCCATGTATACTACTATCATTGACTGATATGGATTAGGTGCCCAAAACCATAACAAGGACGTTCTTCTGGGGCCTAATTCCATATAAAGGTAGTATATGTGACCCTCTGGGTGGTCAATAAGCCCCTGACATTGAAGAACTTTTAGAATACATCGCAAACACTAAACCCGCATCAACTCGACATTATTTCCTAAAAAAATCTTGAGCCCCATAAACCCATATAGGATTTGCAGAACCTTGAGAACAACACTCATCTGTGCATCCAAGGCACAATTCGGTCGCAAACATGAGCATGACATAGCCTTCACTGCTTCCAGGCTTCTACTAAAGTTTAGAAGCCCTAAGGCTCTATGTAGCTACGTAGTAGGAAAGCCGAGTAAGGCACAAGTAGTTGGACAGTTCTCTAAATTATTGTCCCTTTCTAAATCCCCAAAACAGTATACGGCACCATAACTATCCCGAAAGAGACCCAAATATTAAAATACTAATATGAGTACATGGAGACTTTGGGAAGATTTAGGGCTTAAAGGATCAAAGCCTGGAAGTGTTGGTTAAGTCTTGGTTTGCCCTAAACCCCAAACCGATGCCCCCACCCGGCCCCAACCCTAACCTAAACCCGCTTTCCACAAACCCCCGAACTCCCAATCCTCATGTAAACCCTTCCCGAAGGGAACAAAGGATCCAATAATTACGTACTCGGATTTAAGATAGTAGTAATGTAGGTTAGGGTTTTGGAGAGTATATGATTATCAGGTACTTGGACCCTCAGGGTAATAACCAAGCCTCCTTGTCACCGCCATAGTGCAAAGGACCCAACAATGATGTATTTGGGTTTGGGATGATTCGTCGTTTTGTAGGGTAGTATTTGGCACTTGGACCTCTAAGGGGGGTTTAGTAATTAGACTAGGGTTTGGGTGCATACTATACTATTCCCATAAAAAGATATCTACAAAATCATATTCTAATTATTAAGGTCTCTACAGTGTGACTTTAAGCTAGGATAGCCAGTAACCTAAGAATAAAAAGGCCTCTCTTTTTGGTATTGGGTAACTTTATAAGGAACCTAGGACTACAAAAAGGGAATCCGGGTACTACTGGGCATCCTAGTAAGTGTGATCCTGGCAAGGAGTGGACTCCATCAACCAAGCGTCTACCATGAAATGGTGCACCCGCTGCCCTAGAATCATTGCCAAAGAGCCCTACACCCTAAACCCTCAAACCCCAAATGAGCCTAAAACCTTAAATAGCCCCAAACAGACAATAACCCCGAAACCCCAAAGAGCCTTGTGTACTCCTTTCAGAGAAGCCCGCGTCCCCACTCTACACTCACCCCCCGCCACTTGGAGGGCCGGGGGACTTAGTAAGTAGGTAGCGAGTAGACTCATAAGTACCTTAGAAGGGATCTTCATTGGGATCATAAAATTTCTGATATGTCTACAAAATATCCTACTTACTAGGTCTCCCGACCTCCCACCCCCCCCCCCGAAGAGCTGGTTACATTCCCAATGCTTGGTGGTTCCGGCTGCATAAAGTCCAATCGAACTATAGAACTGCACTTCTAAACCAAACTAGACCTAAGAGTAGCCTAGGAATAAAAAGGACGCCCTTTTTGGTTTAAAGGGGGTTTATAAGGGAACCTAAGCCTCAAAAAAGGGAATAAGGGCCTACTCTGGGTCCTAGCAAACAAAGTTAGCTACCTGATTGATTATGACTGCAGATAGATCTTGGTTATAGCAACCAGAACCTCCCAGTAAGGATAAGGTTCAGGGGTTTGGGTTGCTTACCTCGAGCACATTAGTCTGTGGCTGGGCATCCTACACAGACAATCTCGCGCGAAACCGAAAACCATACTTGGAGGATCATGGGACCTACTAAGTAAGGTTATAAATACCCTAATTGGGGTTATAAGTAATTATAAGTATAGTTACCCTAACTATGACCCTAGTTACTAAGTCCCATGACCCTTTAAGTAGCCCTAACCCCCCATTATAGAAGCCTTATAGAAACCTTATAGATCCCTTTAAAGGAACCCTTATAGAACCCTTAGTTACTAAGTCCCATGACCCTTTAGGTATCACCAAATCACAGCAAAGCTACAAGCCTGAAGGCGGCGATGTACCATGAAACACAAGCGTGCACAACACATCTCTCAACTTACACTGCAAACGGTTTAGGGTTTAGGGTTTAGGGTTTAGGGTTCGATGCCTATGACGCCCCCGAGGAGAAACAACGCGGCCTGGCCGGGAAACAGAGAGGTCTCACGTGCTTGGAGACTTGGAGGGTCGGGGGTCTTGGTCAGCATGTTTTTTCATAGGTGTATAAGTATCATAAGCCCGATGTTGACCCCTTGAATCCTACTTGTAAGTCTATTCATTAATTTCAAGACAAAAACGATCCTCCGAATTACTTCTGGCTTTGAGAACTTGGACCTTGAGGGATATTTCGGTACCTGGGTTTAGGGGAGAGTAGTAATGTACCGTGGGTATTTCATGTTTAGCAAATATAGGGGCCTTAATAATTAGAACAGGGTTTGGGGGTCCATCATACTATAATTATAATAAGATACCCTCCCAAAAGTAAAGGTAAGGATTTAAGCCCCTAGTAGGTTGGCTCTTCAAGGCCTCTGACAAACATGTTCGCAAGATACAGCCTCTCAAAGCAAGTAAGGGAAACCACAAAGCATCCCAAAGGCCTTATACAGAAGCCTTAATTAATACTTAGAATAGGGTTTTGGGGTATATGAAACTTATTATTATTATTATTATTATTACTATTATTATTATAAGGGAAAACATAAAGCGTCCCCAAAGGCCTATAGTAAACCCCCAAAATCTGGAAAACCGAATTGAGGACAAATAGCACTGGGATTCCCGATACAGTACTCTTAGGGACTGAGGCTATTGGGTTTTCAACTTTTGGGCTTCTACTGCACCTATTTAGGCACCTTGGCCGTGAGGCCCTGGGTCCGGGGTTCTAGGTTCTCTGGCTTGAGGATAGGGGTGTAGGGTTTAGGGTTACAGGTTCAGAATTTTGGGCAATTAAGGGTTATGGGGTCTAGGGTTTCTAGGTTAAAGGCTTCAATGGTCGAGGGCTATGTGATAGAAATATGTCTACTTACAAAACGATTTTTTTCATCGATGTGATTGTATTTACCTATTCTACGCTATGTTGCACGTGTGTATTTGCAACGGAGACACGACCGTACACTCCTATGATCAAGACATACATGTGTTGGGTACCTCAGACTACCGTTTTGTTTGCAGTTCCCATCTGCAAAGTGCACCTTGGTTACTATAGGAAGGGATATAGGGCGTGAGATGGCTTTAGTGAATATCAGACTGCAGCAGTCGTTTCAGGAGCCCAGAAGACCTTAATTGTGTAGGGGCGTCAGTAATTTGAATAGGGTTTTGTAGTCTATGATAGGGAGGCCGAAAAATAAATGGGCAACAGGGTACTACTGGGGCTTCTATACTACAGACTTGCGGTTTGACCATTGGCCGGCAGTGTTCTCGAATTGTCGCACTCCACGTGCCTTCATGCCTTTTTTCCGCGCAGCTTCAGCTGTGGCATGTTCAGCTGCTCTGCTTAGAAAAGAGAGTGGATAGGTGCTTCAAGGAAAATGGTCCATGTACCCACATATATGAACCCTAAACCCTAAATATATGGTATGTCGGTTTTAGCCTTAGCCTTGCCGGTATGGGCACATGGACTCTCAGAGGTCAAATGACAAAATCCGGAACAGCCTGTCTAAATGGTTTAGGGTTTAGGAATGGTTTAGGGTTTACGTCACCTAAAGAAAGCAAAATTCGCAGAACGGCCAGGGCGATCACGAAGGAAACAACCTGGAAGACGGCACCCAAGAGCTCCGAAACGCCTTCATTAAGCGAGCCTCAATATTATTTAGGTATACTAGCTCAGACGCTCAGTGACCCGCTGCATACTGTTTGGGGTTAACTGCACCGTACGAAAGAACCGGAACCCAGAGTATCCCACTGAACAACCTGCGTAAGGGCTTTCGGAGTCTCTGAGTATCTTCTCAAGAAAGATCTGCCCCCCCAGCGCGAAGGGGTATTGCTGCAGGGCCTTAACAGAAAAACATGCTTCCAGAATCACCATTCCAGCCACAATTTCCTGCATCGTGGCCGGTAAACGCGGAAGCACCAATGACAATCCACAAGGCACAAGTAGGCGTGCCTATACGGGAGTTTCCAAAAACGGGGGACCCCAACATAGTACCCTAAACAGTTGGACCCACACTACAAGGACTCCAGGTGCCCCCCCAATTCTCGGAAACTCCTGTAGCGGGCAAAACAGCTTTACCGAATGCCCAGGACGAGGATGATAAAACCGGCAGCAGGGACCTGCTATAGTAGTACCCACAAAGTTGGAACATCAATATCCTCATGCCGTATAAGGGATCCTAGCACTAATCCTCCTAAAGCCATGTTCCAACTTTCTGGCTTCTACTGTAGAGTTGGTCTCAGTCGGGGCTAGACACAGTAACCTCGAAGTAAAAAGGGTGCTCTTTTTGGTTTAAAAGGGGTCATGTCAGAACCTAAACCCTAAACAAAGGGAATAAGAACAGGTCTGTAGCACCTCATCTCTTGTTCGAACAAGACAACAACTGCTTCGGGTCCTGCGGGCTAATCAGAATAAGGTTTTGGGGCCCATCATACTAGACTCATAATAATAAGGAACCCCCAAAATAGTATGCCCTGAACCCTAAACTCTTCTTCGGCGGACGGTGGGGCCCCGCTGGGCCAAAGAGTATAGGTAATTATGAAGGCCCCTATATTAGTTGGTTGACTTATCTGTTCTGCACATATTTTAGGCTTTAGTATTTGTGACTGTTTCTGGCCTATGTAAGTTCTATATGGGAGTTTCCGAAAATAGGGGATCCAAACATAGTACCCTAAATACTAGGATCCTTATTATAAGGACCCCTAAAAAAGGTACCCCTAATTTTCGGAAACTCCAAACCCTAAACCCTTTATAGAACTCCTACAGATCCCTTTAAGGAGCCCTTAAAGTAACCCTTTAAAGGAACCCTAGGACCCCCCTTAAAGAGGTACCCCCGTAATTTTCGGAAACTCTAAACCCTTATAGATCCCTTTAAAGGAACCCTATTATAGTACCCTTATAGTAACCCTTTAAAGGGACCCTAAGGTACCCCTAATTTTCGGAAACTCCCATATCAATCATAACCGGTCCCAGTCGGCATAAGTTCCCTAAACCCCAGGCCCCAAACACTAAAACCTAAATACCACCTTAACCCTGAAGGACCTACCGCTTTAAGGGTTTATATAAAGAAATCATAACTAGGATACCCAGTCACCTAAGAATAAAAAGGCCTCTCTTTTTGGTATTGGGTAACTTTATAAGGAACCTAGGACTACAAAAAGGGAATAAGGGTACTACTGGGCATCCTAGAAAAACTAAATACCAAGCCCTACCTGGACGACCAACAACCGAAAATTTCACGGCAAAAGTTTAAAGGATCATAAACACATAAGAAGGCAGCGCTAAGAACCGTAGGAGCTGCAGGGTCCAGGAATACCCCAGACCCTGAACCCGAAATCCTACACCCTGAACTGCCTATACCCTAAACTGATTTCAATCAAAAGGTCCCCCAGTGTAGACCCTTAAAGATAGGATTCGGTCTTAATCTGACGACCCCACAAGAAAAATGCAAAAAGGGTACTACCCAGACCTTCGGGAGGATCCAGAAAGTAGATCCCTTAAGAAGGCACCCCATAAATTACCCTTCAGTAATATGGCAGTTTCTGAAACTAAGGGACCCTAATAGGATTTAGGGTTTGGGGGACCGTAATAAAGTAACCTAAACAGTAGGATCCTTCTTATAAGGACCCCAGGATTAGGTACCCCCAATATTCGGAAACCCCTATATGGGGTCCTAATTATAAGGCATCTAACTTTTGGACCTTGGGGGGGTTGGGATCTCACAGAAACCCCTCTGTCAGTAAGCAACAAGTTAGGGATACCCTACACGGAAGGTTATGTTTGGGTGCGTTTTTGGCTCCTGAAACAGAGCCCCATCTTTTGCGAGTATGTTCTTGTTTTGGAATTTAGTTTAAGCTACCGTAAGAGTGCTCCATGGTGAATATGAATAGTAGGGTAGCTTATACTGAACCCTAAACCCTCAACCGTCAGCCATAAACCCTAAACCCTAAAATCCTAAAGCCCTAATCCCGAAAAGCTTAAACGCCTGAAACCCTAAACCCCTAAACCCTCAACAAGAGACCACTCCCCGGGATCCCTATCAGCTGGCCTATTGAGCGTTCGGCCGAGGACCCGGTTCCTTTGAAGGGCTCCTTTAAGGGTTCCTGTAAAGGGTTCCTTTAAGGTTTCCTTTAAGGTTTCCTGGGCTTCCTTGGAGGGCAATAAGTAGACTTATGAATACCTCAAAAGGGACTCCAATTGGGATTATGATGCTTGAAAATGAAAAATCCTTAAAGTAGCTACTTACTACATAAGTCCCCCGACCCTCCAAGTAGAAGAGGCGGGGTGCATGTCTTAGCGGTTAAAGGGATAGGGTTTAGGCGTACCCAGCCCCGCCAAAGCAGGCAAAACAAACGGCCCAGTACCTAGGCTATTTTTCCACATACTTATGGGGCTTAGCTTCAGAGGGTGTAGGGTTTGGATTTGGCAAGGGCTTCTAGAGATGTAGAGGGATTTAGGTTCTATTGAGGTTCGATGAGGATTTGGGCCTCAATCTTGACTGAGGCTTCGGTTTAGGGTTAGGGTTTACTGGCTATGGCAGAATAAATTGAATTCGTCGTACACCTTAGTGGGGATTGAGGAGCCCTGGTACACAAGGCGCCTGCAAAGCAAGGACGCAAGCATGAGTGGTTTAGAGTTTAGGGTTCAGGGGTTTGAGGGTTCGGGACTGATTGGCTTGAAGGCTTCATGGCTTTCGGGCTTGTTGCTTACGGTTTACGGCTGTCTCTCTTGGTTCAAGATTTCTGCAAGGAGCCGGGATCTTCCAAGAGAAACGCTCCAGCACACAAGCATCTGAGTTCGGAAAAATGACGCACGGCCAGCGACGAGCGGCCACTGCACTACCCAGACTCAGACGCCGGGAGGATCCAGAAAGTAGAACTCCAAAAATGACTTTATAGATCATAGGTTTCAGGTTTAGGAGCCGGATAAGTAAGTAAATGGTCTTAATTTCGAGATCCTCCTGCAATACTGCACCGCCTGAACGTGGTCCCTGATGGGGAAACAGACGGGGCCCTACACCTTCCTAGTACATAGCCGTCGCCAATACCCCATTCCCTTAACAAAGGTACCTTAGTCGATCGACCCAGTCTTTATGCAGGGACCTGTTAAACAAACAACAAAACCTCGCCACAATGGGGCAAGGGAAGAGTCGTAACGCCAAGCTCTGCATGGCGAGCACAAGGAATGATGAGTGGAACAAAACGCCCCCTAAAATCCTGTAGAGCCTTACAGTAATGCCTCAACAAAAACCTATAAAATCTTACACAGCCATTCCAAAACCCTTTACATATCTTGTAGAAGAGTGAAATCTATAACTAAACCCTATAACACCCATGTAGCCCGTATGATCAGATTTCAATATAGCTGCTCTCGATGGCGGCCTTCGCGATCTCTCGGCAAGCACTTACATCTCCGTCCAGTGCCTCCGGTGGAGTGCACTGAGGGTTGGCGATTCTTTGGGGTTCGCGGCTTCTCCCTAAGGCTCCATGTACTGTAGCCTATACTGAGGCCTTGAAGTACGTACGACTTCGGGTTTACGCTGTAGGGTTTAGGGTAGTTTTCACCGCTTAAGACTTATACGCCCAAACCCTGGAATCTCCAGATCTAGAACTTGCGCCCTAAAGCGCCTATAGGGGTTGAACACGTTGACCACTTGGGGTGCCGACTGCACAACATAGGCCTTGCTGACTGTAAGTCCCATGATCCTTGAACTCGGGGGTACAATACAGTAGTGGACTTTCCCCGCGAGATACCTCGGCAGAACATCGGCAAAAGTTTTCCAAAGCTCGACCTAGCAAAAGATCAAGTTTAAACAGCATTCCCATGGACCCTAAACCCACATCTCGGCGACAGATGATATGGGCTCTCTGCATCTGCACTGCACGGGCTCTCCCTCTGCGTTTTTGATTCAATGCCCTAAAACCGTAAACCCCCCTAAACTAAACCCTGAATCCTTACGGCTGAGCCTCTGCGAGAAACCGTGGCAAGATGTGCCCCTCTGCGAAGTCCGCGGCTGTAAAATTGCGCGAATTGCGAAGGTCCAATTTGGCACCTGCGCAGTCCGGCTTTGGGGGTTTCAGCAATCAGAAAAAACCTACTATTTGCTTAAGAACCCCCAAAAAATAAACAATATATTCCTTATAGGGATAATATAGGGATTATTATTTTTTATTTTTTGGGTGGTTCTTAAGCAAATAGTAGAAACTTTAGGGTGTATTACAGTACAGTTCTGCTGCAACGAGGAACCCGGAGTGATAAGACCAGTAGTCACCCAAGCTTCTACATTACCTTAGTGGCTGAGTATCCTGGCCCGAAAACTGTTAACCTCTCCAATTATGGTAGGATTACATAAGCCCCGAAAGATAAAAGGATAGCCACTCAGCTACAAATTTACAGAGCCCTTCGTCGGATGACTTGGTCTGATCCCGTCCAGGCGCAAGGTGTAGCGTTGATGGTTATATTATAGGGGCCTTAATAATTAGAATCGGGCTTTGGGGTATATTCTATTCGACTATATGTACATTAAAAAGAGTACTGGTAATTATTTAGGCCCCTATGTTAGTTCCGACATTGCCTGTCACTGTCTATCTTCCCTGGAAGGACAGCCGTAAGTCAGGAACCAAAGGTCAATTCCTGGAAAAACGGGGCCACCAGTATCCACCAGCACGGAACATACCATACTTCCACATAGTTCGCATGGTTCAGGGTGCTTGACTTAAGATCCGGCGGGGCACCTCATGAATCGACTCGTAGATTCTGCACGTGTGATTTAGCCGTTCCGGGGGTTTCGGGCTCTGCGGGATTGAACGTTTAGAGGTCTAGGGCCTGTGGGTTTGATGGGATTTGTGTTCCTGAAGGACCAAATGACCCTTAAAAGTAGGGGCCCTATACCCATATACTATGAATCCCTATATGGTATATGAACCTTAAACCCTTTTAGGGTTCATTTGGTCCTTAAGGTTTCCGCGGTTTAGGCTTCAGAGCAGTTCTGGTGACTGTAGTGCTGAATGCCCCCTGCCTGCTGCGATGAGTGCCGCTGCACCTTCGTACTGTGCCGACATCATCGCTGCCATTAGAGGAGTTGCCTTGTAGGCATGATAGCCTGGGATTGAGGTTCAAAGGCACATAACCTAAGCCCGAAGGCCAATAACTTGAACTCATTGGAGCTTACAGCAGAAGCCCAAAAGTTGGAAACCCCATAGGCCTCAATCCTTACGAGTAATGTATAGGCAATGCCAGCACTATTTGGCCTTAATCCAGTTTACAACTTTATGGGGTTTACTATAGATTGCTCGGGCTGAAGGTTTAGGGGCGAACTCAAGTACAGGTCTTTGCGCTGCCGTGTTTGGGCTTGGGGATCAGGATAGGGTTTAGGGTTTAGGAGCGTCTGAGGTGAAGTGTAGATTACGACCCTGACCCCTGAACCCCCACGCACAACATGTTAAAGTGAAACTGCAAAACCCTGAACACCAAAACTCCAAACCCCAAAACCCTGAACTCAGAACAGTAAGACTGCATGAACGTTTTTCCCCGCGAGAGAGAGGGAAAGAGAGAGAGAGAGAGAGAGACAGAGAGCGAGCTAGCTCATGGTTGGGATAGGATTAAAACTGTACATGTTCATTCCTGATAAACCCTAAACCCTAAACCCTAAACCCGGTATATTGGGTTTATGTACCATGGAAAATGCTACCCAACTATGACAAAGAGAGGTGGAAAAGCAGAGGCAGCTGGGAGGCCCTTGGGGTTTTGGGTTTGGGGCTTACTTACTGTTTGCTTAAGAACCCCCAAAAAATAAAAAATATATTCCTTATAGGGATAATGTAGGGATTACTATTTTTTTATTTTTTGTTTTTATTTTTTGTGGGTTTCTTAAGCAAATAGTAGTACCTTTTTAAGGACTTATATAAGGAAATCATATTAAGGAGCCCTAAAAAGGGGTAGGTTCTTCAGGGTTAAGGTAGGGCCTAAATGGGCCTGGGGTTTGGGGTTTTTTTTGGATTTTTGGGGTTTGGGGCTGAATCTGGGACTTCGGGTTTCGGTGGTTTGGGGTTTAGGGTTTAGGGTTTAGGGTTTAGGGTTTAGGGTTTAGGGTTTAGGGTTTAGGGTTTAGGGTTTGTGAGTTTGTTCAGGGTGTATCTCTCTCTTCTTCAACAGCTGGGCCCCAAAAAGTTCAAACTTTCTAAGATAGAGCTCATATATAAGGCCAAAAGTTTAAAGTTCCCCCGTTCACTATCTAAGATTTGGGGGTTTCCGAAAATAGGGGACCCTAATATAGTACCCCAAATAGTAGGATCCTTATTATAAGGACCCCCAAATAAGGTCCTCCTAATTTTCGGAAACTCCCATTTAGGGTTAGGAGCTCGAAGACCCGGCTTCGATTCCAAATGCCAAGGCTGAACCCCAATCCCGCAGCACTTGACCCAGAGCCTCCAAAACCCCTTAATTAAGGAATATACCTTAAATTATAATAGGATCCCTAATATGATTTAAGGTATATTCCTTAATTAAGGGCTTTTGGGAGCTCTGGGGATGCCATGCACTCCAAAGTTTAGCCTGTCAGTGCCCGTAGAACCATAGTATCTATGCGGGAATTATAATCCCTTAGAGTTATATTGTCATGGAATACAAAGACTAAAACCCTAAACTCTAAACCCCTGCACCCTAAACCCTAAAGCAACCCACCAACGAAGGCAAGACCATAAATCGAAGATGATGCTCCAAGCTCCAAACTGAAACAGAAAGGTCAACGCACCTTCAAACCATGCACTCCTCCATATATTCACCTGCAGGGATACAAACAACCCTGAAACCGAAATCGTTTGGGTACTTTCACCTCTCTCGATGGCTCTAGAGCCCTCGTAACAGGCTTCACAACACCTCAACTATACCCCCCTCAGAACCACAATAACAATAATGGATTGAATACTCTCTTGGGTTCTATACCAATGAACAAAAACAGAAAATCATTCCTAAGGAGACTATAGTCAGTATAAGGTACCTAGACCATTAACCTGCTAAAGCCCTGCCAATGCCCTAGGCGAGCAGCATTGCTTCGTGGTGTTCGTGACCGTCCCAAACCTGGGCAGCTGTCTGAGGCAGTTTCAAACTTCTTACATACACATACATATACTTCTTACATAGAATGCAAGAAGTCACAAGGCACATACGTACTTACATACATACATACTTTAATTAGCATGCATATGTGTGTATACATATATATATATATACAGGTATAGAGGTTTGTTTATGGTCTAATTATCTACATTGCTACCAATGTCTTTATTGATCTGTTAATCTGCTTATCAAAACAGTGCTTCTGAATAAACCATACAAATGTGTGTAAGATTTAGAATAACAGCCTGCTGCAACTGCAACGGGTCTACAATGCGAAAACTACGGCTTTTGCTGCTTCTTCAGGGCTCTGACTAAAAGTCCCATTTCCAGGAACCACTCTCAACATCAAGCCTAAAGCCGAATCCCAAAGCCTGATGCTCCGAACGCTGCACCCTAAATCCCTGAACCTAAACCCCGAACACGCATCCCGAACCCCTGAACCCCAAACCCTATTCCCTGAACTTCTTCACCACAACCCAGACCCCGGGGGATCTAGAAAGTAGAACCCCTTTTTTTCGGACCCTATACTACTAAATGCCCTGAAGGGATCCACTTTTTGGATCTTCCCGGGCGTCTGGGGAAGAATCCAAGGAGCCGGTGCTGAAAAGTTTTGAGGCCCAAATATGCACCTGAACTGTGCAGATTTTCTCGTGTTGTTCTGTTAGGGGGGCTCTGTGAACCTTCTTGCGAGGGTTGCTTTAAGGGTTCTATTGGAGACTGCATGCGTTTCTGAGATATACCTGTAGCCGAAAGGGCCTACCATTGTAGGGTTCCTTATGATGTTTTCTATATACAGTTCTTCAAAACGGCATGTCTTTTCGGCTACAGGTAATTCTTGGATTTGGAGGCGGGTCAGGACTTGCATTTTCAAACAACAAACGTAGCTTATGCTTTGCGCTGTTCTCCTAGAGGCCACTTGCGGGCTCGCGCTTAGGGTGTCTACCACAAGCCGCACCTGCTGTTTGAACCAATGTGAACAGTTTCACATGCCCAGACCCCCGAGAGGATCCCAAAAGCAAAAAGTAGATCCCTCAATGGGAGTTCCTATAAAGTACCCTTACATAGTAGCATAGGTAGTATAGGGCCCCAAATTAGGGGATCTGCTTTCTAGATCCTCCCTGGGGTCTGGGTGAGCAGGCTGCGGTTCGGATTCAGAGATCTAGGAGTCTACCAGGACCCCGGTTTAGGGTTTAGGGCTCAGGGTTTAGGTTTAGGGCTTAGGGTTTGGGGTTTAGGGTTTAGGGTTTGGGGTTTGGGGTTCAGGGTTTAAGGGTTTCCCCCCTTGTACCCTCAAACAGGGGTAAAGGGTCCCAAATAGTGGGTACTTATAGGGTCTAATGGAGGGTAGATGGAGGGTCTGACCCGAAAGCCCTGGACCCTAGACAAGAAACAAGACACATGACCAAGAAACAACAAACAAACTAGATCGCTAAACCTAAACATAAAATCCTGCGGGCGTGAACTTAAACAGGGAATTTGAGTCTAGGGATTTAAGGGGTTTGGGAGCTTTGATTACGGACTTTTCGGACTGGGGATACTTCATTTAGTCAAGAGATTCAAGACTTTTTGGGACGCGGCTTGGGTTTCGGAGCCTGAGGCTTTACAGGGCTCAGGGTTTGGGGGGTTTAGGTTCAGGGCTTAGGGTTCAGGTTTTTGGGGGGTTTAGGTTCAGGCTTTAGGGTTTAGGGGGTCCAGGGTTCAGAAGGTTTAGGTTCAGGGTTGAGGGTCCAGGGGGTTTAGGTTCAGGGTTTAAGGCATGGTGTAGTCAGAAATGTTGATAGGCTGTAGGCTTTACGGCTTATCGGTTTCAGGATAAATTAACGACTTGCCGGATTAGGAGGCGTGGTTGACGGTTTCTGTATGTGCATATAAATAATTTTGTATACATATAACTGACAACCTGAGAAAGTAAACCTTATGGTATAGAGACCCTTCAAGCGAACCCTTCAAGCGACCCCTTGCTGGTTAATTACCAGGGGCCCTAGGTATGAGATCTGCCCAGAAGGAAGAATGTACCTGACGTGGTGCCCACTTGTCCCCGTACTCATAATCTCACAAGGGTGCTTTCTTGTTCTTATCCACGTATACAACGGAAGCCGAAAAATGAAGTAAAAACCTAATCCAAAGATAAATTGAACTGAAAGACTGTCCCGAGTTCCGACCAAGACACCGTGTGCTGTTAGGACACCTGGTCCGTACCGCGTGTTCACGTCAGACTTCAGCTCCTTACATGTGAAGCAGCAAGTGGGAAACGTGGACCTTCTCACATTCCGAATCCATCAACCCTAAACCCTAAAACCTAAACCTCTGCCCTGAACCCTAAACATATAAACCCTAAACCCCTAAACCCCTAAACCCCTGAACCCTTAACCCTCAACCCTACTTCACGGACCATGGGACTCTCCCGGCCCTCCCTTACCAACCCCTGAGAACCCAAGTATCCAACAGTCAAGCACCTATACACGGGGGTTTAGGGTTTAAGGTTTAGGGTTTAGGCTTGGGCTAATAGCAATTTTGGGACACCTTGCGTAAACGATTGAACCGTGAGCAGAAGGAAACTACATGAATCTGACCCTAGATACTAGGATGCCCAGTAACTTAGGAATAAAAAGGGCTCCCTTTTTGGCATTGGGTAACTTTCTCAGGAACCTAGGACTACAAAACGGGAATCAGCGTACTACTGGGCGTGATAGCATAGTAAGACCCCGAGTAGCTAATGTACCCCTGGTTTGACATGACACACCACTTTGTTTTACCGAAAGCCTTCACCCTCCAAACCCAATTCCTAAACTCTAAAACCATGAACCCTGGAACGTATAAACCTTAAACCCGAAACCCTAAAGCTCTGAACAGTTAACGTACCTCGAGCTCCGAGGAAGCGCTGTACTTACCAAAAAGCCCTCCACAGCCCTTAAGCCCTATAAGCCCTGAGTTGGCCGCGACCGATACCCTAAAATTCCAATATCACTATAATTAACCGTTTAACCAGGAACCCCCAAAGGCCCGTTATTAGAGCCCTTATGACCCATAATAGTGGGTTTTTGGGGCATATTATGGGGTAGTTGGGGCGTGCAGGAAGGGATATTAGAGTCTCTGGCCCTAAACCCTAAAGGCCCTCCACCTTAAAGGCCCTAAACCTTAATTAAACCCTCTAAACTCTAAACCCGATAAGCCCAAACACTATACTTGAAGGGTCGGGGGACTTAGTAAGTAGGTTATAAGTAGACTTACAAGTGCCTTGAAAGGGACCCTAATTGGGGTTATGGTACTTATAAGTCTCGAAAATAACTACTTACTAAGTCCCCCGACCCTCCAAGTACGCCCTAAACCCTGGACTCTGTAAGCTGCTGCAAAGGCTCTATCAGACGGAAGATCAGCTCTGCCTTGCCGCCACGGAAGGACGCAGCCGTGTAGAGCGACCGATTCATCACGCGGCTGCCCATATTGTAGCCTCCACTCAGAAGGATCCAAAAAGCCTAAACCCTAAACCTTCTTTAAGGGATCCACTTTTTGGATCCTCGCGGGATTCTGGGTAAAGCCTCAACCCTGAACCCTAAATTCCTGCCCTGACCCCTAACCTGAAGCCGTAATGCGAACAAAATTCCTAATCCCTCAAGCCTTAAAGAGCCCCCTACACTGCTGAGCCTAAATTCGAAACCTCGAAGATATCAAGCCTTACCCAGACCCAAGGGAGGATCATGCATGGAGGGGGTTCCTCTAAAGTACCCTGTAGCACGGTTGATGATGTAAACCCTGCATTATCCATAATAAGGAATATGCCATAATTCCCATAGTTTGGGGTCCTTAAGGTAATGCAGCATTTATATCATCAACCGTAGCATAGGTTCCCAGATCAGGGGCTCCACTTACTTTCCAGGCCTTAACACGAACACTACACCCTAAACCCTGAAGGCTAAACAAACCACAAAAGCCCAAAACAAACCCTAATAATAATCCTAAACCCGTTATAACCCTGAAAGGGCGCCCCCAAATCTCCTGAACCCTTAAAGAGCCCCCAATAGTCTCCTGCTTGGCGAAGGATTTCTTCGACCGCCTCGACGCTGCCTGCAGGGGCTCGAGGTTTCAGGGTATAGGGTTCAGGGGTTTAGAGGTTTATGCAAGCAGTCAGCAGACAATCCGAGCGAGAGCGACGCCTGGATCCTTAGCCAGAAGATTAGATGGGTTTAGAGGTTTAGAGGTTTGGCCTTGAGTTTAGGGTGCTGCAGGGCAACATAGGGTTCATCTGGGATTTTCTCCGGGTTTAGGGTATACTCAAAGGGTCATGGGACTTAGTAACTAGGGTTATGTATAACTAGGGTAACTATACTTATAATTACTTATAAACCCCCAGTAGGTACTTATAACCCCACTTACTAAGTCCCATGATCCTCCAAGTAGGGCTTTAGGGTTTTAGGGTTTCCAGGGTTCAGGGTGCTAAGGCTTCAATTTTAGGGCTTTGGGTGCTAGAGTTTAGGATGGTGTAGGTTATAGGGTTTAGAGCTTGAGGGTTTTGGAGCTTTGGGCTTTAGGGCTTTAGGGCTTCAGGGCTTGAGGGAGTTGAGGGCTTAGGGTTTTTTTTGGGTTTAGCTTGGTCAACAACATCATGCTGTTTGAATGTGTTTCCAATCGGCTGTAAGAGAATTGAAGTTCGCGGTATTCTTATGTTTCTTGCAAATGACAGCATTTCAAAATAAAAATTTCGCTGTACGCGCAATGCGCGCTATTGGCTCCTATCTGTCTATCTATCTGTTTGTCTATCTATCGATCTACCGATCCACCTCTCTCTCTACATATATACCTGTAGCGGAAAAGACACAGCTCTTTGAAGAACTATATATATATATATAGAAACCAGAATAAGGAACCCTAAAAAGGTAGGCCCTTTCGCATACAGGTGTGTATACATATTTGCATATTTTTGTGTATATATATATATATATATATTTATTTATATGTATATATATATACATATGTATGGGGGATCCATTAGGCTTCTAAAGGGTATCTAGGAGTCTGTCGAGGGTTTGGAGAGTTGTTATAGGTGTAGTGGTTTAGGGTTTAGGGGTTTAGGGTTTAGGAGGGTTTAGGGGTGTAGGGTTTAGGGGCTTAGGGGTTTAGGGTTTAGGGGTTTAGGGGTTTAGGGTTTAGGGGTTTAGGGTTTAGGGTTTTGGGGTTTAGGGAATAGGGTTTAGTGGTGTAGGGTTTATGGCCTTATGAGGGCGTTCATCCAGGATCCCGGGGGCTTTGGCCGTATCGGGAGCACAAACACGTGAAGACCCGAACGAGGGATTGCACAACAACCTTGTGTTACCTGGCTTCTCTAAGATCCCAGACATAAGTTGCTTCTTTCATAGGGACCCTTACGGGGGGTAGGGGGAAGGGGGGCAGGGGACCATTCTTCCTCAATACGCCTTATTGAAGTTTTATTAGTATTAAGGCCCCCTACCCCCCCCTCACCCCCTCCTTGAAGACATAGACCTTAATTACAATGAAAATTGCAGGTACAATCCTGGACACATGAGGACACTGCCCTCAGGTGCTTTACGGGTTTGGACATAAACACTACACTCTACACCCCGAACCCTACAAACCCTCAACCCCTGAAGCCTGAACTGCTGAACCCCTGAACCCTTAAACCCGTAAGCCTCAAACCCTAAAACTAAAACCCTAAATTAGCCTAAATCCCCCAAAACCCCAAACCCAAAACCCCTGAACCCTCAACCCTCTCCCCCGTCCCCCCATCCTTGAGCACATGCGGCTTCCAAGGCGGAGAAGCCCAAGATGTCCTCTACAAAAAATTCTCTTCCCCAAGAGTTTAGGGTTTATCTTGGGTACGTCCCCCACTCAGTAATAGTTGAATAATGTTCATAAAAAAGATATATTAGGACCATAATAGTAGCCCTATTATCAACTCGTACTGTATGGGGGCAGTACCTAAGGTTTATTACCCCCCTTCCCCCTACCCCCCTAAGAGTCCCTATGAGGGGTTTAGGGTAATTATGAGAAAAAGTGAAACGTGCTCGGGGTTTAGGAGTTTAGGGGTTGAGAAGTTTAGGGGTTGAGGGCTTAGGGGTTTGGGGCTTAGGGTTTATGGAAAGGGTTCAAAAACAGTATACGACATGTTTTCGATTTTAGCAGCTTCAAAAATGTCTATAATTGGGGCTCTACATTATACATTCTACCAGCAAGGGAAAGTGGCAGTCATCCCAAATCGATACCTACAGCAATACAATACGTAATTATGTATTTTCGGGGAACAAAGATCTACTAACTACCTGCTACATTGGTACTTGAGCCCTTTGGGTGCCACACACATACACACACACACACGACCACGGGGATACCCACGAACGCAAGATTACCACCGGGACAGCGGCCATACCTTCCGGAGCTTTAAACAACAGAAGTTAGGCGAGTTAGGGTGTATGGGGTCTATAGTATCGGGTTCAAGGGTAGGTTAGGGTTCTAGTGGCGGACTAGGTCTAAAAGAAAGGTCTCATATGGACTACTCCGATAAATGCAACGATACACCGCTCGAATCTTCCATGGAGGCAACGTGTTGCACGAGGGTCCCCATGCCGACCGCCACCGATGCACAGAAACAGCGCAAAATGAATCCTAAAAACTTCTGTGCCCTCAAACCTACACCCTAAACCCCAAAACCATACACCCTAAACACAGAAACCAAACCATAACCGCCTCAATCCTAACACACTACGTCCAAAATCCAGAAATCCTACACCCAAGCCCCCAAAACTCCTTCATTAAGGGATTTACCTTATAAGTTATAGTAGGATCCCTAAGATGATTTATTTAAGGACGATTCCTTAATCAATGGATATTGGAGTCTCTGGGTGAGCCCCCAAATAGGGCCCAGAAAAAGCACCTAAGCAAAAAATAGGATAGGGATATCCCATATAAAGCCCCTTGTAATGAAGCCCAACAAGGTAGGGATATCCGCGTACTTAAAAGGGTCATGGGACTTAGTTACCTTATTTATAGTTACTTACAACCCCAACTAAAGTACCTATAACCCTACTTACTAAGTCCCATGATCCTCCAAGTAAACTGCTTCTGCTGACAGTAAAAGCCCCAAAGTTGGAAGCGTAATGGCTTCAATCCTTAGGAGCAACGTATAAATAATCCCAGCACTATGTGGCCTTAATCCGGTTTCCAACTTTACGGAGTCTACTGTAAAGCCTAAAATATGTGCAGAACAGATAAGTCAACCTTTCCAGGAAACGGCCAGAAAGGATCGCAGCAAGAATCGGTGCCTTGAACTACTATTGGGCCTATGGGTAGTGCCTGCTGGGTCCCTAACCAAAACTCGAACCGATGATCCGAAAACGCAACCCCAGATCCGCAAATCCGTGCTTGGAGGGTCGGGTGGACGTAGTGGTTTAGGGTTCAGTTAGGGTTTAGGGTTTAGGGTTTAGGGTTCAGTCAGGGTTTAGGGTTTAGGATTCAGTTAGGGTTTAGGGCTTAGGGTTCAGTTAGGGTTTAGGGCTCAGCTAGGGTTTAGGGTTTAGGGGTTTTCACGTCGCAGAAATTGTATGGCCAGGACCAATCCACTTCGAGGTGTCGCTTTAGCCGCTCCCTGGCCAAGCTGCACAAGGCCGTCAAGGCGAACAGCGAAGACGGTCCAAGTTGCGACAGGGGTTTGAGGCTCAATGCCCGGAGTTTTTGGACCCAGGGCTTAAGAGTAAGAATTTCGGGCGTAGGGTTCCAAAACATGAATTCAGGGTTCTGCACGTGAAACTTCTGGGTTAAAGATAAGGCTGGTTAGATTCAAGATAAGGATCGAGGCTTGAGTCTGAAGGTTTCACGTTTCTTGCGATGGGTTTTGCGAGGACGTCTTTGAGGTTCAGGATTCGGAATAGAGGGCAGAAGACTTCGGATTCGGGAATGCGCCTCGGATCCAATGACTCTGGGTTCAAGATTGGAGTGTTCGGACTTCAGAGTTAGTGTGAAGGATTTGAGTTTGCAGGCCTCAAACTGAAACACCGAACGAAGTTTGGGCATCTACAGTCTTACGAGACAATCTACTGGCACCTCCGCTCGAATAGTTAAGCCATTAAGTTTTGGATTTAGGCTATAGGACCCAAGCAGCCCAACATAGTTCAGGGCCTAGCACCGGCTACACTCTAAACCAGACTGCCTCGGAAATCCAGCCCACCTCGCAAGACCGAAACAACCCTGAAGACCCAAGCCTTGCGCACTGGGACCTCGCTACCTCGGAGCCCCAACCACCTGCAATCCCTGAAGCCTGGGCAAAAAGTGCCCGACCGAGATGAAGACGTCCAGACCTGAAGCGAAGCAAGCGACGGAAGGCGGGAAGCAGGACTTAGAGGAAGGGGCAAGACGGGGCACTGCCAGACAACTTCAGAACAGCATAAGCAGTCAAAAACCTCAAGCAAACCCGAAGCCCCGCACACACGGCCCTACACTGCACTCCAACAGTCTCACGGCTGCACGCCGAGGTCCCGGCCGCACGCCACTCCCTTCCACGGCCCCTTCGCAAGCGTGCAGTATATGTGGAGTTTGGGGCGCCGAAGCAGTACGGATGCGGCCTGACCGGTGCTCGAGGTGTACAGTACGCGCTGGCCAAGAAGAGACCCGTAAGAAGGGGTCGACGAGAGGGCCGCCATTGAGGCAGTGGTGGCGAGCGGAAAAATCTGAAAGCCGAAAACTGCGAGGTAGGAAATTTAGCCTTGACTTCATCTCGTGATGACGTCAGGTTTTCCAACAACCCATGTCTCACAAGCCTTGTCGTAGGATCCACCAGGAAAGTTACGATTCCATAAAAGACTTCTGGTGTGATCCCAAACTGTCCGCTTGCTAGCACAACTATTCGGTTGAGGATTCGCTAACCAAATAAAGCTTACAGGCTTACAGGTGTAGCTCGTTGATTTTTACTTTGCTACTCACAATGAGCTCCAATTGAGGAACTAACATATTCACACACGCACACACATGCTGACATATCATACTTACATAAGCAGCTATAACTGCACACAACAAGGTACAATGACGTTAGAAACTGACATGTGATCACGAGATGACAGGTAACTGCAAAACAACACTAGGAAAGCACAGGCGCCAGATGAAAATATTCACGATGTTTTGGGAAAGCCGTATAGTGTCTGTGTCCTCTAATCCCTCATTTGTTTCCGAGACTCTACTATCGGTGTAAAACCATACTATGAACAATCCTGTTTTTCTGATGTTTTGTGGTGCCTAAAAAAGCACGCTAATTAACAATCAAGTCTTTCGTGCGTTTTGATTACATGTTTGCTATGTCTTTCCATTGAAACAAACAGCACAAGAAAAGCGGAACACGCAGAACAATTAGACACACAAGCGAATTTCGTGGGTCTACCGCAAACTGCACGCATTTCGCATTTTTGTCTGCATGTTGCACTGTTGCATTTCGTCTTGACATTTAACTTTCGCGCTGCTGGCGCATGGAGCCTTTCGGTCCCTTCGGTCTTTCTTCCTTTAGCTATCCTGAGCATGAGCTCATCTGGCCATGGCTATCACCACATGCGGATCTTGTCTCAGCCCCAACAAAGAGAGCTGAATGAAGATCATGGAAGCGCAGATACACTTTGCAGTTGCCTACCTGCAATATTTCATATTGGAGACTTTGACTTCAAACCACTGCAGTCTGAGCGCCCCGATGATGGCGGAGCTCTCAGACACCTTGAAAAATCCTGAAGATGTGCCATCGGAATTCTGACCGCGGGGTTTGTCGTTTGTTCAGGATCCCGGTAAAGGACCCAGAATCACCGAAAGGGTGCTTGGAGGGTTCAGAGGGCCCAAAAAGGTAACCTCCTCCATTATGGTTCGGGTCGCGGTAGGCAAGGCCCGGACCAAGTCTCGTGGGAATGCAGCCCCACTGACCGGAGATCTCATTCCCACACCACCAGCAGATAACATCGATGATGTGGTCGGGAAAGTTGGCACGAAGCTCGCGGACATGCTCCTCCACCTGCCACACAATCCAGGCCAGGGTCTTGCCCCAGCACATCGAATAGCGAGTCTGTGACCATCCAAGCGTCATGCTAGCGAGGTTCACTTCTTGATCCAAGTCGGTCTTGACAAACACTCCCCTGCGGTTCTTCTTACAGAGCGCGGTGGAGCTGTCAGAGACAATGCTAACCCCAAGGGTCCAAGTGCCTAATAATCAGATACTCTCCAAAATCCTGACCTACATAACTACAGTGCTACAACCGAGTACCTAATGATTGGGTCCTGCGGACCCTTGGGGCAAGAAATCCTCTTGACAATGAAAACCCTGGAGTCTCCAGTGAAATCCGACAGAGCCCCATGGAGTTTAGAGTTCAGGGTTTAGGGTTTTAGGGTTTAGGGTGTTCGAGTTTTAGGGTTTAGAGTTTTAGGGTTTAGAGTTTTAGGGTTTAGGGTTTTAGGGTTTTAGGGTTTAGGGTTTTAGGGTTTTAGGGTTTAGGGTTTAAGGGTTTAGGGTTTTAGGGTTTTAGGGTTTGGGGGTTTGGGGTTTCGGGTTTCAGGGTTTAGGGTTCAGGGTGTTCGGTCAAAGCCTTTTGGGTTTAGGGTACAGGTCCCGTCCTTTGTTGCGCGGACATCGCAGCCAGCTTCGCAAAGGATCCGAACGCCTTCTAGACTAGTGGCTAACACTTGGGGCCTAAGGATTCGCGCTGAACATCGGGACCTTAACAATTAGAATAGTGTTTTGGGCTTGGGTTATAGTTTAGTGTACGTAAGCGTTACACTGTGGTCCATACTTATTCAAACACGGGGCAATTAGGAATCAGGGCTCTGCATTACAAACTGTCCAGAAACCCAGACGACATTAAGGATCTAAACATTAAACCCTCTAAACAAGGTACCCTGTACCCTACGATTACGAGGGTTCAGTGCACGGGTTACATAATCATCATATAATCATATACTAGTCTCCCCATACTACACTAGGATACCCAGTAACCTAAGAATAAAAAGGCCTCTATTTTTGGTATTGGGTAACTTTATAAGGAACCTAGGACTACAAAAAGGGAGTAAGGGTACTACTGGGCATCCTGGATCATATAATCATATAGTCTCCCCAGACTATTGTAGCACCCAAGATGGCACTCCAATGTTCGAAAGAAGTCCGACATAGACTCACCTAACAAACAGACGTTTACTCGACTGCATACACTGCCGTGGCGACATGGGAGTTTCCGAAAATTAGGGGTACCTTAGTTTGGTGTCCTTATAATAGATAAGGATCCGACTATTTAGGGTACTATATGAGGGTCCCCTACTTCCGCAAACCCCCAAATGAAGAAATCGAAAATCATCTGATTGGTGCATCTCACGACACGGGTTCCGCCGTTGGCTTTTGGTTGCTCAGGAAATCAGATACTCCCTCACATGCCAACCTGCTGCCAACCTACGAAACTACCATCCCAAACCCAAGTTAGACCCCCATTACTCAGATACTCTCCTAAATACGAACCTACAAGACTGATATCTCAAAACCCAAGTACCCAAGTATTGGGCCCGTTGGACCTGAGGGTAGCGGAAGAACGGTAGGATGCACGGATGCTCAGGGAAAACTGGCTTTCCCACATCCCGAGTCCCGTAAAGGGGATCTCGCAGTTACTCAGAGGGTCCAGCGCCCTAATAGTACCTTTGCCTACCAAACCCTACTTTTTTGTTGGTTCTTATTATGAGCCTTAATATGGAATTTATAGGGACCCTAACTTTTTGTAGGGTGTGGTAGGTTAAGGTAGGGTGTTAGGTCCCAAAATCCATCGTCTGAATGGTTTTCGGACCTTGAAACCGTACTACCTGGGCACTTGAACTCTCAGTGTTCGGGACCCAGATGAGCACCTAAACAAAATGATATAATAGGTGGTGTGGCTTTCGGCAGTCCTCAAAAGTGTTCATAATCAGGGCCCGGTATTAAACAAAAACAATCCCAAATGGGAGTTTTCGAAAATAGGGGACCCAAATATAGTACCCTAAATAGTTGGATCCATTTTATAAGGACCCCCCCCAAAAAAGGTACCCCTAGTTTTCGGAAACCCCCAAATCGATAGCGAGCGCTAAGGCTCCAATAGTCCATGATCCCCTGCTTAAGTAAAGGGAACCCCAGAAAGTTGGTATATGGTTTCAGGGTAGGATACCCTATAATTTACCATAAAGGGTTTAGGATAATCATATTCCAACTTTCTGGCTTTTATTTTACTTTAAGCCAGCAAGGCTATCTCACGCCAGAGTTTGTGTTTGGGTGCTTTTTTGATTCCTGAACAGTTCTCGCAGGGTACTACTAAACTAAACCCTATACCAGGACCCCCAAGTACGTTTTATTAAAGTCCTTATGGTCCTGAATAGAGGTATTTGAGTAGTTGGCGGGTCTAGGAAAACCCAGGAAACCCGGAGACTCAAACGCGGACATCAGACTTCTCAATGCGCGTGAACCCAAACCCTCCTAAACTCCGAGCCTCTAATTTGGATTTAGTTCTTGCATTGAACAGGTCGGTGGTCTCTTTATCTGTTCCTAGTATTGCCCAATATGTTCCTAATAAGGATCCCTATATACAGCTCCTAATTCTTGCGGGTTCAGGGGCTTGCGGCTCTTCAATTAAGGGTCCAGGTGCCCAAATAGTAGGGCTGTAGGACACGAAAACTATCCCCTGAATGGTTGTCAATCTCCTTACCCAAAAGGTTTGCGCCTTCCGGATTGTTGGCTGAACCAGCCAAGTTCAATGCTGGTAGGACGCCGCCATCCACCCTCGCCCTGGCTGATACAAGCAGACGCGCGGCATCGTGGTGCTTGAAATATACCTTGGCTTGGTTGGGATCATAGGGTCGAGGCCTTAACTTTAAGACCTTGGGCAATGCCTAGACTCTGGCCCCCCCCAACCAACCTCTAGCAGCTAAAAACCCACTTTTAAGCACCATCAGGGCTCTGTTGGGGCACTGGGCGGGTCCCAGTGTAACCGGAGCCGCAAACCCTGAACCCTACAAGCCCTAACCCCAAGCCCTAGGGCTGATGCAGGGCGCTCAAGGTTTCGACAGTTGGGCTTCATGGCCTTGGATGTGCACTTTGAGCGATTTGAAAAATGTTCCGACAGGCGAGCCGCTGGAATCCCATTCAGGACAGGTATCCCAGGACCCTCCTTGTATCCTCATATAGGGGTATATGGTCCCAAATAGTGCGTACTTAGGGTCTAATAGAAGGTAGATGGAGGGTCTAGGTACAGATTTGCGAATAGCCTCCCCCAAAACCCGAAAGCCGTGGACCCTAGACACGAAACAAAACACATGTCCAAGAAACAACAAACTAGATCGCTAAACCTAAACATAAGAATCCCGCGGCCCTGAAATTGGATTCAGGTTAAGGCTACTAAACCTTTCGGGCTACCCTGAGCTAGCCGAGGCACGGAAACGGAAAGGGCTGACGCCCAGGGAGGCATTCCGAGCAGCCATTGGTCTTTCCTTCATGGAGGGGGGCTTGCTCGGGGGATGAGGGTTTAATTCTCGAGGTTTAAGGGCTTCCGGTGGTCTTGGATGTGGGAAGCCTTTATGATGGTCCAGGGGTGAATGTACTTAAATATGGACCTCCTCATCCATAACACCTTTCCTTCCAGGGCCCTAATATTCGAAGACCGATTGCAATCCTTCTAAAGGTAGTAAGTGGGCTTCTTCACCCCTAAACCCGAGACCTCAAACCTCGACTAGATCAGGGGGTCTACAGTATGACTCGTGAGGGAACGGGATGCCTAGTAAGTCGACCCTACTCCACCCAGCTAATGAATACCTGTAGCCTTTTGAGGGCTCCTTATTATGATTTCTATATATAGTTCCTCAAAAAGGTAGGCCCTTCCGGCTACAGGTAATATTTGGCTGTTAACCTACTTATGATCCTGTGCGTTAAAGGCAGTGTGGCCCAAAGGATTCGTAGCTCATTTAGGGGGGCCTGAGTACAGTACATGCCTGAACCCATACAGCTAAACCCAACCAAATTCGTACCCCGGAAAGCCCATCGCTCCGTAAGCGCCGAACCCTACATTTTAATGATCATGGAACTTAGTAAGTAAGGTGATAAGTACCTTCATGGAGGTTATAAGAAGTTTGACTAAGTCCCACGACCCTTTCAGTAGACCCTCACCATTTCGGAATGAGCCATAAATTAACGCCCTGAGTCTTACAGCATCCGCACTAGCACGAAAACTGTTGAAGCAGCATGCAAGACACTGCATGTTGGATTCCAAAAGCTGCACTCACCCGTAAACATGGACGACTGACCTCCCTTACACATACTCTTGATAAGTTAACTCCTGCATTGCCTACAATGAGGAATATACCATAATTCCCATAGTGTAGGGTCCTTAAGGTAATGCCGGATCTATATCATCCACCATAGTGACATAGTTCCAGAGGAGCCCGAACCGGCCAGAAACCATGCAGAGTACAGTATGTGGTGGTTTGGGTACTAGAAGGACCTGAATCAGTACAACAAGGTTTCGGGGTATACTATATTCGGACCCCAAAATAGTGTCGGAAATGATGCCTAGAAGGTCCAAAACCCATTCAGAATATGGATTGGGGGACCTAAAACTCTACTATTTGGGTCCTTGGACCCTCTGGCTACGTAGGCCCCCAAACCCTGAACCCTATATCACATGAACTTCTAGACCCAAGAGTAACAGTAACACCTAGGAATTAAAAGGGTGCCCTGTTTGGGTTAAAGGGGGTTACAGGAGAACCTAAACCCTCAGAAGGGGAATAATGGCCTACTCTGGGTCCTAGATGGGAGTTTTCCGAACTTAGGAGAAGCTTATTATGCTGTCATTATACTAAGGATCCTACTATTTGGGGTACTTAATCAGGGTCCCCTATTTTCGGAAACCTCCAGATTACTTGAACTTCTGGAAATTGAAACGCGAGGATCTTCGTCTGAACGTTCACATCGGCACGCTTCTGTAGAAGACCTTGGATCACCTGAAGGGGTTTAAGGGTTTAGGGGCTTAGGGTTTATAAGGGTCTAGGTCTTTAAGGGTTTAGGGGTTTAGGGTTAAGGGGTTTAGGTTTAGGAGTTCAGGCCTTAGGGTTTGAGGGTTTAGGGTTTAAGCCAAATTGTAGCGGGATCACCTGAAGCGGTGCATTTTTGGGATTCTGTGGAAGCCCGCAAGTTGGAAACCCAAAAGCCTCAATCCTTGAGAGTGATGTATAGGAAATCCCAGCACTAATTTAGGATGCCCAGTAACCTAGGAATAAAGAGGGCTCCCTTTTTGGTGTTGGGTAGGTAACCTTATAGGGAACTGGATTTTGCAAGCACTTAAAAAATAGGGCGTCTTTCCAAGGTCTCTGTAGGGGGGTTGTCTAGGATTTATGAAAGGGCTGTATAGTGGAGGGGGGGGGATTGGCAATGCACTTTCCAATACGGTTAGTCACATGCGGGAAACGTGTGTTGAACAGCTTCCGCCTTTGGATTTCCCCCAAGCGCAGCATAGTGGAGTGGCGACCACCCTTGGCGGTCAAGCTCGCCAACCGACTGGAATCCGTTCCTTGGTGGCGCTTTGAACACCCATCCAAAAAAAACAGATGATTAGGGCTATAAGTGAATTAAGCCATCAGGGAAAGTTGACATTTTCCCGAATCGGTGCCTAGGCTCTGATGGAGGAAGCGTGATGCTGCCACGGATGCGGAATCTGAGTCGGAGCCTGCAGCCAAACGTGCTCAAGGCGAAAAAAACCGTAGCCGCTGTTTTGTTACTTCGCCCGAAGATTGAAAGATTACAAGCCGTACATGCAGTATAGTCTACTGTCGCCAACAGCAGAACCCTCAAAAACTATAAGCCGTACATCCGCAACACCGAACCCCGAAATTCTTGTGCAGCCCTACCCTGATGGACCCTAAGACATGGGAGTTTCCGAAAACTAATTTGGTGTCCTTATAACTAGGATCCTATACTATTTAGGTTATTTAGGGTACTATATCAGGGTCCCCTATCTTCGGAAACCCCCATGTACCCATGCAGTATACTTTACCCCCCCCCACCACACGCAGTCGTGAGAGTCATGAAGGAACCACCCAAAAGCTCAAACCTAGCCTGCAGCTGTCGTGCGTCCGGGTGCCGGTATACCGGCCCTAAACCTCTAAACCCTAACCCCGATAGACACTAAAACGCAGGCATAAATCCTTGTCGCGCTGAGGCCGTGATGAACCCATCATGCAACCACAACACGCCTATTACAACCCAGTAAAGAGCATGGCCACATGGACGCTGACAAACCCCTAAACCTTAAAGCCCAACCCCGACCCAACGCCCACACCCTAAACCACAGACCCCCAAACTTGACACCCGAAGCTCACCCAACCTTTACACCCGAAGCTCTTAAAGCCTAAACCCTTACACCCTGAAGCCCTAAACCCTAAACCCTAAACCCTGAAGCCTTATACTCTGAAGCCCTAAGCACTGAAACGCGGAGTGCTCCAGCTCCCAGGCGAGGAGCTGTCTGCTTCGAAGCCGGGGATCAGATCCTATGCTTCTAAAGGGAACTCCAGAAAGTTGGAATATGGTTTCAGGGTAGGATACCCTATAACTTACCATAAAGGGCTTAGGATAATCATATGCCAACTTTCTGGCTGTTTAGAGTTTGGGGTTGAGGATTCGAGGCTTCAGTTTTGGGTCAAGGGTTGAGGCTTTTAGGCTTTAGACCTTTCAACTTTAAGGCTTCAGAGCTTGAAGTGCGGGGGTTTGGGGGATCAGATCCTATGCTCTGAAGTGGACATGGTTTAGAGTGTAGGGCGTGGGATTTAGGATTAGGGCTTAGGGTTTAGAGTTTAGGATTCGGGAATAAGACTTCAAGGCGTTGGGGCTTTAGGTCTCCGATTTTTCCGGACAGTAGGGCTAGCCCAACTTGTTCTGGAGCTGATCCCAGACCTTCGGGAGGATCCAAAAAGTAGATCCCTCAATGGGGGTTCCTATAAAGTACCCTCAGTAGTATAGGGTCCCAATTAAGGGGATCTACTTTCTAGATCCTCCTGAAGGTCTGGGATGAGGGACTTGATCAGGGTGTTCATTGCGGTTTGAAAGGGTTGTTCAGGGTATCGTTGCTTGCTGTATGTGGCTCCTTATCTAAATTCAAATCCCTTTGTAGGAACCCGCAAGGAAGCGGCACCCTTATAACCAGGACCCTCGAAGGCACCCTACTTTAGAACCGCCTCCCATGTGCTCTTGTTGTTCGACAGATTTCCTAGGTCCCTGAGTAGCCCCTGAATGGTGATGGTACCCTTTTGCCTACTACTTGGGTTTTAATAAACGAACCCGAAAAGAAAAAGGGTAAAAGGGTACCACTGGGGAACCAAGTTTCTTGCTCTTGTTGTAAGCGAGTATGCGTAGCCCGAAAAGAGGCGAGGTGGAGTTTCAGAGTGTTAGGGTGTGAGCTTGATTTCTATTTGTCTTCAGGATTCATTGGTGTTTCACGGTTAAACACACAAAGAGCCAACAAGTTGAAACGATGTTCAGCAAGTTACATATGTTTTCACCGGGCTTTGTAGCATGTAGCTTTCATGACGGTTGCACAAACCCTAAACCCTGGATTATGAGTCTATGCGGGCCTCCTACAAGCCTAACTAGTTTCACAGAGCCTCCCCTCGCCACCTGACGATCCGTGTATGCGTAAACCACCCCTAAAATAGACTCGTGTTCCCATTGAAACGCTGATATAGGGTTAACGATTCAAGGAAACTGTTCTACACACTTCATGCTCCTCAAAGCATGAAGTAACAACTCCTCAGCAAGAGCAACTAAATACAACTACAACCTTACACACCAAAGTGCAGACCTAGGCTTGTTAGTAGCATAAAAACGGAAAGTACCACAACCCAAAAAGCCCTCAACCGATAGAACAGCAAAAGCTGACAACATCAAAAGCTACCAACCAGAAACATAACACCCAAAATCCTCAACGCCCGGAAACCCCAAAAGTAGGCTCGGGGCCGGCGATCTTGGGTGAGTTCCATAAAGATCCACAATGAAACCTGATACCTATATCCGGAAACCGTAAACAACTCTAAACACTCAAAGCCGGGGATCTTGGATGGGTTCCACATCGAAGCCCTTCATGTGGGTGCTCTGCAGATTCAGTAGCACACGGTAGCTCACAAGGTCCTCGGTTGAGGGCTTTGGGGCAGTAAGGCTTTCCCAGAGGGGTTTAGGGTTTAGGGTTCCCAGAGTGTGCATATTTCCTACCGTTATGGAATGAGGCCCCAGATGGTTTTAAGGGCGTTTTTCCACAATATGGAGCTTTTTGACAAGATGCAGAAAGGCTTTACGTGGATGTCTGGTTTGGGTTGAGGGCTCTACTTGGAGGGTCGATGGACTGAGTAAGTACATTGACAATAATTGAGTAGACATATAAGACAAAACTACTTACTAAGTCCCCCGACCCTCCAAGTACTGTTCGTTTTCACATGTTGCTAATAAGAGGGTCATAACCCTAGGGATCTAAGGACTCATATGTTAAGGGTTTTGAGCCCAAAGACCATACTACACAAGGCTTTTGGGCTATTTCGATCCCCAGGGTCAGGCTGTCAAATGGGGTGTCATGAAAGGCTTTTAGTGAGTGCTTGGAACCCTAAACCCCAAACGCCAAACCTAGTTTATGAGGTTTTGATGGGAGGTTTAAGATTACTGGGGTAGGGATTCCTTAATATGAACCCTATTATGGGAACCCTAATCCCTACTAAACCCCCGTTGGCTAAAAGCCCTTTTGGCCTCCTATGAAGATCCCCTCTAAGCCTTAAACCCTAAACACTGTGTTGAACCCTTATAGATCCCTTTAAGGAACCCCTATAGATCCCTTTAAAAGGAACCCTAGGGATCCCTAACCCCCATAGGCTAAAACCCCTACCTCCTATGAGGTTTGTCTTTCGTAGATTCTGCCCCTGAGGGCTCCAAAGAATGGGGCCCACTGGGCTCCCAACTACTATTTGCTTAAGAACCCCCAAAAAAATAAAAAATAATAATCCCTATACTATCACTATAAGGAATATAATTTTTATCTTTTGGGGGTTCTTAAGCAAATAGTAGCCAATACGGCCTAAGGCTTTAAAGTTCCCGTGAAGGGCCTTTAGGGGCAACTTTGAGGGTTTAGGGTTTAGGGCTTTGGAGTTAAGGGTTTCAGGGTTTAGGGTTTAGGGCTGTGGGGCTTTAGCGTTTTAGGGTTCAGGGCGAGTCAGGCATTTCGGTCGAGGGTGGGTTTTAAAGGTGTTGCCGAGTAATAACTAGACGAGGGTTTCGAGACACAGCATATTATGATTGTGCAGGGTACTGCTTAGTACTAGCCATTTAGACCCTTCTATCAAAAAAGTGAACTGAGGTTTCGGGTGTCTGGTGGCCGCAACAATGAAACTACAATTACTATAATGTGTATGTGGTCCAGTCAGAGTTTTAAGGCTTCAAACCAAGGTGCAGCAGCCGTGCATCCTACAGCCTAATTACACCCTAAACCGTAAACCCCTAACCCGTAAACCCTTAAACCCTAAACCCGATCCCTAAACCCGAAGCCCCAAGGTGCAAAAGCCGAGTGTCTTGCTTCTTCAAGCACAAGGCTTACCTTTGGTTAGTAGGGAATGGAGGAATGGTGTGAAATTATAAGTACTATTACTATTACTACCAGTCTTCCAGTCCCTACTAACCAAAGGTAAGAAGGTGCAACAGTCGAGTGTCTTGTTTCTTCAAGCACAAGGAGAGCTTGCGCCGCAGTCCGTGCTGAAGGATCGGCGCCAGCTTGGCCTTGCTTGTCCGTTCTTCAAGGTTTAGGGCTCTTAGGTTTAGGGCTCTTACGGTTTAGGGTTCAGGGTTTAGGGTTCTTCCGGCTGATGATTTAAATTCTGCATTACCCATAATAAGGAAAATACAATAATTCCCATAGTTTTGGGTCCTTAAGATAATGCAGGATTTGTATCATCAACAGTAGTAACTAGGGTTATAATTAACGTGACTATGCTTATAACAACTTATAAGCTCAGTTGAGGTACTTATAGCCTTACTTACTAAGTCTCATGATCCTCCCAGTAGGTTTCATCAGGGACCCAAATTGAGACAATCCGTGACAGCCCCTCCGACCTAGACATTACTTGGACGGTCGGGGGACTTAGTAAATAGTTATTTTAAAGACTTACAAGTATCGTAAGCCCTATTTAGGGTCCCTATTAGGGTACTTATAAGTCTACTTACTACCTACTTACTAAGTCCTCCGAGCCTCCAAGTATGCTACAGGGCTTAACCTTGAGCTCCAGGGTTCTGCTAAGGAACCCGAAAAAAGAAGCAAGAGCATTACTGAGCAACCTAATATAGGCGCCTTACTAATTAGTATGGAGTTTGGGGGCCCATTGTACTATACTCATAATAAGGAACCCCCCAAAATAGTAGAGGTAATTATCTAAGCCACCGAAATTAGGCATAAACACCAAGATACGCGGTCTCCTGGCACAGTGAAGTCGCCCTCGCCGGGGGGTGCTCCTCCGCCTCCGGCCCCCACGCCAGATGCTACCAGCTCGATTTCCTGAGTATCTCTTCAGGGCGTCGCTATATAGAATAGGGTTTTGGGGCTTGTGAAGCTGTACGTTTATGACTTAACCCTAGACCTTCTAAACCCTGCTTCTTTGCAGGTTCTTGTTATAAACCCTGATATGGGATTTCTAGGGACCCTACAAAAAAGTAGGTTCTGGTAGGTTAAGGTATGAAGTATCCCCCGCCCAAGGAATAAGGCAGCAAGCTGGAGTTTGGGCTTTCCGGGCCTTATCAGCGGTGCAGCGCATAGCGCTTAGGGCTCAAGAGCTTAGGCTGCTAGATGCCTTGGGTTTAGGATCATGGGACTTAGTAAGGTTATAGGTACCTTAGTTGGGGTTATAAGTAGTTATAAGTATAGTTACCTTAATTATAACTCTAGTTACTAAGCCCCATGACCCTTTAAGTGGTGTAGGTGCACGGGGTATGACACCATGGACCCGGAGGCCGAAAGGTACCCATAGTTTGGGAGCCTGTACTACTGTTGATGATAGAAATCCTGCATTACCTTAAGGACCCTAAACTATGGGAGTAATGGCATATTCCTTACTATGGGTCATGTTGATGATATAAATCCGAAATCCTGCATTACCTTAAGGACCCAAAACTATGGGAATTATGGGATATTTCTTACTATGGGTCATGCAGGATTTATATCATCAACCTTTTTAACCCAGATTTCCGGGAGGATCTAGAAAGTAGATCACCTAGTTTGGGGCCCTATACTACTAAGGGTGCTTTATAGGAACCTCCCAGCAAGGGATCTACTTTTTGGATCCTCCCGGGGGTCCGGGAAACTTGCAGGATTCCCCTTCAAGGGATCTTCTTCTTGGATCGTTTTAGGGGTGTGGACTTAGTAAGTAAGGGGTTAAGGGCCCCTTTAAGGGATCTACTAGGGTACTATAAGGGTTTAGGGTTTAGGGTTTACTTGGAGGATCATGGGACTTATAGTGGATTAATTATAACCCTAGTTACTAAGTCGCCCCATGACCCCTTAAGTAGCTTCCCAGTACAGTAGCCCCTCAACAAGAAGGGTACCATGTTTCCTGTGCTTGTTTTCAAAAGGGAACCAAAGGAAGGCAAAAGGACGAAAGGGTACTGCTGCGGAACCTAAACAAACTGGACAAGCATCACAAGGGTTAAGCCTTGCAATTATTCATGGCAGGATAATGTATACCCCGAAAGGTTAAAGGTCACCTACTCAGCTACTCAGACAAGCTTGACGCTAAACCCTTCTGAACCCTCAACCCTTAAACTCTCTTCTTCAACAACCGGCCCCAACAAGTTCTAACTTTCAATTATGGAGCTAATATATAAGGCCAAAGAGTTTAAAGTTAACCCCAAATCTCGAAACCCTAACGGCTAACCGCCGCTAGGGTCCCACTTGCCGGGACAGGGGGACTTCGTAAGTAGTTACTTTAGAGTCTTATAAGTATCAGAACCCCAATTAGGGACATTTTAAGGTACTTAGAAGTCTACTTCTTTCCTATTTTCTAAGTCCCCCGACCCTCCAAGACCCCTTTTAGAACCCTCATAAACCCCTCCAAAGGAACCCATATAAAACCCCTACAAATCCCCTCAAAGGTTCTACTAAGTCCCCCGACCCACTCCTAAACCTCTAAACCCCTAAACCCTAAACCCCTAAACCCCTAAACCCCTTTGACGTTCTGTTGCACCTCTGAAGGATTTGGGAATTTCCGACACCAGGGGACCCTAATATAGTACCCTGAATAGTAGGATCCTTATTATCAGGTCCCAAAATAATAAGAAACCCCTAAACCCCTAAACCCTTTAAAGCTTCTACTAAGCATCTGTTGCACCTCTGAAGGATATGGGAGCTTCTTTAGGGTGGGATCCTTATTCTCAGGACCCAAAATACGAAACCTCTAAAGTAAAAGCCAGAAAGTTGGAATATGATTATCCTAAACCCTTCTATGGTAAATTATAGGGTATCCTACCCTGAAACCATATTCCAAGTTTCTGGAGTTCCCCTTAAAGGTTCTGCTAAGCATCTGTTGCACCTCTGATCAAGATCCAAGACGACTCTTCAGAGAGCTCACGACCTGAGCTTCTTCGGCTTACTTAGAGGATCGTGGGACTTAGTAAGTAGGGTTATAAGTGGGTTATAAGTACCCTAATTGGGGTTATAAGCAATTATAAGTATAGTTACCCTAATTATAACCCTAGTTACTACGTCCCATGGCCCTTTAAGTAGGGCTGCCCAGGACGTCTGGGGTTTAGGGGTTTAGGGTTTAGGGGTTTGGGGGTTTAGGGTTGGGGGGTCAGGGTTTAGGGTTTTTGGGGTTTGGGATTTGGAGGTTTAGGGTTAATTTAGAAGGGACTTAGGGGTTTAGGATTTAGGGGTTTAGGGGTTTAGGGGTTTAGGGTTTAGGGGTCCGGGTGGGTTTAGGGTTGAGGGGTTTAGGGTTTAGGGAAAATCCCAAAAAAATAAATCCCTTAAAGGTGGGTTCCTATAAGGGTTCTCTCAAGGGCAGCCCTTCAAGAGAGATTTTTCTATTTATAAGGGTTCCTTAAAGGGATCTGAAGGAGGGTTTAGGGTCAGTAGAGGAGTACAAAGTGTAGAAGGCTTTGGGAGTGGAGCCCGAATCAAATATCCTTAGTAGTACAAGGTCAGGGGTTCTTCTCTCTAGATCCTTCGGGGATCTGGGTCAGGGTTTTTTTGGGGAGAGCTTACGCTTGGCTCAGGGTCTACATGTAAATACGGCTCAGTGTCTACATGGAAACCAAAAAAACCTAGCCTTGTGGCGTCCCTTATTCTGCTGTCCTTGTAACCCTTATGCCGGCAGGTTATTTGGGGTTGAAGTAGGTCTACGGTTTGGGGCTGGGTGCTTCTTCATGAGCCCGGAAAATGCACCGAGTTCTATCTAAACTTTCTTCAGGGGGCAGCCTTCACTAGTTTGTGTTTAGGGAGGGCCATCAGGGCCTGGCGAATTCACGGACGAACGAAGCGTATCCCAGTGATTTATCTTGCGGACTTTTCAGGACAAGAGCAAGGAACCCCAGATTCTACACCCCTTTGAAGAAATATCAAACACAAGCCGGCAAAACCTCCTAGCTGACAACAACTAAGCTCGTGGCATGCGCGCTCGGCGCGGCACCAGCCTCTTTCGGCCCAGCTCGCCTTGAAACATGGAATATTTGCAGGTAATTGGTGTATGTACCCATGCATACATGCATGCATGTGAATATGCAGAGGTATGTTTACAGGTATACGTATCTACTTTCCATCCTTTTTTCTCCCTGAGTCATTCTTGCAAAATTTGTGGAAAAAATAGGGGTTTAAGTTTAGGGTCCAGAGGTTTAGGGGTTTCGGGTTTAGGATGGTCTAGGGGCTTGTGATTAATCAACGGCCTGAGGGAAAATAAATCTAGCAAGCCGGGATGTGCAGATCCTTCAAGACAGGGAATATCTTGTTGCCGCAGCTGTTGTTCTCATGTCTAGCAAATGGTGATCTCAACTATGGCACGTGCTCCTGCGATTCTGCGCTCTCTCTTTCAATGTACACGCATGCACTCACGGGGATGTATCTGCCGATCTACATGTAAACTGCACAGGCTTCTCAAAACGTCCGAGCTGCATACGAGAAGACTTTGGACTGGATGTCACAGGTGATGACCGGGCACAGAACCATGAAGAACGAGCATCCTTTCCGGTTTAGGGTTCAGGTTTTAGGATTGAAGGCTTCGGGTTTAGGAGCATCCACTCTTCTTCAGTGGCCAGACCCCTGGGAGGATATCTGGAAAGTAGAGCCCTGAAAAATGGACCCTATACTACTACAGGGAACCCAAGAAGAATCAAAAGGAACTCCCCTTAGGTCCCCTTGAATTAATTCATCATTTTGGAGACTCCCAGGAAGCTGGGTAGCCAGGTCGGGTGTTCGGGTTTACTTGGAGGGTCGGGAGACCTAGTAAGCAGGTTATAAGTAGACGTATAAGTGCCTTAAAAGGGACCCTATTTGGGGATATGGTACTTATAAGTCTCGAAAATAACTACTTACTAAGTCCCCCGACCCTCCAAGTAGGGTTCAGGGAAGATCAGGGTGTACTTAAAGGATCATGTAACTAGGCTTATAATTAAGGTAACTGTACTTATGATTACTTATAACCCCATTTAAGGTACTTATAACCCTTACTTACTAAGTCCCATGATCCTCCAAGTAGAAGCCCTCCTGTGAGTTGCGTACCTTGCCGTAAACCCAAGCCTAAAGCCTGCGCCTCAAACCGCGAAATCAGAACCTAGGTGTCGATTTCAACAGTCGCCATTTTTTTCTGTAATTTGCGGCCCTATTTTGAACAATAAGGAGGATTAACATCGATACCTACGGTTGATGATACAAATGCTGCAATACCCAGAATAAGGAATATGCCAGAATTCCCATAGTTTAGGGTCCTTGGGGTAATGCAGGATTTACACCATCAGCCGTAGGAACCTAACCTAAAGCTCTGCATTCCGGTTTAGGGTTCAGGGTTTAGGATTGAAGGGGGTTGTAAGGGAACCTAAACCATAAAAAAGGGAATAAGGGCCTACTCTAGGTCCTTGTAACCTAAACCCCTGCAAATGACCATACAAGCATCGGGCGATGTAGGCCGGAATGCTGTTAATTGCATTGCCCAGCTCGCCTTGCAACAAGGCTACGGTTCAAGGGCCCCGGCGGGGGTTTAGGGTTTAGGGGTTTAGGGTTTAGGGGTTTAGGGTTTAGGGGTTTAGGGTTTAGGGGTTTAAGGGTTTAGGGTTTAAGGTTTAGGGCCTCAGAAGGGTTGTAATGTAGGAAGGATTAGAATAGGGTGCTGGGGTTTCTTATATGTACAGTATGCGTATACCCTATGGGTACTATTGGTAGCTACTCAGGCTTCTACATTATATGGCTTGTAAGGGCTTAGAAGATAGATATGTGCGCATACATACATACATACATATATATATATATGTATGTATGTATTGATTGTGTTTTATGCAGCTTGACAGGGAGTGGGATTTGGGTGTCGGAAGGCAACAGGTGTATCTAAAAAAACATGCAGGAAGTGAACAGTTCTCCCGCCTGGCGACCCAGTTGTTCAAGTCTAGAAGAGACAGCTTCTATCTCTTATACAGCAGTCACGCCCAAACTGTACTCTGGATGCTGACAGTGTTGGTGAGGCTTCATCTTGGCTGCGGCTACGGCGGCTACGAAACAATCGGCCCAGCCCCAGATCATCATGTTATGCCAGCGAAGATCACCAAACAGTTAGAGAGCACCACGACGACAATGACGACCACGACTGTCAAGACCACCGCCACTAGTGCTACCGCGACCACCAGGACGACCAAAACCACCACCCCACCACAAAAAAACCCGGAGATGATCAGGAGCCCACCCACAAGAGGCGACTGAACATCTGGACATGCTGGACTACTTGTACCTCAAGTACCCTGAATCCTAAACACGATCTCCCGCCTTAACACCGAATAACCCACCTGTTTGAGGACTTATATATAGAAACCGTATGAAGCAGCCCTCAAAGGTAGGTTTCCTACTATTTGCTTAAGAAACCCCCAAAAAATGAAAATAATAATCCCTATATTACCCCCATAAGGAGTATATTTTTTATTTTTGGGGGGTTCTTAAGCAAATAGTAGTTTCTTATGGTACAGGTACACCCTACACCCTAAACCGTGGGTCCGAATAAAAGCCAGGTTCTGCGAACAGCCTAGCACCCCGTAGTGGGTCCTACATTAAGGGTTTATGTTTTTTTTTAAGGGTTTATGGTTTAGGCTTTAGGGTTGAAGATTGTATTTCGATAAATCGGTTGTAGAAGGGGTGGTTGGGGAGGGGTTAGAGTCTAGGTCAACCGTTTAACTGCATCCAGCGGCTGTTCAATTCGTGCGCCAAGCCCTTTGTCAATGCCCGACGTGTTTGATGATCCAACTGCGGGCAGGAGAAGTAATCATACCTGGTGTAGCGTTTTAGGGTTGAGTGTGTAGGGGTTTGAGGGTTTAGGGTTTAGCGTAGGGTCCTAGGGTTCCGTCTTACAAGGACTCGGGAGGATCTAACAAGGAGAACCCTTAATTTGGGACCTTATACGACTGACGGGTACTTTATAGGAACTCCCGTAAAGGATCTACCTTTTGGATCCTCCCGGGCGTCTGGGTAGAAGGGCTTCACGAAGGCTTGCTGGGAACAAACCACTCAAACACTGCCCACTCCCTTGACTCGGGAATGTACCTGAATGCACGGGCCTTTGGATTTGAAGGAAGTTTTGGGGTGTATGATCGTATTCTCGTACAAACATGCCAGATTGCGAAACCTCCGAAAATATTCAGGCTTCCACATTACTGTAAACGATATTGACGCTTTTTCGATAATCTGAGGCACCCGAAAGCCTACAAGCCCTCGACCCCATAAACCCGAAAGGTGCATTCCTCATTTCAGGTTTTTGTGAGTTTCAGGGAAGGATTAAACAAGTCAAGTTCCCTCCCCTAGATTCCCGCTTGCATGAAGAAACAGGAAAGTTATGCTTTGGGGTTCAGGGCCCTTAAAGCCATGAAGATGCCATACGAAGATGGCGTTCTCGCGGAGCTCTCGAGTGTCCAGCGGTTTTGCACCAGGTACCTCGGCGCAAAAAGTTAAAGTCCTAAATCCCCAAACCCTAATCCCTATAGATCCCTTATAGGAACCCTTAAAGGAATCCTTATAGATCCCCTTAAAGGTCCTAAGAGCCAGAAGAACGCCAAGGCACCATGGCTTCGCTGTTCAGATCAAGGGAGATGTGCGATAGATCGGAGGTCATACCTTGGAGGGTTTAGGGTTTAGGGTTCAGGATTTAGGGTTTAGGGTTTAGGGTTGAAGATCTTAGGGCTCTAGGGCCTTATATATTAATGGCTTTTGGGCCCAAAGACTATACTACGGTAAACCCCACGAAGTTGGAAACCGGATTAAGGCCAAATAGTGCTGGGATTCACTATACATTACTCTTAAGGATGGAGGCTCTGGGGTTTTTCAACTTTTGGGCTTCTACTGTAAGGTCTTAGGGCTCTAGGGCCTCATATATTAATGGCTTTTGGGCCCAAAGACTATACTATGTAAGGCTTTTGGGATATTTTGATGCCCAGGGAAAAAGGAGGTTGTATTTATAAGGACATCCAAATAGGGATGTATTGACTTAGGGATCTACACACTACGTTTTGGTCTAACAGATCTGAGGTCAGTGCTGAAACGGCATGTACGGACTGAACAACTGGAAGAAACATGAAGACACACTTCAGAAAACACGTGTCGAAGACCTGCCACATATACATCGACAAAGCAGTCGAGTGTTGATGCGTGAAGACCATAAAGCAACTGCAACACAGAACATCGAGCTAGGACATGTGCTGGAGTGGCTTGACTAGAAGGGCATGTGCTTAAGGCTTAAGTGGTTTGACCGAACAGCTGCACACAGCACAAGCATGGTCACGAAGAATGTGTCAGAAGTACGCGAGCAGTCAAACTCCCGAGATATTAAGAATCGACAGTGTTGCAAAGAAGATGTACATGCTGCTTTGTATTGTCCTTATAGTATCCATGGTAGTTCCTTTCTTGGGTTACCTTATAAGATCCTCAATGAAAATATGGCTGAACAAAAAAAGGAACTACAATGAGACTATAGGTCTGGACCACAGCAATGAGCTCCTAGAGGCCGAATACGTGGCCCTTCCGGTACTTTGGGAAAACTGGTGCGGTTCGAGGGCACCAATATCGAAAAGATCACGGAACAGGAAAGGGTGGCCGTATAGCAGGTCTGAACGAATGAGGTACACAATTGTTAATAACGAATTAAAACGTCCTCCTATAATAAGACTTAATTCCAGCAGGTAAATAAAAATAAACTATAGAAGAGTGACCTCCACTAACAGGAGCCCCATCCCCATAGTTGTAAGACCCAAGGGCTCCATGTACCTTTAGAGTAGATACTTAAGACCAACAAGTAGTCCCTATATATATGCACTTGAAGGCCTAAGTATATACTATACACTTAGGTGCCGAGTTCATAAGCCAAAAAAAATTTAAACTTTCGTTTTAAGAGGGTTTCATTATCCCAAAAAGTTTAAAGTTCATAAACTCAGCTACTAAGTAAATGGGTACTTGGAGCCTTAGGGAGAACGAAATACATGTCAACCCGCAGATAAGAGGCGCTTCAGCGCCTCCTGCAGAACCTGAGATGCGGAGTCGTTGTTACAGAAACAACATATTTCCTATATGAGCACGTGGGAGGATCCGAAAAGTAGATCCCTTGATGGGGGTTCCTACAAAGTACCCTTAGTAGTATAGGGCCCCAAATTAGGGGATCTACTTTCTAGATCCTTACGGGGGTCTGGGTATATGAGCACATGGGAGTTTCCGAAAACTAGGGGCACCTTATTTTGGTGTCCTTCTAACAAGGATCCTGCTATCTAGGGCACTATTTTAGGGTCCCCTCTTTTCGGAGACTCCCACATGGATCCTTGTTAGGGTTTAGGAGCTGGCACCTTCGTCTGGAATGAGCCAGAGTCCTCTGATAGTACCCTAAGACTCCAGGTATACACATAGTACCTACTTTGGGGTCTAAAGTCTATAATAAATACTACGTACTTTGGGCTATTTGGAGTCTTAGGGGTATGGCCTCCGAGAGCATTCTGTTTTGAGTCAAGTCGGCTATAACCCTATAGAGCTACAAAGGGATCCCTGAACATCAAACCCTGAACTTCCCGAAACCCTGAATCCGAAACCAAGGGATTCACGTCTGCTGGAAGACAAAAAGTCTGCTCTCTGAAAATGGCTTTGCTGAATAATCAGGGCCTCCACTATTCGAACTAAACCCTAAACCCTAAACCCCTAAACCCTAAACCCTAAACTAAACCTATGGATCCCTATGCATCGGGGTGAAATCAGGGTCCTGATTGCGGAGCGATCAAAGTAGTTACCACATTTTGGGTTCAGGACTAGAGGTTTAGGGTTTAGGGTTTAGGGGAGAAGTCAAAGAAAGAACATCTTATCTCCTACAAAAACCCCGAAACCGCGCCCCGCCCACCCATCAATAAGAAAAAGAAAGCGCGTTTCAGAAGCCAAAGCCGAATAAAAAAACTTGCATACGCCTGAACCCTTTTGGATTGCGTAAATAAAGGAAGCTTTACAAGAAACAGCATCGCAAAACGAGGCCTGTAGATTCCTTAAAGCCCCAACATGAATGATCCCAGCATAGAATCCTGAACAGTAGGATCCTAATTGCCAGGACTCCCGACAAGGGTAACCCTGTGTTCTGCAGCTCCCAGCTAGAGCGCGCCTAAACAAACAAAAACAAACAGCAACAAAGCCCAGAAGCTCGCATCTGCTTGAACCCGAAAAGGTGAAGCCTTGCAGATCCCATTCAACTCACTGGCCCAAAACCCAAGGAAATAAAGATTGAAACTTGTAGAATCGACTACCGCAAAAGAGCCCCCAAAAGTTGAAAAGTTGAGTTTCCAGCCAATAAATGAAGCACAGAAACAACAAAGCTGAGGAACTCCACGAGCCCCAAACCCTAAACTCTAGAAAGGCGCTCCCAGTCTCTTGTAGGACTCGGTTTAGAGATCAAGAGGTTTAGGGGTTTAGAGTTTGCCTTCGCCTACCAAACCCTGCTTTCTGGCGGGCTCTTATTGTGAACCCGAGTATTTTATAGGGACCCTACAAACCAGAAGGCTTTGGTAGGTCAAGGTAGGGGTTCAGAGGTTTATAAGGCTTAGGGATGGTAGTACCCTAAGGCTCCAAGTACCCATATAATATATACTTAGGCCTTAAAGTACCTATATAGGGACTACTTTGGGGCTTAAGTATCTACTATAAAGGTACATGAAGCCTTTGGGGTAGTAAAAGGCCTCCGAAAGGACCCCTGAAGCCACTGAAGCCTACCCTCCGCAACGAGGCCAAAGAGCTCTCAGCTGCTTAAACCCCAAAACTCGTAATCTCTAACCCCCCCAAGCCCCTAAACCCGATAATCACCCTTACGGGAACCCTTGTAGCAACCCTATACGGTAAAAGCCAGAAAGTTGGAGTATGATTATCCTAAACCCCTTTATGGTAACTTATAGGGTATCCTACCCTGAAACCATCTTCCAACTTTCTGGAGCTATAGGAAGGATAAAAACTCCAACGGCCGAGGAGCTCGCAGCTGCTTAAATTCGGGGTCTGGATGTTGGTTGCCGACCCACTGGTGTGACACGAAGGCAGCCTTGATCTCCAGCGAGCCCCAAATCGGCAAAAGGGTTTCGGGCTATAGGGTTAAAGGGTTTTGGGCTATAGGGTTAAAGGGTTTTGGGCTATAGGGTCAAAGGGTTTTGGGCTATAGGGTTAAAGGGTTTTGGGCTATAGGGTTAAAGGGTTTTGGGCTATAGGGTTAAAGGGTTTTGGGCTATAGGGTTAAAGGGTTTTGGGCTATAGGGTTAAAGGGTTTTGGGCTATAGGGTTAAAGGGTTTTGGGCTATAGGGTTAAAGGGTTTTGGGCTATAGGGTCTTCAAGATGCCATCTTGAAAACGCTCCGGCGAGGAGTCCAAACCACCTGATAAATCAGGTACGTGGTTTGGGGATCTAGAAAGTAGATCCCCTGATTTGGGACCCGAAACAACTCCGGGGTACTTTATCGGAAACCCCATTACGGCATCTACTCCCAAAGCCCTGTATTCCCCTCAAGACCCTACATAGATCCCTCCAGTGAACCCTTATGTCATAGGGACCCTTAGCGGGGTAGGGGGAGGGGGGTAGGGGGCCTTAATGCTCATAATAAGGAGCCAATAAGGCCTATTTAAGGAAATGTGGTTCCCCTACCCGCCCTCCCCTCTACCCCCCTAAGCCCTTACAGGATCCGTTAAAGAAGCCTTATAAGACCCCCTAAAGGAACCCCTCAAGGGCTCTACGTCTATGAACCCGCCCGGGTGTCCCGGAGTCTCCACTGCAACCTTTATCAAAGGCTCCTACGAGCGCATATGGGGGTTTCCGAAGGTAGGGGACCCTACATAAGAGAGGGTTTAGGGTTTGAGGGTTTAGGGTTTTAGGATTTAGGGTTTCGGGTTAAGGGGCCCTAATAGGGAAACTTCCATATGGGGGATACTTACCCAAACAACGGATCTTCTGAAAGGGCTCCTTTAAGGGAGCCTCTAAAGGCTTCCTTCAACGACATCCTTTGTAGGGCCAAACCATACGAGTAACTCCTGCTATGGAATGGAAAACACACTTCCACTATGCACAGTAGAAGCCAGAAAGTTGGAACATGAATACCCTCATGCCCTTCTCCAAACACTGACTGTGTTCGGATCCTTGGGTAAAATTAAAAGATGGCAACCAGTAAGCCCAGGTACTAACTAAGGAAAATACCTTGAATCATATTCGGTTTCTGATTATAGACGAATGTAGTCCTTAGATAAGGGCTTTTGGAGGGTCTACACTTTAGATCCTTTCTGCAGCCTGGGAGAGTCGAGTACTTAAAGGGTCATGGGACTTAGTAACTAGGGTTATGTTTAAGGTAACTAGACTTATAACCAATTAAAACCCCAATTAAGGAAATTATAACCTTACTTAGTCCCATGATCCTCCAAGTGGCCTTGCCCATGGGTTCTTCAAACTCCACGAGCAAGCCCTTCTCCTGCAAAGTTTAGGGCTTGGGGTTTAGTTCCTTTAAAGGGGTCTATAGGGGATACTGTAAAGGGTTCAGGGTTTAGGGATTTAGAGGTTAGGTGGTTTAGGAGTTCAGGGTTTAGGGGTTGAAGGATTTAGGGTTTAGGATTTCGGGCTTCTCATTTTCGGCCTAAAAGGGACCCCAATTTCGAGAGCCAGCCATATTATGATGATTAGGCATCCGGACACTTTTGGCTATAGCAAGCAGGGTTTGCAGTGTTTTCCTCCATTTTGGGTCTTGGGGACTGGATTTCGTGCTTCGGCCTGTCTGGCACGGAGGCTTCAGAGTTGAAGGTGTTGGTGTTGTTATAAGGCTTAGACCCTGAACCCTAAACCTCCAAAACATGAACCCAACATCCCAAAACCCTAAAATCCCAAACCCTAAAGCCCCCAACCCTGAACATCCAAACCCCAAATTCCTAAGCCCTTGAAGGCTCGGATGAACCAGTGACTTTTATGTAATCCCTGATCGTCGAACCCGATCTGCAAAGACTCGCACCCCCTAAACTGTAAGGAGCCCTGTAAACTGCATTAAACGAACCATGCTGGGCTTGGGTTTGAGGTTAAAGCGGTTGTGATTTGGGAATAAAGCCTTTCTACCAGCCTGCGAAACTACAAACTCCGTGAACAAATAATAACGCTCACCTAACCCTATAGATGGCTAGCCCACGCCGGTCCTTCAACACCTCGTGGGGATCGATCTCACCCATCTCCAGCAACTCCTGAAACAGTATCTTAGCAAGCAAGTGTCAAGAATGCTTCCGGGCTCGGCTTTCTGAATCTAAGGAGCTATGGGTTTAGGGGCGACTTTTGGGGATGACTGTTGGGGCCTTATTAATTAGAATAGGGTTTCGGGGCCCCATTATCTTATAAGTATGACAAGAAGGAACCCGCAAGATACGATAGGTCAGTATTAATGCCCGGGGCCCTTATCATATTTACAGTGCCATTTTATCCCAGAGCCCTCTTCTAATTTATCAAGGCCCCTACATTGGAGCCTTCAGGCCTTAAGTATCGGCGCTTTTCGGATCACAGCCCTCTAGAAACAGGATTTGGGATCCCCTAACTCTTATAGAACTCGAGAGCCCTTGCAATAAGCCGGCTCCCTCCAGCCACTTCTAAATAGCTATGGCTGGAGGCTCTGATGTAGTCCTTGAGGCCCGCAGTTCTATGGCTTCGACCCTGCGAACATAGAGAACAGCAGCTACAACATAATTGGAGCCATAACTACAATCACGAGCACAATCCTTATCAGAAAGCAGCATTGAAAAATGGTCGTGGCTCCTTCACGGCCACGGTGTACATCGGAAATTGCATCGATGAGGTCTCCTCTAGAGGACCTGTGGCTTCAGCTGGAGGGAGGGTTTGGGGCCGTTTAGGGTTTAGGGGGCACGCCAGAGCTGCTTCCCCCAAAACTAACCTACATTCCTACAGTCCTAAACCCAAGCACCTAAAGATCAGGTCCGCTGAGCCCTATAGGGTTTGCTGACTCGATAAGTTTTGAAGCTGCTTTCACAAGGGTGATTTAGGATTCATTTTTTAGAGTCTGGGGTTAAGGGTTGCACTCTTGTTGCTTCCAGGGCGTTATACTGTAGTTCGAGTGGCATTCGGTGCAAATTAGGGGAGCTGCCTGATCAAGGGCCCTTAGTAACTAGAATAGACTTGAAAAATGTGTTAAAATAAACAAGCAACCCTGCGGAAGACTGCTCTTGTGCCGACATCAAAACCCAGACCCCCGGGAGGATCCAAAAAGTAGATCCCTTAATGGGGGTTCCTAAAAAGTAGCCTTAGTAGTATAGGGCCCCAAATTAGGGGATCTACTTTCTAGATCCTCCCGGGGGTCTGGGAATTCAACCCCCCAAGCCCTGATGATCGAACCCTTCTAGACCCCCCTTTGAGAACCCTTAAAGAAACCTTCCAGAAACCCTAAAAGGATCCTTTAACAGAACTGTAGAGGAACCCTTAAAGAAACCCTGTAAGTAACACTCAACGGAACCCTGTAAACAAACAGTACAGATATATGTATTTTTGCATATTTATATATATATATATATATGTAGTATGTATGTATATATATATATACACACACATACATATTTGCATATTACATACATATGTGTATATAATATATATATATATATATATATATATATATATATATACACACACGTATCTAGTTATTCGCTTTATTTGTTACAAGCTCTTTGAAGAAGAATGGGGGCCTCCTGGCCCGTCTGCCAGGGCGTGGGCGTACTGCTCCAGGGCTGTCATGGCTGCTTTGCGGCCACCACACCTGGGCTTCCGGGGGGTTCCAACCCTAAACCCTAAACCCTAACGTGGGTTTAGGGGAATTTAGGGTTTAAGGCTTTCGGGGTTTACATCGGGCTTTAGGGGTTTAGGGGTTTTGGGGCTTTCGGGGTTTAGGGCTCAAGGGTTTGGGGCACCAGTGTTATCTACCCTAAGTCTCCATGTACCTTTGCAGTATACACTTGGGCCTAGGGTTTACTGTTTAGGGTTTACCCTTATAGTATATACTTGGGCCTAGGGTTTAGGGTTTAGGGCTTACCCTTATAGTATATACTTAGGTCTTAATGTTCCTGTACAGGAACCCCTTCAAAGCTTAAAGGGTATACTATTTACGCACATGGAACCGTGGGGCTAGAGTGGCCGAGGTTCATTAGGCAGTGGGGAATGTGCCTCTTTTCTTGGGGTAATATCCTCATGTATACTGTACTTGTTTACCCTAGGCTCAAGGACCTCGAAAACCCTCAGCCTGAATCAAACCTTTGTGTTTAAGAGCACATCAATCGCACTTAACAAGAGCCATTGTAGTCGGAAACGTGGCTTGTTTTGCGTACATGCCTGCTGGAACGACGAAGAGAAACCTCTAACCTCAACAGCATTCAGGGTTTAGGGTACAGAAGGGACACGAGACTAAGTGACTAAGTGTGTTCTCTAAAGTACAGCTACTGAAAGAGGATGGTTATTGCCCAACTTAGTTCAAGACGTAGGGTGGTTTAGTGTCTACCTTAAGCCGGAATAACCTACCTTTCTAGGGTTCCCTATTATGATTTCCTTATATAAGTCCTTAAAAAGGTAGATTCTTCCGGCTTAAGGTAGGGTTTAGTGTTGAGGCACATGTAAATCGCGTGACGCGGCATTTAACTGCCCATTAACCATCGACTGCTGCCAGTAGCCTGGTAGCCATCAGGACTCTCAAGCAATCTTTCAGTTGATCTGAGAGTAATTATTCTGGACAACCCTAGACTCTAAACTGGCCCTAAACCTAACACCTAACCTGCCTTTTCAGGATTGTTACAGAAACCCGTCACAAGAAACCCAACAAGGTAAGGCGTCAACCCCGGGAAAAATTAAATTACCAAAAGCTGTCTAGTCACAGCGCCATGGCAGCTTTGGAAAATATTCGAAAGCGAGGAAAGGTGTGAACAATTTCGACCGTCGGACGTCCCGAAGTTCCTTTTGGAACCTTGAGTGGAAAAACGTCCAGTAACACTACGATCACACTAATTTGTCTACGCTTAAGCCGAGATAATCGTCGAGACATGACAAAACAAAACCTGCTAAAGCTCAGGCACATAACATTGCAGAGGGGAGAGGCCGAGGGATTAACGCCGATTTGCTTTATGACATGCACCCAAACCGTCGCTATGAGGCTTTCTCTTGGCTAACTTGCACAAGCCACCTCCGTAGCAACAACACACAGACAAAAATACTCGCGGTCAAACATGCATTGTAGATCCAAGTCCTACAACAATGCTGGGAGAGGATCTTCTGAAACTCAAGTATACCCGCCGAAACTATGGAGGGCACCCCTGTGAAACCCGTATAGCTGCAACTCTCAAGAACTTTCTCAACCACATACCATTCTATGCTGAACTCTCCTAGGATGCCCAAAAACCTAGGAACAAAAAGGGCTCCCTTGTGGTATTGGTTACCTTAATAAGGAACCTGGGACTACAAAAAGGGAATAAGGGTGCTGCTGGGAATCCTAGTCTCTATATCTCTTCAAGGCTGAAGGATCTAGGATTTTGGGAACGAGGGCCGAGAGCGTATGCTTGGTACACTCTGTCCCCCCCCCCCCCGCAAAACAGCCCGACTGACCGACTCAACCCGAATACGGTTTAGGGTTTAGGGTTATAGGGTTTAATTAGGTTTAGGTTTAGGGTTTTAAGGTTACGGCTGTAGAGTAACCGACTACTTGGAAAGCCACAAGCCCCCCAAAACCACCCTCACAGCCTCAGGCGAAAACCCCGTCACGCAAACGCGTCAGCGCCTCTGAACCACAAACAGAATAAGACCTACTCCTAGAGGCTCCACATGTAGTACCATTATGGAATTAGGTCCGTAAAACCCTGATACGGTTGATGATATAATCCTGCATTACCCATAATAAGGACCATACCATAATTCCCATCGTTCAGGGTCCTTAAGGTCATGCGGGATATATATGTGTATATATATATATATATATATCATCAACCGTCAGAATGGTCTTTTTGGGGCCTACCTCCATTAAGATACTATGTATGGAGCCTCTGGGACTTAAAGCTCTGAAGCCCCAAAGGGCTGAAACTGCAACAACAACAAGCCTTATGACACACCACCAAAAACACGTATATGTATATACATGTATGTATATGTCTCTATATATATATATATATATATACCTACAAGAACACACAAACACTTGAAGCCTAAACCCTAAGCCCTGAACCCACAATTCCAGAAGAACCAAACAAGGCCTTTACGGCGCTCGCCATGGGATACTGCGAGGAGGGCACCATCTCGGGTGCAAGTGCCTACCACTTGGAGTTTAAGACTTATTGAAGCTGTTTTTGGGGTTGAGGGTTTGGGGTTTTGGGTTTAGAGTTCAGGCATTCTAGGGGATTCTAGGCTTTTAGGGTTGAGTAGAGTCTAGGGTTTAGGGCTTTGCGCTTTAGGGTTTGGGGACTTTAGGGTTTCTAGGGTTTTCGACTCGGAGGTTCATATCTCGGGTGCAAGTGCCTACTGGGACCCCCCAAAGTATCCTTTACTAAGGCCGCCATGGTCCTTAGGGTTGAGGGTATTTGGGGCTTGGGATAGAGGGTATTTGGGGTTTAACAGAAGGTATCTACTGTACTACCCACATTATGGTGCAGAATAGAAAGTATTTTAGGGTCTAGGGTTTATAGGGCAATGTACTAAAGACGTTATGATCCTGAATAGAGGGTATTTGGGGCGGGCGGTATCGGCAGTACATTGGGCTGTGCATTTACAGTTTTTAGAGTTCAGGGAGACTCAAGTCAAGGCCCCAAAACCTTGAACATCCTTGGTGCCGCAACTCCAGGCCCCAAGCCCGTAGATGGGTTGAGAGTACAGGATTTTAAGTGCTGCAGGGTACCAGGTTGTTTTGAAAGATCCATACCCATGCTGCTATACGGGTTACTATAAAGGCTTCACAGAAGATTGCAATGTATACAATGTCTTCGCAAAAGGTCGAGATAGCCTTGTTGGTTGTTGGCTTGTTTGTTTGTCTGCTTATCCTCTGATTGTTTTAGGGTTAGTCTTGGGTCTAAAGTGTATGTAGTAGCGGGCCTTTCAATGGGTCGTGTTCGTTTCTCACCGTGGGCACCCAGGCTTTCTAAACCGGCTTGCGGTGAGGGAGAGGGCGGGCGGGTGACAAAAACTAAACTTTTCTAAATGTTGAACTGCGCTTCCTTTTCGGAGATCCCTGAGTAAACTTTAGAGTTCAGGGGACATGGACCTCAACTTGTTTTAATAGGAGAAATCATTTCCGCGCACAAGAGTTCCACCTCCCCAAACATTCAGAGTAGTAGCCGTCAAAGTTTAAGGCCCCGGATGATGTACTCCGAAAGATTGCTGGCACCTCAAAACGCCTGAATAGCTTCTGAATAAGGTCTTGTCAGGAAATGCCCGGTATTTTTTGGATAGTTGTTCTGGATCATGAATCTGGCCCCCTACATTTGACTTGAATGGGAGGAAGTCTACTTCCCGCTTGTGAAGGTCCCCTCTAGAAACCACAACACCTATAACGCAGACTAGGGCTCCTAAAGCACAGTCGACCGAAATATTGAAACATGAACCGCAAAAAAATTCTCAGGACCCTTAGTCAAACCGTAAGCCCAAAATCAACCCTATTATAAACCCAAAACGTCAACACGCATTAAACAAAAATCAACCCCGCGCGCTTCAACTCTCGCATCGGCCTCAACAGTAACGTCGTTCATGCACTCCCCGAAACGCCATATGAGGATGCCTGTCATGAACCTGGGGCGGTTTAGGGTTTAGTTTAGGGGCATCGAGGGTTTCGCTAGCAGACATTTAGGGCATCGGGTTTTGCACTTAGGTTTTAATTTACACGTCAATAACAATACCGATATGCTAATGTTAGTATGTATAATGTAAGGAGTATATTATAAAGTCTTACAATTACTAAGAGGCTGTCTTCAATCAGTTCCATTCTGTCCCACTCGGTCTTTTTGCTTTTCCACCCGTCGTTGGTGTCTGCGGCCGAAACCCACCCCTGAGCAGCCAGCCGATGCTTCAGAACCTGCACTAGTCTTCAAGCACGTTGACATCGGAAGCCTCACAGAAATTCAGGCCCGAGCCTGTCCTTCGACCCTCGCGAGCCGCCTGTCCTACCGGGGGCAGCTGTCCGAGGCACTAGGTTCGCGCACCCTTGCGCGCCCATGCAGGCACGGTTGTCCGAGGCCAGCACGGCTTGAAGTTGGGGTCGTCGTCGTCGTTGTACATCGACGCCGTTTTAGCACGAGCGATTTGGGCTGCTTCCTTTCAACAGGTTACCGACGGCTTCGAGTTTCTTTCCAGCGAGCAAGCAGCCTCCTCGTCCGTTCGTGCCACATCATCGCCGGACTCGTGCAGCGGGCGTTCTCTGAATTTCTTGGCACAACAAGCTCTATTCCTGCCTCCTGGGTACGGTTAGAGGCGCCGTCCTCGAGAGTCGGATGCCACGGCTTGCACGCTGATTTTGCAGGTCGGATTCTCTGTGGACAGCCTCGTCAAGATGGCCGAATAGCTCCTGATCATATCGAGCTCTCCGGCTGCTTCCCAAGGCACGTCTTGCGCGGCCTGCTCGCACTGAGCGTCCGCCTCCGCGTCGTGATGTGGCCGGACTGCAGGTTTGGCGGCCTCGGTTGCGGATCGAGTATTGGCGGCAGATCGACCCACGGCTGAGCATCATTGCCTCGGAGCATACGGCGGGCGGTGCTTCTTGGTCCTCTCTGGCGGCGTTTTCCTTTTCCTCCTGTGTCAGCTTCGATGTTAAGGAAGGGCTGGAGAGGATGCAACTTGACAAGTTAAGGCCAGTCTGTAGCTCTCGCATGTTTGCGCCTTCAGGAGCAGGTACTGCATGAGCACTTCCTGCTATCGGGACATGCTTCAGGAATGGAGGCCTTGCTTGCGCGCGGCCTGCTCCTTTGGCTCGCGGTTCCAGAGGACTCGCAGGTGCTCACGCACAGGAGCTAGCTCCTCTGCGGACAACATGTAGAAGTTTTGATTCTATGCCACGCAAAATCTGGGGTCAGCCTTCTCCAGCTTGGCCGCTCCCTCCTTTCGCGTCTTTTCTTCCGCACGTTTGTCCGCCTTGCGCGTCTTGTCCTTGTCGCGGCGGTCCTGGAGCTTCTTGAAGGCCTGCTGTCTCTTAAACTTTCGCGTTTATGTGTCACGGCATCAGCGTTTGTCTTTTGTTGGTCTAGAAGAGGGAGGTGCCTGCGGTGTGCAGCACTTCGTAGCCTTCACAGGTTTTCGAACAATGCTGGAAAGTACAAGACCTAATTCGGGACCCTGTATTACTAAATTCGACGAATTAGGAGCCCCCTTAAAGGATCCAGTTGGATCCTCTCAGGGGTCTGGGTCCATGCAAAACGCTGGATGCATGCATCGGGCCAAAGTTCTCGGGTGTTCAGACTGCAACACTACTACTCTCCGCATAATAGACAGGCCTTGATAATTCGAAGAATAAGTTTTGTGGCATAAGTATAGAACGGAATGACTAGGGACAAACATTGGCAGTTATCCGGGCTCCGATATCACGTATATTTAACATCCGGGATAGGGAGATTGATTTGCTCCCTTAAGGGTCCTCCATATAGTATACACCTAGACCTTCAAGTACGCCCTTTGCATGGTGCTTTTGGGACAAAGTATGTGGTGTATGGGTCTGTACACGGACCCTTGCACCTCCCTAAACTCTTCAAGGCACCCTCAAAGGTCAAAGGAAACCTTACAAAGTATATTGAAATATACACCCCCCAGGGTGCAAGGGTCCAAGTGCCCAAATAGTAGGGTTTCAAGGTCCCAAAACCTTCGGAGTATGGATTTTGGGGGGGATAAGAGAGTACTATTTCGGTACTCGGACCCCTAAAC